ATTGGACCTACCACGGTCTCACCCGGCGGACTCCGTCGCCCGGCGAGGCGCGCGAGATCTCCGGCAGCGAAATCAGGCAAGGCAGGCCCTGGCGCGGGCCCACCGTGCCCGCCGGGATACGAGGGATTTGTTCCGGCAGCGAAATCAGGCAAGGCAGGCCCTGGCGCGGGCCCACCGTGCCCGCCGGGATACGAGGGATTTGTTCCGGCAGCGAAATCAGGCAAGGCAGGCCCTGGCACGGGCCCACCGTGCCCGCCGGGATACGATAGTTTGTTCCGGCAGCGAAATCAGGCAAGGCAGGCCCTGGCGCGGGCCCACCGTGCCCGCCGGGATACGAGGGATGTGTTCCGGCAGCGAAATCAGGCAAGGCAGGCCCTGCGCTTGGGCCCGTGGCCCGCCAGGACACGAGGGATGTGTGCCGGCGTGTTTTATTTCGCACTCTAAAAAATAAACATTAAAACATAAAAAAAAGTTAACGGTTAAATTATTAAGAGGATTAACATCGCACGCAATGCAGCGATCACATTCAAACGCCACACACACAGAGAGATTACAAATGAATACAAATTCCCTGTCCACTCCGTGCAGCCTGCTGCCTCAGTGCAATAACAAAGGTCCCCCGTGTAGTCCACACGGGATGTAGAGGCAAGTGTGAGCATACACAGACAAAGGTCCCCCGAGTAGCCCACACGGGATGTAGGGGCAAGTGCTGTGAACACACACAGACAAAGGTCTCCCGTGTAGCCCACACGGGATGTAGGGGCAAGTGCTGTGAGCACACACAAAGGTCCCCCGAGTAGCCCACACGGGTTATAAAGACAAGTGCTGTGAGCACATAGACAAAGGTCCCCCGTGTAGCCCACACGGGATGTAGGGGCAAGTGCTGTGAGCACACACAAAGGTCCCCCGAGTAGCCCACACGGGCAGTAGGGGCAAGTGCTGTGAGCACACACACACAAAGGTCCCCCGTGTAGCCAACATGGGCTGCGTGTCTCTCAGATCAATGGCACGGACGATGGCGTAAGTCCAGGAGGTGCCAGTGCTTGGAACCTGGGGTGCTTCTGCGTAGTCTTTTGTTGGTCTCTCTGGTGACCGACTGCCTTTGTCATGATCAGATCAGGCCGTGTGTTGGGCACACTTGGGTCTCGAGGAGGGATGCTGTTTGGCGTTGACTTTTCTTCCCACCCCCCGTCATTTCCAATGGGTTTCCGCTCCAAATGCTGCGGCCACAGTCGCCACCCGGGCATGGAAGACTCCCCAGGCCGTACGCACCTTTTCGCTCGCTCCTCGGGATGGCGGTTGTGCGGCATCATCGTCGAGATGGGAGTAGAACTCACTCCTCCATGTCACGTTATTCGTGTTGAACATCAGGGCGTAGGCCAGGGCCGTTATTATCCAATAGGCCACAGTAGGCACTGTGGCAAGGGCCTATTCACTCACCCACTCACTCACCCAGCCACATACTCACCCACTGTGGCAAGGGCCTCCTCACTCACCCACTCACTCACCCAGCCACCCACTCACTCACGCAGCCACCCACCCACTCATTCACCCACCAGGACCGTATTATCCAATATTCCACAGGCACTGTTTCTAGGGCCTACAAAAACTAAAAGAGCCTCCAACAAAATTTGACTGCGTTATTTTAATTTGTTTGTATGTATGTTAAAACATTTAAGTAACAAAATATATTCTTGAATCAATGTTTTTATTTAGCAAGAATAGGCACAGTACAGGGTGCTTAATTTTTTTTTACTTCTGAGAATTTGCAACAGTACCACAAGAAATGTCCCTCCGGGCTCTGGAGACCACCTGGAGAAAATTCCAGGCACGTGTTGACAAAATGGCGAACAAGTGGAGACTCTGACTTTTTGAAGCTATGTGTTGACAAAATGGCGAACAAGTGGAAGCTCTTTGACTTTTTGAAGCTATGTGTTGACAAAATGGCGAACAAGTGGAGACTCTTTGACTTTTTGAAGCTATGTGTTAACAAAATGGCGAACAAGTGGAGACTCTTTGACTTTTTGAAGCTGTGTTGACAAAATGGTGAACAAGTGGAAGCTCTTTGACTTTTTGAAGCTATGTGTTGACAAAATGGCGAACAAGTGGAGGACTTTGACTTTTTGAAGCTATTAATGTACATTTGTTAACATGTTACAGTGTATAATCCGTTCTTTTCCCATAAAAAATTATAGTATCATATAAGTGTTAGCATTTTTTTCAAGCACCCTGTATATATAAAGAGGAATAGTCATGTAAATCGTTTTTTTTTCATAAGGTGAGATACATTAACACCGGAGATTAACTTTACCAGATTGTTTTAATTGCAAAATTCGCAATGACATCTTCAAGTGGTGTTTTTCAAATTAAATCTGCTAATCTGCGGCACACAGCGCGCCTCCGTCGAATTAGGGCTCAGACTAAATAGTGAACTTATCAGCAGTAACATCTTTCCAGTAGCTGGACAAAGTACGCTTGAAACAAGCGGAGTGACGGCAGAGCTAGTGACATGGGGCAGCAGTACCAACTGTATAATGTTATCACTTGAATGCCCATAAAACAGATGTGCCTATGGCCGACAAGAACCTTAATACAGGTAGGAACAACAGTTCCACACTGCCCACCAGGGATTATTTGTCTGTCTGCCGTGCATAACCACGCCCTCGATTTGTATTTCATAGAGCGCTTCGGGTGGGCTCAGCACCACGTGACGCGCCGCCCGACACAGTCACCTGCTCACTCCGAAGGAACGTGTTCTGGACCTGGGCGGAGGCTTATCGGCCTTTTCGTTGATAACCTGGTGGCGAGTTCCTGGAGTACATGGGCTATCTTGTTTTTGATCTGCGAAGCCGACTCCGTGGATCAGATGTTCAGTTCAGCTTCCCCTTCCAGATGAAGGTAGACCACCCTGCATTTTCTTATTGGGTGAAATAGCCATATCAGACATTGGTACATCTAAGCAGCATAATCATTTGTTCACTGCAGCTCAAAGACTCGGTCCCTACAAAGAGTGTGGTGAAGTTAGAAGATGCCCATGTGCTCGGCATTTGAAGACCTGAAGACCAGAATCGGTGATTTCGCTGACAATGTGTATCAGGGAGGCCTGAATGTCTGTGGGGCAGTGATTGAAAGTGCATTTTGCACAGGACTCTTGACAGCAGCAGCTTGCAGGCTGGGGGTGGTGAGGTGTGTGTTGGCAATGGCTTCATCAACACCAATTATTTTCAGCCCATTCTTCTGGATGTTGTCGAGAAGGTTGAGATGAGTTAGTGGGGCGTTCATCCAGCACGGGAAGTTGTGTTTAACCGAGAGGCCAAGTGGCTTTTGAAAAAGAGCTACGTAGCTCAGTCGGCTTTACCTGGTAATAAAAAATACTTTATAGTTATTTTGGAAGGCTGATGTAGATGGCAGAGCAACAACTCCAATTTCACATTCAGATGGTCAAGGCAGACTACTGCATCAGTAGCGGAGTAATGTATTATCGTCAGTGTGATGTCTCCTTTGTATCTGCGGATCGGGCATTGTGTCGTTCCATGTTGTATGGAGTTTATAGTTTTAAAAAGTTGAATAGACCTTGCCGCCATGATGGGTGACCCTACCAGGAGCACGAGGCTCCCAACGGCTTCACTCTCGGGATCATTGGAACGCGCAAAATGTATCCATAAAATACTTTTTGTTGGGTTAGATCGCGTGAATGTGTCGTTAAATTCGCCACGACTACCCAACACTGCCAATCAGTAAGGGGTTTGTCACGTAAACAGAACGTGGCCAATTCGTTTCTAGTTCAGCACTAACCGGTTGTGTGTTGGAGAGTAAACCCACATCTACAATTCGAGTTACCGTGACGTGTCGCCGGTAATTACAACAGCAACAAGCATCATCAGGTGACGACAGCCAGAGAGAGTTGTGGAGAAATCCTTCGGTCTTAAATAGAGCAGGGATGGTAAATGTGATGTCGTTACTTGTTAGCTAATCAGGTGCGAGGACCAGAGGTGGGGTTAATTTATTCACAATGGATATTGTTTTGGTTATTCACAGTTAATAAACATAATAGGTGGCGATCCTCGGAGGGGTAGGCAGGGGGCTGGCAAGTGCACCAGCCGCCTTTCAGAATATTTATTTACAATTGAGGACGAATCTGATGAGCCATAAAGCTCTTTTTCACAGATGTCCAGTAGGGGCACGGGGTCAGAACGTTACAACAAACAATACAGAAACACGACAGGAGGGCAAAGTATAATAAAGGTATACAAATCGCTTAGAACATATATATACAAATAAAACTAAACAATTTTTACCATTAGCGAACATGGTGCGAGAGAGTGAATCGCAGTGCGAGTGTGGATTCACCTTGCGTCATGAGTGAGTTTCACCGCCACCTATGATGCTCAACGCAGAACAGCAGCAGTGGCAGCAGCAACAGCGACCGTGCAGAGTGACACGACGGGCAGCACGATGACGACGACAAGGCGGCGGAGGAGGTAGCGGTGGCTGCCAACACTTTCAGAGCCACTGAGACTCAGTGCGAGAACCCCCAGGTTCGAGAGACAAAGAAAACTAAACCGCACATTTCTCTACCGCTTTATGCGGGACAAAAACATGTGGTGGTAGTAGTAGATGCGTTACAAAAATGGGGCGTGCAAAGCGAAACTGCACGAGCTGCCTAGCTTCTTGCTTTCCCTCTTCCACCCCGCGCCGAATCTCGCTTTCGCTCCTTCTTTTTGATTGCCTCCTTACACTGGAATAAACTCCCTATCCACATCCGACTCTCCCCGTCGCTTTCCTCTTTTATGTCACCTTTTCCCTTCCTCTTCCGCCACCCGAACCAGCACCACCTAACCCCCTTAAATCCCTCCCCAGCCGCAGCCTTCACCTCGCTTCCTCCACCCTCGTCACTACCCATTCCCACCCCTTATTTTGCTATTTTGTACCAAAGTTGGTAAGCATTGCCAAGCGCCTTGGTGAAAGGTGCTTTATAAATCCTAAAAACAATAGAATAGCCACTTGCTGAGTCACGCCCACAGTACAGAAAATTGTAACTGTGTGTGTGTTCGTATGCATGTTGAACTTCTTTCGCACTGTACGTAGCCAAACGTGGCTCATCGGAGGTGCGGTAGGCACATCTCTGTGTGTTAGCATCTCTCACAAAGCCTTGAAAGATCTGGACACATTCCAGTCAGTAAGCCCCTCCGGTAGGCGAGGCTGTGTTGGCTGGGTCACGTAGCCCGCATGCCCAGTCACCCACCGCATGTCCAAGCAGCTTCTGTTTGGCCAGATAAAGGGGGCTAAATGGGCACGACATGGGCTGGAGAAGAGATGGAGGTGATGGATGAGTGAGTGGGTGAGTGAGTGGTTGAGTGGCAAGGGCTGGAGAAGAGATGGAGCTGATGTGACAGGGGAGGAAGTGGAGCTGAGTGGACTTGCCGATGACAGGTAACAGCAGTGTCAAGATCGGCCGCTATGGAGGAGGCTCGTGAAGGACGGTCGGTTCATTCACAACTTCCAACGGATGCTGGCATTCTCACAGCACTACTTTCCAACACGGAGACAAGAACCTTAGCAGCCGAAACATCGCCTCCTGTATCCCGGAAAAGAGACCTCATGAGGTAAAACCGTGCAGAGCCGAACCACGCATTCTATATAGCCCGGGTTCGGGCAACGTTTTTCCTGTACGTACATTTATGCGTAGAAATGTGACATTTTTTTCAGTTTATTTGTTATATCCCTAATACAACATCACACTACGGCAACTATATATACGATGGGCGAGCGTATTTAGCCAAAACGAAAAAAAAAACATCGCTCGAAGCCAAATGGGGGAGGGAAAAGGGGAAGTAAAAAAAATGCTTCGATTCAAGATTTCCACTCAGCAGCGTGCGTCCTAGAATGTCGCTTCAAGTGGCCGCTCTGTGAAAAGCCCTTGCCGCACTCAGCGCACACGTGCGGCTTCTCGCCCGTGTGCGTCCTCGCGTGCTTCTCCAAAGAAAAGCGGTGCTCGAAGCCCTTGCCACACTCGCCGCACACGTGCGGCCACTCGCCCGCGTGCGACGCTGAGTGCGCCTCCAGGTGGGAGCGCCGGGCGAAGCCCCGGCCGCACTCGGCGCACGAATGCGGCCTCTCACCCGTATGTGTCCTCGCGTGCACCTCTAGGTCGGAGCGGTGTGCGAAGCCCTTGCCGCACTCGCCGCACGCGTGCGGCCACTCGCCCGTGTGCGATATGGAGTGCACCTCCAGGTGGGAGCGCCTCGCGAAGCGCTTGCCACACTCGGCGCACGCATGCGGCTTCTCGCCCGTGTGTGTCCTCCTGTGCCTCTCCAGGTCGGAGCGGTGCGCGAACGCCTTGCCGCACTCGACGCAGGCGTGCGGCCGCTCGCCAGTGTGCGTCTTGGCGTGCTTCTCCAGGTTGTAGCGCTGCGCGAAGCCCTTCCCACACTCCCCGCAGACGTGCGGCCACTCGCCCGTGTGCGACACGGCGTGCGCCTCCAGGCTGGAGCGGTGCGCGAATCCCCTGCCGCACTCCTTGCACGCATGTGGCTTCTCGCCCGTGTGCGTCCTGAAGTGGACCTTTAAGTCGTAGAAGCGAGTGAACCCCTTGCCGCACTCCTCGCACACGTGCGGCTTCTCGCCGGTGTGCGACACCGAGTGTGCCTCCAGGTGGTAGCGCTGCGCGAACGCCTTGCCGCACTCAGCGCACACGTGGGGACGCTCGCCCGTGTGCGTCCTCGTGTGCGTCTCCAGGCTGGAGCGCGTCGCAAAGCCCTTGCCGCACTCCGTGCACACGTGCGGCCACTCGCCCGTGTGTATTCGGAAATGCGCGTTCAAAGTGGAGCGCGTTGCAAAGCCCTTCCCGCACTCCTTGCACGCGAGCTTCCTCTCATCGGCGGTGACCGCCACCGTGCACGGCACAGCGCCTTCCATCGGCTTCCCGCACCGCTTGCAGGTTCCCTGCGTCTTGCCGATGCTGCTGCTGCGTTGCGCTTTGTCTGTCTTCATTATTTCGAAGCCTCTGCCCTTCCCGCACTCGTCGCACAGGAGTTCCGTTTCTCTCGCTTCATCTGCTGCACGTTTAAAATATATTTTAAAAAATCAAATGCACACTTCGGTTAAACTGACGCAAAGTAAATATGGTGATGAGAAGTCAGAAATGGTTCCAGTGACATTTGAGGTTTGCATTAAATATATGTTTTGCTTGTAAGCATTTTCTTCATTGCGAAATGTGTCCAAACTCGTTTTCATCTTTCTCCCACCTTGCACCCCACTGGAATCAACTTCCCCTGTATATGAGCAGCACTTCCCCATTAGTCTCAGCACTGCACCATAGACTTAATTACTGCCCATAGACTTAACACTGCCCGTAGACTCAACACCGCCAGTAGACTCAACACCGCCCGTAGACTCAACATTTCCCATAGACTCAACACTACCCATAGACTTAACACTGCCCATAGACTCAATACTGCCCTAGACTCAATACCGCCCGTAGGCTCAATACTGCCCGTAGACTCAAGACTGCCCATAGACTCAACATTACCTATAGACTCAACACTGCACCATAGACTCACACTGCACATAGACTGACACTGCCCATAGACTCAACACTGCCCATAGACTCAACAATGCCCATAGACTCAACACTGCCCATAGACTCAACACTGCACATAGACTCAACACTGCCCATAGACTCACACTGCCCATAGACTCAACACTGCCTATAGACTCAACAATGCCCATAGACTCAACACTGGCCATCGACTCAACACTGGCCATCGACTCAACACTGCCCCCAGACTCAACACTGCACCATAGACTCAACACTACCCATACACCCACCACTGCCTATTGACCCAATACTACCCATAGACTCAACACTACCCATAGACTCAACACTACCCATAGACTCAACACTGCCCATAGACTCAACACTACCCATAGACTCAACACTACCCATAGACTCAACACTACCCATAGACTCAACACTACCCATAGACTCAACACTACCCATAGACTCAACACCGCCCGTCGACTCAACACCACCCGTAGACTCAACACCACCCGTAGGCTCAACACTGCCCATAGACTCAACACTGCCCATAGACTCAACACTGCCTATAGACTCAACACTGGCAGTCGACTCAACACTGCCCCCAGACTCAACACTGCCCATAGACTCAACACTGCCCATACACCCACCACTGCCTATTGACTCAATACTACCCATGTAAATGAAGCAGTCCCCCTCCTTAACCTCCTTCCGTTCCTCTCTCAAAGCCTCACCTCTTCTCCATCATCACCCATCGCCTTCCTCTTCCCTCCCCTTGCCCCTCCACTCCTTCCCGTCCCTCCCCGTAGCCCTTTTCATGACCCCCACATGCCCACTGTTACGGTCACTCATTCCTCGGCCCTTGCACTTCCTCTGCCATCTAAACCACTCGGTTTTTGTTACCACTTTTAAACTATGTAAAGCGCTTTTTAAGGATATGAAAAAAAAGATACGAAAGTTTATGATAGAGTACAACTCAGTGTTAATATTATACTCGTGTATCATATAGAGCGACTTGAGCTAAGCCGTTTTTATTAATATAAAATAACCTCTACCTCTTTTATTTTAGCAGGTAACGCCTCAATGACATATATAGCTCTGTTTCAGAAGCGACCTATCACAAATTAAAGCTATAGGATGTGGCTTATCATGTGGAAATGTATAGGAGCAGCCAAATACTCTGAATGCGTGACATTGATTCTAAATGTGGAGTGAAAAACTGGAGGACCCGGAGAAAAATCCACGCAACCAGGGGGATTGAGACAGGCAGACTCCAAATATAGAGTCGGCGTCAGGGTTGGGATCGAACCCACGACCTCCTGTATACCAGGCGAGGTAGTTAACATCTCCTAGCCACCGTGGCACCCCCCAAATAAGATAAGACGTGACCAAAGGGTGACGGCTCACCCGCGTCCTCCTCTGACAACTCCACCTCGATGAAGTTCTGGACCGGCGCGGCCAGATACCCGCGGGATTCCACTGCCTCGTGCTCTGCCACCTCGCCAGCTCCTTCACCTCCAGCGATGTTCGCATCCGGAGCTGCGATTTCGAAAAACGCACACAAACGGTCTCGGACGGGTGGAAGGATCGGAGGGTCTAAAAGAAACACAACTACTATAACACCGTCTATCTGGTTGTCAGACGAATTGAGGATGGGTAGAGTTCACCTTGCAGATTGCGACTCCACATCCGGATTGTGGGACTGGCTGCCTGCCTGCAGGAGTTGAGTCCATGGGGGTTGTACATACGTGTGTATGTTCAACTATTAACTAGGTTTAATTTGTTTTATTTCTTTATTTTTTCAGGTAAAGCCCACTGAGCTATGTAGCTCTTTTTCAGAAGCGACCTGGCTACCGCAAATGATAGCTCAACGAATTGGGCTGATCATCATCACGTGGAAATGTATCGCAGCAGCCAAATACTCTAAACACGTGATGACTAGTACTAGGCATACCCCATACCCAATCAACGAGTGAACAGTAACTAAGCCTAGGCCATATCTAGTCAACTAGTGGCTAGTATTAGCCCTACCCCATCCTTAATCATCTCGTAACGAGGTGTACCCCATCCCTAACTAAGCCTATCCCATACCCCATCAATTATTGACTAGGACTAAGCCTGGATAATGGCCTTGTAGAGCCTTCGAATAAGTTCTTGTTTTATTTTCTGTGCCAATGCCTGTCTAACTTACAAAAATCATTACCATTAAAAAAACGTTTATTTGAACAGGCTACCACAAATTATAGCTCAACGAAGTGGGCTTATCATCATCATCATCATCACGTGGAAATGTATAGCAGCAGCCAAATGCTGTAAATGCACATTTCTAAATGTGGAGGGAAGAACCGGAGGATGCGAAGAAAAATCCACGCGACCATGGGGAGAAAGAGGGAGAGACACGCAAACTCCGAATATACAGCAGGCATGAGGGTCGGGGATCGAACCCACGATCTCCTGTATATCAGGCAAGGTAGCTAACCTCTCCTAAGCCACCGTGAACTGCTTTTGCATGATAAGTAGCCAACCTTTCTAATCGGAGGTGCGGGGCAAGGTGGGGGCCTTACCATTTTCCTCCACTTCGGTTTTTACCATTACGGCCAACTTGTCGCCGCTCCCCGGGCTCCCGCGAGGTCCTCGCTTGGCAACTGCGCCCGACACACGTTCGTATGTTCACAGACAAAAACTGCCGACATCTCTCTCGCGTGTGGCAAGTCTGTGCCCAAATCACACGTCCAAGGAGTTTAAGTCTGTGAGCCACGCGATAGCTTCAGGAGCTGCAGTCGCATTACCTGTCATCGTATACGGTTTATCTGTATTTTTGTACAGGGAAATTGAGTTTTCAGGTCGATACGGCGCAGAGCCGTTTAAATACGGGCAAACTTTTTTTTCTCTGTTTGTTTGTGTTTCTCCTTTGTGATGGGACTTTGTAGGATGAACGTTGAGATTTATATGGGCACGGTGTGACCAATAAGGTTTGACTTGGTCTGTAATAAGGTAGGGCACTGATAAGGGGTTGACAGGAGTGCAGTCACACTGTGTGGAGTTGTCTTTGATTCTCCACTTGTGGAAGAGGCGTGGTGCAGCAGCGACTAGCCGCTGCTCTGAAGCGGTTGACGGAGCGCCGTGGTTTTCTGGGCGGAGCGCCGTGGTTTTCTGGGCAGACCACAGCTGTGCGGACATGTAGCAAACGAGTTGCGTCTTTGCGAATCTGCCCGAGATAAAAACCGAAACCCTAGTACGGTATTCCCTCCTTGTCCGCGACGACGAAGGAATAAGTTCCGGAGTTTGCTCGTGAAGAGCAAATTTCGCGCACAATGTTAGTGGCTAACGAAAACCCTGAATGTACGTAAATAAGCGATTCAACACCTGAACAGTATCACAACACAAAAACTTAATACAATTGTTTATAATAAACATAAAGTAAATAAAAGAATGAACATTAAAGTATTCAATAATAGCACCTCCGATTAGCATAGTTGACTACGTACGGTGCGAAAGAAGTTCAACATACATATAAATTAACTTACCTTACATTAGCTTATCACTTTATCTCTCATCACTTTATCTCTCGCCACTTTATCTGTTATCCCTTTATCTCTCATCACTTTATCTCTCGTCACTTTATCTATCATCCCTTTATCTCTCATCACTTTATCTCTCACCACTTTATCTCTCGTCACTTTATCTATCGTAACTTTATCTCTCACCGCTTTATATTGTACAAATGTAGAACTTCTTTTGCACCGTATGTAGCCAACTGTGCTCATCAGAGGTGCATCAAACCCAAGAATTGAATAGCTGACATTCATGTGTTTTGTTTAAAGAAGCAGAAACATTTAGTAAACTACTTTTGATTTCACCAAGTAAGGCCCACTGAGCCATGTAGCTCTTTTTCATAAGTAACCTGGCCATCACAAATGATAGATCAACGAAGTGGCTTATCATGTGGAAATGTATAGCAGTCAAATACTCTAAACGTGTGATGTTGATTCTTAATCTAGAGGGGGAACCCGGAGGATCCGGAGACAAATCCATACGACCACGAGGGGAGAGAGAGAGAGAGAACAAGCAAACTGGAAATATACAGCAGGCATCAGGGTCGGGATCAAACCCACGAACTCCTGTATACCAGGAGACGGAGTTAACATCTCTTACCCACTGTGGCGCGATGCATGGGTGGTCGCCCATCCAAGCACTTATATAGAGTCAACTCTAATTAGCTTCTATGATGTGGACAAGAATCGGGGTGACATTGACCCTAGAATCAGAATCTTGTATTTATACTGCAGGAGGAATCCGATGAGCGATAAAGCTTTTTTTCACAGATGTCCAGTAGGGCCAAAGGATCAGAACATTACAAATATACAGCAGGTGTCAGGGTAGGGATCGAGCCCACAACCTCCTGGATACCAGACGAGGTAGTTAACATCTCCGAACCACTGCGGCGGCCCCGACATCAGAATCAGAATATTTATTCATGCTGGATGAAACTGATGAGCAATTAAGCTCTTTATAATTGAAATTTTTAACAGATATCCAATAGGGACACAGAGGTCAGAATGTTACAACAACAAACACAATACGCAAAAAAAACACGATTGGAGTGCAGAGTACTGCCAAGGTGACCAAATCGGTCCAAGGTAGACGTCCATCTCAAACCTCACCGGCATTGGCACCTTCACACTTCACCGTCGGGTCGGCGCCCAACACTGGATTTGGATTCTCTTCATTTTCTTGTTTGATGTACGGCAATGCCGCATTTGTGTCCATCTACCTGAGGAGCGCGCAAAGAAACACGCGCAAGTTGATTTCCCGCCGAGTAAAGTGCCCGACAGCTCAGAAACTCTTCGTGAAGGGAGGGGTGGGGAGTGACCCGGGCTGGCGGACAACATCAAAGCATTCCACGATTACAGATTAATTGAAAAAAAAACACAGTAAGGTCTCAAGAGTACGCGGGCTCAGAGTACGCGGACCGCTCATACATGACCGACCCCTGATTCATACTTACACTTGTGACTCGTACTTTCGCTACACACACGGGGTGGGAAAAGAGTCAAATCACCGCCCCGCCATCACGAGAACGTGTATTTGAGGACGTGTTACTGTATCGCTCGTGCAAGAAACGAGTCTACCCAGCTAACATATTTCGTATCTATCATATACAGATGATCCGACACTTGAGGCACCGACCAGATAGACGTGGAAGGCCCAAACGAAGTGTGGGTTTTCTGGTAACGTCTGGCGGAAGACCTAGTGCAGAAAGATTTCAACTGCCACCTCCGGGAAAACTTCTGCTGCACTCCAGGGGAGGTCGTGGACATTAAGTCCAAGTGGATGATGTTCAGGACCTCGCTTGTGGATGCAGCTGCGAAAAGCTGTGGCCTGAAGGCAGTTGGTGCCTGTAGACACCAGTGGTGAGGGAAGCTGTCAAGTTGAAGAAGGAGGCTTTCCGAGTTGTACTCGAAAAAAGGTCTTCCGACTCGATTGAGAGGTACCGGCTTGCCAATAGGGCAGCAGCGGTAGCAGTCGCTGAAGCGAAAGCCTGGCCGTGGGGGGAGTTTGGTGAGGCAATGGAGAGGGACTACCGGGCAGCCTCAAAGATTTTCTGGCAAACCATCCGACACCTTACACTACAATACACACTACACTAACTACTACACTATACTACGATACACTACACTACGATACTGCATTGAAAACGAATTTCTTTAGAACATGTTCTTGGTTCTTTCGGTAAAGTCACGTAGGAGTAAAATAATAAAATAATAAAAATAAAACATAATAAAATAATTCTCACGACGTTTTATTTTTATTATTTTCCTTCTACGTCACTTTACCGAAAGAACCAAGAAGATGAATCCCTGCAGTCACGAAAGCTTTAATCTTTAGAACATGTTTTGTGTGTTTAGTTTGTAGGAGACGGGAGGCACTGGTGGGGGGGGGCACGTGCCCCCCCAAATGATCCGATCAAAATCCCTAATTTCGATCGGATCATTCGGGTTTATTAGTAATAAATCGGCATTTTTGCGACCCCCACTGCCACTGTGTAGCATATGATTATGTGCCAGGGACTCTTGAGATGATAGGACAACAGCCGAGTCCATAATTGGCAATAAGTAACGGCAAAGCGGTTACAAGTGACTCACAGAATTGTGCACAGTTGCGTATATAGGACACGACTTCCCTGAAGGCATCAACACCTTCAGCGAGCGCGATGCCGATCACACAACGCGGTTCGGATTCGACCATCGATCGATGGCTGCGCCATCGCCGCACACGCATCGAATAAAATGCAAGGGACAAGTCCTTACTTACTAACAACTCCTTACACACTGACAAGTCCTTACTAAAAACTCCTTACTTACTAACTCCTTACTAACAAGTCCTTACTTGATAATTGTTTTTTTACCCTTCTATCTGGCAACAAAACTGACACCTTTTTTTACAAGGAGTCATGTTTGCATATACCACAATACCTGCAGTCATAATGCAGACAAAAAAACATAACTCTGATAATGTGCACTGTCCTTGAAGTTGATTGGTCCACACCCGAGACATCTTTCCTTAGAGCCTAGTCTCACATGGGTTGGACCAGATGACGCCAAAAGTTAATAAGTCCATACTTACTAACAACTCCTACTTATTAACAACTCCTTTATAAGATCTCTTTTACCAGTGGCAAAATATAGCAGTAGGTGTTTAACCTTTTAAACTGGTACAAAACTGACACCTTTATTCAAGGCATCATGTTTGCAATAACCACAACACAGGTAGTCAAAAAAGCAAACAAAAAGAAGCAACTCTGATAATGATAATAAGGACAGTGCATATTATTATCATTATCAGAGTTGTTTCTTTTTGTTTGCTTTTTTGACTACTTGTGTTGTGGTTATTGCAAACATGATGCCTTGAATAAAGGTGTCAGTTTTGTACCAGTTTAAAAAGGTAAAAACTCCTTACTTGCTAAGAACTCCTTACTTACTAACAACTCCTTACTTACTAACAACTCCTCTATCATTTTTCATTGCTGGAGGGGTTACCCCCCCCCCCCCACCTGAAAATCCTGGCTCCGCCATTGACATCGGGAGGCATCGTCAACCAACTCCGCTCCACCTGACGCCATCACGTGACTCATCGACCACGTCAGTGACGTCACAGCTGCTCTTCCAGGGACGCACCAAGGAGACGTGACGACTTTTGTGAACTCACCCCGTGGTGGTGGTGTTGTTGTTGTCTGTGTTTGTCTTCCCGTCTCTCCCCGTGTCTCAGTTTTTCTCTCCCCGTGTCTCTGTCTCTCCCCGTGTCTCAGTCTGTCTCTCTCCTTCCCTGTGTCTCTCCCCGTGTCTCCGTCTCTCTCCACGTGTCTCTCGGCCCGTGTCTGTATTTACCCGTGTCTCTTGACTCTCTCTCCGTATATCTCTCAACGTGTCTCTGTGTCTCTCCCCGTGTCTCTGTCTCTCTCCCCGTGTCTCTGTCTCTCCCCGTGTCTCTCTCCCCGTGTCTCTGTCTACCCCCCCCCCCCGTGTCTCTCTCCCCGTGTCTGTGTCTCTCCCCCCCGTGTCTCTCTCTCCCCGTGTCTCTATCCCCGTGTCTCTCTCCCTGTGTCTCTCTCCCCGTGTCTCAGTCTGTCTCTCCCCCCGTGTCTCTCTCCCCGTGTCTGTGTCTCTCCCCGTGTCTCTGTCTCTCTCCCCGTGTCTGTGTCTCTCCCCGTGTCTCTGTCTCTCTCCCCGTGTATGTGTCTCTCCCCGTGTCTCTGTCTCTCTCCCCGTGTCTCTGTCTCTCCCCGTGTCTCTGTCTCTCTCCCCGTGTCTCTGTCTCTCTCCCCGTGTCTCTTGTCTCTCTCCCCGTGTCTCTCTCTCCGTGTATGTCTTTCCCCGTGTCTCTGTCTCTCTCCCCGTGTCTGTGTCTCTCCCCGTGTCTCTGTCTCTCTCCCCGTGTCCGTGTCTCTCCCTCTCTCCCCGTGTATGTCTTTCCCCGTGTCTCTTGTCTCTCTCCCCGTGTCTCTCCCCGTGTCTGTCTCTCCCCGTGTCTCTGTGTCTCTCCCCGTGTCCGTGTCTCTCCCTCTCTCCCCGTGTATGTCTTTCCCCGTGTCTCTTGTCTCTCTCCCCGTGTCTCTGTGTCTTTCCCCGTGTGTCTTTCCCCGTGTCTCTCTCCCCGTGTCTCTCTCCCCGTGTCTCTCTCCCCGTGTCTCCCACCACACAGACAATGTCTTGTCAGTGGCAGTCCTCATTCAGCGACTCCAGACGCGGGCGACAAGATGCGGGGATATGCGCAAGCCACACTGCACCAATCCTCTCAAGAGGTTGGGGGATTTGAGGGCGGCTGAGATGACAACTGAACGACTCCACCAATTTTAGATTTTTGACCACTTAGGGCCCACTGAGCCGCACCCCAGGTAGCATTCAACAAAACTATCTTATATTTATACAGTGGCATACCCGTCGTTAACCCCTTATCAGTGCCCTACCTTATTATGGCTGCAGGGTTTGGTGGTATATGTTGTTTGTGTCGTTTATTGTGAAAATTCGGTCACAGTTCCTATGATCACTGCTTTTATGGCTTTATTTAGGTGATTTCGAAACGTTTTTTGGTTTGGACATGTTTGTTGTGGTACGGAGTTAGACTGATGGCCTTAATCTAAGTTGTCTTGTGGTTGTTGTTGTTGTTTGACTTGCATCGCACTGGGATTTTTGCACACAGCGTTGGTGTACGGTGCTTTTTTCTGGAATTTTGCTGGTTTTTTCCAGGATTTTCAGTTTGCATTTAGTCACATAGTCACTTTAAGATGTTTTCTTGTTCATGTTTTTGTTTGTTGCGGTTGCACCCGATTCAAGCCGAATGGCTCACAGGGCTATACCTAATAAATGAACTTAAACTTGATTACAGACCAATTCAGACTTTATTGGTCACCCCTATGCCCTTATACATCTCAACGTTTATCCTGCAAGTCCCCATCACAAGGGAGAAACACAAACAAATACACAACATTATTGTTATTGTGCCCGTATTGAGACGGCTGTACGCCGTATGAACCTGAAATGAAATTTCCCTGGACAAGAATACGGGGTAAACCGGCTGGGTTGACACGGTATATAGTTCGTGTATAGTAGTACAGTGTATAGTAGCAAACCTGTCAACCCCTTATCAGTGTCCTACTTTATTACTACAGACCAATTCAGACGAATCTCAACATTCATCTTACAAAGTCCCATCACAAGGGAGAAACACAAACAAATAGACACATCTAACTAATCGGCCTTGCCTGCATTCCTCCACTGATGTTCATCTTTGGTGGCAGCATAAGTAACCACGACTACCACTCCTTGTCTCAGGTTGATGGGAAGGAGAGCCCAAAGTAGCCTGGAGCTTACAGCTTCCAACACCTCACTGCCACTCCGTTGCTTGGTAGTTTCCTGCCCCGAGAAGAGGACTGTCCACTCCTCATAGTGGCAGGAGCCAGAGTCAGTCTACTGGACCTCCTGAGTACCCCAGAGATCCAGACGGTACCGGTCCAGCTCCCAAGAGAGGAGTGGCAGCCTCTCCTCAGCAGTGAGTGTTCGAACATTCCACGTGGCTACTCGCAATGGCTTTCTACTGTTTCTGGAGGAGCCCCGAGGGTAAGGATTCAGTCTTCTGACTCCGCCAAATGGGGTTTGGCCAGGAGACGTCATGGACGCCTGTCCCCCCGGGACCTCTGGCACAAGCTTCGTTTGATATTTTTTCCGTGGTATCGATATAATTTATTTGAAGGTGGAGGGGTTACCAGCCCCTCACACCCATCCAGAGCCCCCACTTGGCCGCTGCGGTGGCTACAAACACCACGAGGGGAATTGTCAATCTAAATTGGCCCTCCCCCCACGTCCAGCACCACGAGGAGGTAAGGGGGTTGTTTTACACACTTACACACACGTGCGCACATGGGCACACACACAAGGGCACGTGCGCACACAGGCATGTGTGCACACGGGCATGTGTGCACACGGGCACGCACACACACGCACACCTACACACACGTACACACACAATGCACAGATGTAATGGCATCCCTGCTGGGGCGATATAAGAGGGAGTGGACCCAGAGCTTGGGGGCTCGTGTGTGGGGTCTTGGATCCAGGCTGCGTCGCTGCTCGCCGACATCTCTCGCCGTCGTCCGTCCACGTGGAAGATCTCCTGCGTGGTTTCCATCTCCGTGATCGTCATGCCGCCAGTCAGCGGTGTAGCCGAGTGAGGGCGATGGGACCACGCCGAGTGATGGGCTGTGTGTGGCCAGTAGAGACGTTAATATTGAGTGTTGTACTCTGTGTGAGGAAGAATAAGCGTTGGCCTGTTTTGTGCCCAGTGTGAGTCATAAAAGAAGTACCCTCTACACGACGTGTCGTGGAAGTCGCTCATTACATATGTAGTGGGTTCAAATGGGACGGAGACGATGTAATCGGAGGCACACTTATTTATTCAACTTTGTCAGTTACAGGCCATGTATATAACACTTGAAGGGGTAACGGCCCCTTCACCCGGACTTAACAGGGATATCCCCCTAGCGCTATCCCCAACTAATCTGGCCCCATGGTGCTAGGGGAGGCTAACTGATCCGGCCCTGGTTAAGCACGGATCACGTCACTTAACCCTCAGACCGGCTCTTACAAGAGCTCTTAGCGCCGCGCCTCTGGCTTGCCCTGCTCGGCCCTGACAAATACGACCAGCCAGGGGAGTTCCAGGGCCTATTCTGCAGGTCTTCAGTCTTCACTGGTCGAAGCTTACCCACTGGGACCCCGAGCCCTCCGGCTCCCTGCCTTTTATACCAATCGTCCCCCGAGGGGTGGGGCTGTGGGGGATCCCAGCACCACCCACAGCCCCCCAGGGTTAACCGTTGCGGACGTTGATGTAGACACCCCTCTGTGTGTGGGTGCAGACCAGAGGTCGCAAACGGGTTTTGATTCCTTACCCGTACCCGGCCGCACCAGGGTCACAAATGGGTACCCGTACCCAGCCGGGTACGGGTACCTGTTCCATACCCGTACCCTACCCGAAATGAGTGACAAACGGTGACTCACCAGTGACTCACGGTCTACCCGTACCCGTACCCGACCGCACCAGGGTCGCAAACGGCTACCCGTACCCGGCCGGGTACGGGTAGCCGGGTATCGGGTAGGGTACGGGTATCGGGTACCCGGTTGCGACCTCTGGTGCAGACACCCCTGTGTGTTTGTTTACCCTCCTGAAACACCCCTACACATAGACGGTACACATACACACTTACACGCACACACACACAGTCCACATATATAAAAAAGATAAAAGACAAAGATCCCCCGTATAGCCTTAACAGACTGTAGGGGCAAGTGCTGTTAGCGAGCACCTATGAAGGCCGGCACGGCACACGAGGGGGTGGGTGGCCAGCACCACGCCCGACCGCCTTTGTCTCCCCAGTGGCGATGTTTACACACCGCACCAGGTACTCATTTCAGGCTGAGTCGACCTAGGGGAGGCCCGGGACCGGTTCAGATAATCGTCACTGGTGTTGTGAGCAGGAATCGAACCCGGGTCGCCAGGTTCATAGCGCAGCGTAGCGCTGACCACTACACCACCGCTCCCCCTATACACACACACACACATACACACGCAGTACACATACACACATACATGTACACACACGCGGTATACATACATACACACATACACGTACACACATACACACACGCGGTACACATACACATGTACACGTACACACACTCTAACGTGTACAGAAAGAAAGACAGAGAGACACGGAAAGACAGAGAGAGACACACAGACAGAGAGATACAGACAGACAGAGAGAGACACAGACAGAGAGACACAGACAGACAGAGAGAGACACACAGACAGACAGACAGACTTTTGAAATCTTTATTACTCCAGCGCCAATTGCGCTGGAAATTTTCCGTGCATTCAAAACAATGTTCATGCCTTTATGGCAACAGCATTCACTGCATTTGATCGCCAAACAGAATGTACACGCCTTCATGGCAAAAATATGGAACGCTTCACGAATTTGCGTGTCATCCTTGCGCAGGGGCCATGCTAATCTTCTCTGTATCGTTCCAATTTTAGTATATGTACTGCCGGAGCAAATACAGACAGAGAGAGACACACACAGACAGAGACACAAACAGAGAGAGACACACAGACCGAGAGACACAGACCGAGAGACACACAGACAGACAGACAGAGAGACACAGACCGAGAGACACAGAGAGACACACAGACCGAGAGACACACAGACCGAGAGACACACAGACAGACAGACAGAGAGACACAGACCGAGAGACACAGACAGAGAGACACACAGACCGAGAGACACACAGACCGAGAGACACACACAGACAGAGAGACACAGACCGAGAGACACAGACAGAGAGACACACAGACCGAGAGACACACAGACCGAGAGACACACACAGACAGAGAGACACAGACCGAGAGACACAGACAGAGAGACACACAGACCGAGAGACACACAGACAGACAGACAAAGAGACACAGACCGAGAGACACAGACAGAGAGACACACAGACCGAGAGACACACAGACAGAGAGAGAGAGACACAGACAGAGAGACACACAGACCGAGAGACAGACAGAGAGACACACAGACAGAGAGAGAGACACACAGACACAGAGAGACACACAGACAGAGAGACACACAGACAGAGAGAAACTCTCCGCATCCCCTCGTCGCCTGTGACCTCCCTTGTGCCGCATCTTGTCGCTCGCTGCGGAGTGAATGGGTTGAGTGGGGGGGGGGTCACCACACAGCGGAGACAGAGAGACACACAGAGACAGCGGCCGTGGGGACACGGAGACAAAGACACAGACAGAGAGACACAGAGACAAAGACACAGACAGAGAGACACGGAGACAGAGAGACACAGAGACAGCGGCCGTGGGGACACTTGAGACAAAGACACAGACAGAGAGACACAGAGACAAAGACACAGACAGAGAGACACGGAGACAGAGAGACACAGAGACAGTGGCCGTGGGGACACGGAGACAAAGACACAGACAGAGAGACACAGAGACAAAGACACAGACAGAGAGACACGGAGACAAAGACACAGACAGAGAGACACACAGAGACACAGCGGCCGTGGGGACACGGAGACAAAGACACAGACAGAGAGACACGGAGACAGAGAGACACACAGAGACAGCGGCCGTGGGGACACGGAGACAAAGACACAGACAGAGAGACACGGAGACAGAGAGACACACAGAGACAGCGGCCGTGGGGACACTGAGACAAAGACACAGACAGAGAGACACAGAGACAAAGATACAGACACAGAGACAGAGAGACACACAGAGACGGCGGCCGTGGGGACACTGAGACAGAGACACGGACAGAGAGACACGGAGACAAAGACACAGACAGAGAGACACAGACAGAGAGACACGGAGACAAAGACAGAGGGACAGCGAGACACAGAGGCCGTGGGGACACTGAGACAGAGAGACACACAGAGACACAGAGACACACAGAGACAGCGGCCGTGGGGACACGGAGACAAAGACACAGACAGAGACAAAGACAGAGGGACAGCGAGACACACAGAGACAGCGGCCGTGGAGACACGGAGACAAAGACACAGACAGAGACAAAGACAGAGGGACAGCGAGATACAGACAGAGGCCGTGGGGACACGGAGACAAAGACACAGACAGAGAGACACGGAGACAAAGACAGAGGGACAGCGAGACACAGAGGCCGTGGGGACACGGAGACAGAGAGACACACAGAGACAGCGGCCGTGGGGACACGTAGACAAAGACAGAGAGACATAGACAGAGAGACAGAGAGAGACAGAAAGACTGAGAGAGACAGAAAGAGAGAAACACGCAGAGAGACAGAAACAGAGGCAGGCAGAAAGAGACAGACAGAGAGACAAATACAGAGACAGAGCCGAGATACATACACAGATAGATACGAAGAGAGAGAGACACACACACAGCCACAGAGATACGGAGACACAGAGACAAATATACATTGAGAGACACAGGGAGATAGACAGATTCACACAGATAAAGATACAGAGATAGTCAGAGACGGACAGAGACTTGAGAGTGACAGAGAGACATCGAGACACGGAGACAGACATTTAGAAATAGAGAGATAAGGGCACGGAGAGACAGCGATACATATACAGGCAGACAGACCCAGAGACAGATACACAGAGAGGGACATAGACAGACCCAGAGACATACACAGAGAGAGATATACACAGACAGACACAGAGACAGATACACAGAGAGAGACATAGACAGACACAGAGACAGATACACAGAGAGAGACATACACAGATAGACTCAGAGACAGACACACAGAGAGAGACATACACAGACAGACACAGAGACAGACACACAGAGAGAGACATACACAGACAGACACAGAGGCAGATACACAGAGAGAGACATACACAGACAGACTCAGAGACAGATACACAGAGAGAGACATACACAGACAGACACAGAGACAGATACACAGAGAGACATACACAGACAGACACAGAGACAGATACACAGAGAGATATATACACAGACAGACACAGAGACAGATACACAGAGAGAGACATACACAGACAGACACAGAGACAGATACACAGAGAGATATATACACAGACAGACACAGAGACAGATACACAGAGAGAGACATACACAGACAGACCAAGAGACAGATACACAGAGAGAGACATACACAGATAGACTCAGAGACAGATACACAGAGAGATATATACACAGACAGACACAGAGACAGATACACAGACAGACCCAGAGACAGATACACAGAGATATACACAGACATAGCAAGGGTCTTAGACGTAACTCGGATACAAAGGCCGAGACAAAGAGACAGGGGGAGATAGACAGAAGACGAAGCTACAGAGACACAGACAATACGTGCAGTGCTAAGAAAGACAGAGAGACACACACACAGACACAGGGGGAGATAGACGAAGCTACATAGAAACACAGAGACAAAGATTAACACAGAGAGAGACGAGACGTACAGTGCTAAGAAAGATACAGAGAGACACAGATACAGACATAGATACAGAGACAGACATCGAGACAAAGACAGAGAGAGACAGAGAGACAAGAGACAGACAGAGAGACAAAGATACAAAGATACAGAAACAAGGATAGAGAGAGACACACGTGGCCATAGAAAGACAGGCAGAGAGACAGACAGGAGACAGACACAGAGACAAAGACACAGAAACAAGGATAGATACATTCCGTGATAGACAGAGACACACGTGGACATAGAGAGAGAGACAGAGAGACAAGAGACAGACAGAGACAAAGATACAAAAACAAAGATAGACAGACCCGTGGCCATAGAGAGATACACGTGGAGATAGAGAGACAGACAGAGAGACAGACAGAGACAAAGATACAGAAACAAGGATAGAGACACGTGGCCATAGAGAGACAGACACAGAGACAAAGATACAGAAACAAGGATAGAGAGAGACACACGTGGCCATAGAGAGACAGGCAGAGAGACAGACAGGAGACAGACACAGAGACGAAGATACAGAAACAGGGATAGAGACACGTGGCCATAGACAGACAGAGAGACATAGAGACAGACAGAGAGACAAAGATACAGAAAGGATAGAGAGAGACACACGTGGCCACAGAGAGACAGACACAGAGGCAGCTACACTGAATATCGACAGAGATACGGCAAAGACAACAAGTGAGGTAACCAATGGACATCCAGGACTCTGTTGGCTATTGTCACCGTCATTGACAGCTGTAATCGATACTTGTGTCGATCTTGTTTGTGTGTGCTGTTACGTTGGACTTCTTTCGCACCGTACGTAGGCAACCGGTGGCCAATCGGAGGTGCCGGGGGAAGGACAACAAACTAAACACAACAACAACAAGAAGCAGTTCTACAGATATTAGTTTTCAACTTGGTATAGTGCTGTAGTGTATAGGAGTGTCGTGTACCGTTGTGTAGTGTGTATAGTAGTGTATAGCGTAGTGTAGACTAGTGTATAGTGTAGTGTGTAGCTTAGTTTAGAGTAGTGTATAGTGAAGTGTGTAGCTTAGTGTAGAGTAGTGTATAGTAGTGTAAAGTGTGATGTGTAGCTTAGTGTATAGTAGTGTAGTGTGTAGCTTAATGTATATTAGTGATAGTGTAGTGTGTAGCCTAGTGTATAGTAGTGTATAGTGTAGCTTAGTGTATAGTAGTGTATAGCGTAGTGTAGACTAGTGTATAGTGTAGTGTGTAGCTTAGTTTAGAGTAGTGTATAGTGAAGTGTGTAGCTTAGTGTAGAGTAGTGTATAGTAGTGTAAAGTGTGATGTGTAGCTTAGTGTAGAGTAGTGTAATGTGTAGCTTAGTGTAGAGTAGTGTATAGTGTAGTATGTAGCTCAGTGTATAGTAGTGTATAGTGTAGCTTAGTGTATAGTAGTGTATAGTGTAATGTGTAGCTTAGTGTATAGTAGTGTATAGTGTAATGTGCAGCTTAGTGTATAGTAGTGTAGTGTGTAGCTTAATGTATAGTAGTGTAGTGTATAGTAGTGTAGTGTATAGTAGTGTAGTGTGTAGCTTAATGTATACTAGTGATAGTGTAGTGTGTAGCCTAGTGTATCGTGGTGAATAGTGTAATGTGTAGCTTAGTGTATAGTAGTGTAGTGTGTAGCTTAGTGTATCGTAGTGAATAGTGTCGTGTGTATTTTAGTGCAGAGTAGTGTATAGTAGTGTAGTGTGTAGCTTAATGTATAGTAGTGTATAGTGTAGCGTGTAGCTTAGTGTATCGTAGTGTATCGTGTAGTGTGTATTGTAGTATATTGTGTAGTATGCAGTGTATAGCGTAGTGTGTATAGTGTAGTCTATAGTGTATTGTAGTGCAGTGTATGTACGTTGAACGTCTTTCTCGCCGTACGTAGCCAACCGCGCTTATGGGAAGTGCGGGGAAAGGACAGCAAACTAAACACAACAGAAGAAGCAGTTATACAGAAATTAGTTTTCAATTTAGGATAGTGGCCCAGTGTATAGTAGTGTATCGTAGTGTATAGTATAGTGTATAGCCTATATATTGTAGTGTATAGTGTAGTGTATGTACGTTCAACTTCTTTTGCACCGTACGTAGTCAACCATGCTAATCGGAGTATAAATATTCGGCGATCCGGATTCGATTCCCGCTCACGGCCAACACCGGTGACGATTATCTGGACCGGTCCTGGCCCTCCCCTAGGTCGACTTAGCCTCAATTGAGTACTTGGTGCGGTTTACGGAGTAAACATCGCCACTGGGGGAGACAAAGGCGGCCGGGCTTGGTGCTGGGCACCTTTCCCCTCGTGTGCCGTGCCGGCCTTCATAGGTGCTTCCACTCGTTAACAGCACTTGCCCCAATAGTCTGTTAAGGCTCTATGGGGGATTCTAGATTTGAAGCTTTCGTGACTGCAAGGATTCATACTCTCAGTTCTTTCGGTAAAGTCACGTAGGTAAAAAAATGAAATTAAAATTAATAAAAATAAAATAATAAAATCACGACGTTTCGGAGGCAACACAAGTCTCCGTCATCAGGTGGGACCGTCACAGCCAGATTTGCTGCATCAAGTGATTCAAGTGATGCAGCAAATCTGGCTGTGACGGTCCCACCTGATGACGGAGACTTGTGTTGCCTCCGAAACGTCGTGATTTTATTATTTTATTTTTAGAAATTTTAATTTCATTTTTCTACCTACGTGACTTTACCGAAAGAACTGAGAGTATCTATGGGGGATCTTTGTCTTTGAGGAGCGGTAGTGCAGCGGTTAGCGCGCTGCGCTACGAACCCTGCGACCCGAGTTTGTTTCCGGCTCAGGGCCAACACCGGTGATGAATATCTGAAGAGGCCATGGTCCACCCCTAGGTCAACTCAGCCTCAAATGAGTACCTGGTGTGGTGTGTGCATTAAACATCGTCACTCAGGGAGTCAAAGGTGGCCGGGTATCGTGCTGGCCACCCACCCCCTCGTGAACCATAGTGCCGACCTTCATCGGCGCTGCTGCTCGCTACGGAACAGCCACTTGCCCTAACAGGGTGGGTCTTTTGTTGTCTTTGTACACAAATTTACGTGGATGTCGAAAACATAATTTTTTTCCTCTCCAGATGGATTCACGAATCACGTTTCCGACCATCAAACAAGAGTGCGAAGAACATCCGAGTCCTGGTGAGTGCGCCGACTCGACGGCGAAACGTAAAGAAGCCGATGCGGGTGAGACCCCCTAAAACGTCGCCGATGATCACAATATCTAGATTTGAAGCTTTCGTGACTGCAAGGATTCATATTCTTGGGTTTTTTCGGTAAAGTCACGTAGGTAAAAAAAATTAAAATTAATAAAATTAAAATAAAATAAAAATCACGACGTTTCGGAGGCAACACAAGCTTCCGTCTTCAGGTGGAAGCTTGTGTTGCCTCCGAAACGTCTTGATTTTTATTTTATTTTTATTTTAAATTTTTTTACCTACGTGACTTTACCGAAAAAACCTAAGAATATGGATCACAATATCGCCACATCAGCGCCACGGCACCGAACGGCGCGCTGGCTCAGGGAGATGTTGACTCTCTCGCTTGGTGTACAGGACGTCGTGGGATCGAACCTCACCCTGACGCCTGCTGCTGTGTATTTGGAGTCTGCGTCTCTGTCTCTCGGTCTCCCCTGTGGTCGCGTGGATTTTTCTCCGTTTAGAATCGACGTCATGCGTTTGTCGTATTTGGCTGATATAAAATGTCCACCTTCTTGGTTCTTTCGGTAAAGTCACGTAGAAGGGAAATAATAAAATAATACAAATAAAACATAATAAAATAATTCTCACGACGTTTCGGCCACAACGCAAGCAGCCGTCCTCAGGTGAAGAACAGGTCTGTTGGAAAGACATATATAAAATGTCCACCTGAAGAACAGGTCTGTCGGAAAGACAGCGTCTTTCCGACAGACCTGTTCTTCACCTGAGGACGGCTGCTTGCGTTGTGGCCGAAACGTTGTGAGAATTATTTAATGTTTTATTTTTATTATTTTATTATTTCCCTTTTACGTGACTCTACCGAAAGAACCAAGAAGATGAATCCCTGGAGTCACGAAAGCTTTAAATCGAAATCTAAAATGTCCACGTTATAAGTTACTTCGCTGAGCTCTCTGCTACTTCTTCTTAAATCGCAGCTGCAGATGGCAACGTTCCCGAGGTTGACGAAGCCGCCGGGCGACCGGGGAAGGAGGCGGGAGAAGCTCGCGGCTGCGTGACCGCGACGAAGAAGAAGCTGGTCAAGGTGGAGGTGTGGTCGGAAGACGTTCAGAAATTCATCGTCGTCAAGTTGCTGGAGGAGGACATTGGTCAAGGCGAGTTCCCGCCCCTTTGAGAGGCAATTTTACGTCTATATATATTTTTAAAAAATTGGCTTGTTTTACCATGGATCATATATCCCAGTTTGTGCTACTATTGGGAGTCATGTAATGAGGTTAAGGTATTATATTATTTTGTACTCCATTCAGCAGCATTCTATTCAACTAACGTGTCCATAGAATTCCATTGCACCCATAGAATAACACTGCCCATGGATTAACATTGCATTCTGTTCTTGCGTATGGCAGCAATAAGTTCACGGGCTAAATGCCAATGTTGAAGGTCGGTCTGCTAGCCACGGTAAGAGGGCTGCAGGAGAGAGAGAGTCACGTGTAGTTTTTGCCGTTCTCCGTTGAAGGAACGCAGACTACAGTGGGTCTACTATTTGGTCCAGAGGCTAACGTCGTCCGTAGAATAACACTGGACCTATAGAACAACACTGCCCAATAGGTTAACATTGCATGTAAACTGTTATATCCTTGCCCATGGCAGCAGTGCGGTTCGGGAGCTACAGGTGCCCATGTCCGAGGTCTGCTCCTTGCCACGACGAGAGGGCTTCAGTTTTTCGAAGGAGCGCAGGCCACAGGTGGTGTTCACCGTATGGGTCCGTAGCTTTTGGGTTGCATGGCCACAATCGCACTACTCTACCGCGGTCCATCTTTTCAACAAACAACAACAACGACAGAAAAGTGTCCTCGTGGAAATGAATGGCAGGGCAGCCACACGGGAAGGACACTCAGACCACCATGCGAGCTACGGTCGTTGACCAGAGGTCGCAAGCGGGTTATGATTCCTTACCCGTACCCGTACCTGGCCGCACCAGGGTCGCAAACGGGTACTCGTACCCGTACCCGGCTGGGTACGGGTACGGGTTACCCGTACCCTACCCGATACCCGGCTACCCGTACCCGTACCCTACCCGATACCTGGCTACCCGTACCCGGCCGGGTATCAAGTAGGGTACGGGTATCGGGTACCCGATTGCGACCTCTGGGATGAAGCCATGTTGCAGGCACGGGTGGGTTGATTCTAGGAACTTGAATTGTGAGAAGAGACAAGACGTTGGGAAATGAGTGACAAACAGTTACTCACCAGTGACTCACGGCCTTCTCACTCATTGGTTTGGGGTGAGTCACGTGCGGCTACCCGTACCCGGCCGCACCAGGGTCGCAAATGGGTACCCGTGTATCGGGTAGGATACGGGTAGCCGGGTATCGGGTAGGGTACGGGTATCGGGTACCCGATTGCGACCTCTGTCGTTGACCTCGCAGCGGCGGCGGCGGCTTTTGGCTCGCCCGTTGAACAGAGACGGTGATCACCTTCCGATATGAGGAAGCCACTGGGAGCTATGCACTTCCCTCGCACCTCCAATCAGCTCGGTTGGCTACGTCCCTTTATTGATTGTGACTAATATTGGGTCGCGAGAGGCCCACCGCGCATTAAACTCCCTCATGCGTGAATGCCAACGGGGGCCGCGTTTTGAAACATTTTGCAGCTCCGGACCGAAGCACTGCTCCAGTTGATGGAGGCAGCAGCGAGAGGCCCGAGGAGACGGGGAACTCCCGTGGACGCGTGGACGCCCCAGACCAGAACTTTATCGAGGTGGAGTTGTCGGAGGACGACGTCGGTGAAGGTGAGAGGGGCCCCCCGCCACCTCTGATCGCGTCGCGGAGTAAATCCAGCTTTGTCTTGGGTTTTTTTTATTTACCGACCCAGTGTTCCAAGCTGTGCTGCTGTTGGAGTCGGTCATGCGCGAATAGAACTCATCTAATAAGTATGGTTTTTCCAATGTGTCGTAGAACTGTGAGTCTGCGGGTCTCGGTGTGAGTCTATGGGGCTCTATGTGAGTCTATGGGGTTGTGTGTGAGTCTATAGATCTCTGTGTGAGTCTCTATGTGAGACTTTGGGTCTCTGTGTGAGTCTACAGGTCTGTGGGTGATTCTATGCGTCTCTGTGTGAGTCTATGTGCCTTTGTGAGTCTATGGGCCTCTTTGTGAGTCTGTAGGCCTCTGTGAGTCTATGGGCCTCTGTGAATCTGTGAGCTTCTTTGTGAGTCTACGGGCCTCTGTGTGATGAGTCTATGGGTCTCTATGTTAGTCTATTAGTCTACGTGAGTCTATGGTTCTCTGTGTGCGTCTGCGGGTCTCTATGTGAGTCTATGGGTCTATGTGTGAGTCTGTGTCTCTGTGTGAGTCGATGGGTTTCTGTGTGAGTTTATGGGTTTCTCTCTGTGTGAGTCTATGGGTTTCTGTGTGAGTCTATGGGTTTCTGTGTGAGTCTATGGGTTTCTGTGTGAGTCTATGGTTCTCTGTGAGTCTATGGGTTTCTCTCTGTGTGAGTCTATGGGTTTCTGTGTGAGTCTATGGGTTTCTGTGTGAATCTGTTGGCTTCTTTATGAGTCTATGGGCCTCTGTGAGATCAGTCCCTGCCTGCTTGGCCTTCACCACATATATAACCTCTTGTTGTAACAGCGCTCTCACTGTGTTCTTCCTGGTTCAGCAGTTCCATTGCTGGATTCTTTTTTCTGCCTGAGGACGACTGCTTGTGTTGCAATCGAAACGTCGTGATATATAATCTTTTATTATATTTTTCTACCTGCGTGACTTTACCGAAAGAACAAAAGAGTAGAGATCCAACTAATACTTTAGAACGTAAGACGACTGCAATCATTGCAAATTCATTAATCCCCAAGACTAAGCAATACCAAATTAAGCCAAGGGCCTCAAAACCACCTAGACCAGGGGTCGGCAACCAAAATAACAAGAAGAGCCATTTCTTTCCAATTCGGTACAAAATTCAGTATTTCAAGAGCCGCAATGCATCTGAGTACATACTGTACATACGTACATATCATCAAGAAGCAGCCCGTAAAGAGCCGCATGCGGCTCCGGAGCCGTAGGTTGCCGACCCCTGACCTAGACTGTATGGGCTACCAAAGATTAATAAAATCGGCATCCCATTATGACCCATAGTAAGTACAATTGGCTCTGCCACATAAATGAGCAAAATATGTAACTAAACAAATACAGCCCTATACATCGGTAGGACATCTTAATTCATAATAAATTCAGAACATCTTATGAATGTGATTAAAGATATTAAACTTAACCCTAATGATATTCTGGTGAGTTTTGATGTGATTTCTCTATTCACTAAGGTTCCAGTTAATGAGTCGCTTAAATTACTTGATACACTAGTAAGGAATACAGGTTTACTAAAAGATATTCCAAAACTAGCTGACCATTGTTTAAATAACATTTTTTTATGGAGAGGTGATTTCTTTAAACAAAAGGAAGAAACAGCAAAAGGCTCTCCTTTATCTCCTGCTATAGTAAATCTGTACATGGAAAACTTTGAAACAAGAGCACTTGCCTCAAGTACATTTAAATAATCGTTTTGGTTTAGATATGATGATGATACTTTGGTTGTCTGGCCCATGGTAAAGATACACTTAATGCATTTCTAAATCATCTCAATGCACAAAACCCGGCCATCCAGTTCACCATGGAAATGGAGGTGAATAACACACTCCCTTTATTAGATATTTTGCTTGGACATGGCCTAAATGGTAAAATAACACACAGCATTTACCAAAAGGGAACGCACAATGATGCCTATCTGAATGCAGATTCACATCATCACCCAGCTCAGAAATCCTCTCTTATCAAGACGCTCATACATCGGGCTAAAACAGTGTCAGATGGTGAAAGTCTAGGGAGAGAGATTAAACATGTTAAAGAAGCACTACGACAGAATGGCTACAATAATGCTCAAATTAACAGCACTGAATGCCAAATCACGATCGCAAAGCAACACTGCTGAAAGCGATCAGATTATTAAAACAATTAAAATACCATATATCTCAGGAGTAACTGACAAATTAGCCCATGTTTTGCAAAAGCAAAACATTAAAGTATGATTTGGTACAGTACACAAAATAAAAAAACTAGTATCTTGTACTAAAGACGAATTACATAAATTATCAACAGAAGGTGTATACCGGATTAATTGCTCATGTGACAGATACTATATTGGACAGACGGGACGTAACATCAGCGTAAGACTAAAATAACACCAAAGAAATGATCTCAAACACAACTGTCGGCAGTGGCAGAACATGCTTGCCAACAAGGCCAATCAATTGATTTTGATAACGTTGAAGTGTTGTGTAAAACTAATTATTACTGGCCAAGACTAATTCGAGAATCCATTGAAATTGAGAAATATACAAATAATTTTAATCGCTCTGACAGCTACAGGCTTAGTGCGACCTGTAAGCGTATTATTAAGTAATACATATTACAATTCCTTATAGGGGAAACACATACTAATTGACTTATTACTAACGTAGTATATCATTACAATAACCCTTCGCAACCTCTGATTTCTGCACCTGATTGGGTATAGTAATTGGGTTCAATTATTAAATAATACACATTACAACTAATTACTAATCTACAAATGATTACTCATCATAACAATTAACTAATTACTAACCTATTATATAATTACAATACCCCCCCTCTCCGCCAGAGGTCGCAAACGGGTTTTGATTCCTTACCCGTACCCGGCCGCACCAGGGTCGCAAACAGGTACCCGTACCCGGCTGGGTACGGGTACGGTACGGGTATCGGGTACCTGATTGCGACCTCTGGGATGAAGCCACGTAGCAGGCGCGGGTGGGTTGATTCTAGGAACTTGAATTGTGAAAAGAGACAAGACGTTGGGAAATGAGTGACAAACAGTTACTCAACAGTAACTCACGGCCTACCCGTACCCGTACCTGGCTGCACCAGGGTCGCAAATGGGTAGCCGGGTATCGGGTAGGGTACGGGTATCGGATACCCAGTTGCGACCTCTGCTCTCCGCCTCTGATCTCTGCACCTGATTTGGTTAAATGATGACGTCACCCTGCTGCTCTATTTAAGACTGGGAGCAGGTGGAGGGTCTCCATTAGTCGTGGTGCGACTGTGGTCATCCATGACAGACGGTACACACTGCTCCCGCTGACGCGCTCGACTGGGCTTGACCACCATCTGAACGTGAAATTGTAGTCGCTGCTCTGCCATCGACGTCGGCAGCCATACGAGAGAAGGGCAATGGGGTGCGTTTTGTGAGTGACAGCTCCGGATCCGAATGCCGTTCGAGTCGAAGAAGCCACCGAGAAGCCGGAGGAAGTGAAGGATTCCCGTGGGTACGTGAACACTCCGGACCAGAACTTCATCGAGGTGGAGTTGTCCGAGGAGGACACGGGTGAAGGTGAGAGAGAGTGAGCGTGTGTGTTCGCCCCCCCCCCGCTCCGGTAGCGGTTAGCACTCGGAACCTGGCAACCCAAGTTCAATTCCCGCTCACGGCCAACACCGGTGACAATTATCCGAACTGGTCATGGGCCCTCCCCTAGGTCGACTCACCATTACAGAGTTAGACTGATGGCCTTAATCTAAGTTGTCTTGTGGTTGTTGTTGGTTGTTTGACTTGCATCCCACTGGGATTTTTGCACACAGCGTTGGTGTACGGTGTTTTTTTCTGCAATATTTTGCTGTCTTTTCTTGGATTTTCTGTTTGCACTCAGTTACATATTCACTTTAAGATGTTTTTTGTTCATGTTTTAGTTTTTTGTTTGTTGCGGTTGCATCCGAATCAAGAGCCGAATGGCTCACAGGGCTATACCTAATACATGAACTTGAACTTGAACTGGGGAGACAAAGGCGGCCGGGTGTGATGCTGGCCACCCACTCCCTCGTGTGCTGTGCCGGCCTTCATAGGTGCTGCTCGCTAACAGCACTTGCCCCTACAGTCTGTTCAGGCTATACAGGGGATCCATAATAGAGTTTTTTTGGGATTAGATCGAGTGATGGATATCCATTGTAATTTATGTGTATACATTAACCCCCCCCCCCCACTGGCCTTTGCACCTGATTGGTTCACAAGTGACAACATCACATGTATCTCTCTATACAAGAACGAAACAGGAGTACGATTTCTCCACAAATCTGGCTCTCGCCTGATGATGCTGGTTGTTGTAATTACCGGAGAAATGTCACGGTACTCAAATCGTAAATGTCGAAATGGGTTTACTCCAACACACAACCGGTTAGTGCTGTACTAGTAACAAATTGGCCACGTTTTGTTTACGTGACAAACCTTACTAATTGGCTGTGCCGGGTGGTGGCGGGTTGAATGACACACATTTATATTTACGCGATCTAACCCAAAAAAAAACCTTTTATGGATAATATTGGTCGCGAAAGCCCTACTACATGTTAAACTATACGGAGGGTCTTTGTCTGTTCCCCCCTAACCTTTCTTTGATCGCATCGGACGTAGCAAATGCAACGTGTAAAATATTTATATATAAAAAATATATAACACAATAGCTTAGGTTGCTCAACTAAAACTAAACTAGTGATAGCTCAACGAAGTGGATTTATCATCATCATTGTGTGGGCATTTTATATCAGCAGCCAAGCACTCTAAACGCGTGTTTCTACTGACCCATAGAGATCCACAGAAATCCACAGAGACCCATACTCATCGAGACTCGTGCTAAAACAAAACTATTGTATTGACCAGGTAAGGCCGACTGAGCTATGTAGCTCCTTTTCAGGAGTGACCTGGCCATCACAAATGATAGCTCAACGCAGTGGCTTGTCATCATCATGTGGAAGGTTATAGCAGCAACCAAATCTATATCTGGGTGTCTGTCTGTCTGTGTGTATCTTTCATCATGTTTCTGTAAATATCTCGATCTCTTGGTATGACCGAATGTTTCTCTGTCTGTCTGTATCGAGTTGTCTGTGTCTCTCTTGCTTTGTCTCTCTGTTACTGAGTCTGTATTATCTTTCTACGTTGAATTGGAAATCGTTCTGTAAGTTCACCGTGACCAAAAGAAAATATTCCAACGTTAAAACGTCACTGTTGCCTTTGGTGTGGCGACTCGTCATTTTATCTCTCGCCCCCCCTACCCCCTTTGCCACCAAGTCTAACCGAACTATCGCAATTTGCGTTTCGTGAAAACCTGCAGCCGACGACGATGACGACGACGATGATTGCGGCGGCGACGTCGGCGGCGACGACGGCGGCGACGGCGGCGACGACGACGGCGGCGACGACGACGGCGACGACGCTGCGAAAGAATCGGAACCGCCGTGCGACGAGTGCGGGAAGGGCGGAGCCTTCGAAGTGATGAAGACGGACGAAGCGCAACGCAGCGGCAAGACGTGGGGAACCTGCAAGCGTTGCGGGAAGGTGGCGGAAGGCGCCCCGCCGTGCGCGGTGGCGGTTGCCGCCGACGAGAGGAAGCTCGCGTGCAAGGAGTGCGGCAAGGAGTTTACGACGCGTCGCGACTTAAACACGAACTCCATCTCGCATACGGGGGAGTACGCGCACGCGTGCGAGGAGTGCGAGAAGGGGCTCTCGAAGACTCCTGTGGAGGCGGCGGCGGCACTGCCGCCGCCGACGAAGAAGAAACGCTGCCGGGCGCGCGCCGGCGAGAGGCCGCACACGTGCGCCGAGTGCGGCAAGAGCTTCTCGCGGCTGTCCAACCTGGAGCTGCACTCGAGGACTCACGCGGCCAGGAAGTCGCACGAGTGCGCCGAGTGCGGCAAGACGTTCACGCGCCGCTTCAGCCTGCAGATACACGCGAGGACGCACACGGGCGAGAGGCCGCATGTGTGCGTCGAGTGCGGCAAGGGGTTCGCGGCAAGGGCCGACTTGAACAAGCACGGCAAGACGCACGCCGTTCGGAAGACGCACGCGTGCGCGGAGTGCGGGAAGACATTCACGAAGCTCTCCAATTTGGAGGCCCACTCCAGGGTGCACAGTCGGGAGAACCTGCACACGTGCCTGGAGTGCGGAAAGAGCTTCTCGAAGCGCTCCACCCTGAACACGCACTCGAGGACGCACACGGGAGAGAGGCCGCATGTGTGCAAGGAGTGCGGCAAGGCGTTCTCGCAGCGCTCCAACCTGGACACTCACTCCCGTACGCACACGGGCGAGAAGCCGCACGTGTGCATGGAGTGCGGGAAACGGTTCACGCGCCACTCCAGCTTGGAGATACACTCCCGGACGCACACGGGCGAGAGGCCGCACGTGTGCCTGCAGTGCGGGAAGGGGTTTACGGCCCAGGCCGACTTAAACAAGCACTGCAAGACGCACACGGGCGAAAAGCCGCACGTGTGCGAGGAGTGCGGCAAGAGGTTTTCCAAGCGCTCCAATTTAGAGGCCCATTACAGAACCCACACGGGCGAGAAGCCGCACATCTGCAAGGAGTGCGGGGAGAGGTTTTCGAAGCGCTCCACCTTGGAGAAACACTCGAGGACGCACACGGGCGAGAGGCCGTACATGTGCGAGGAGTGCGGCAAGAGGTTTACGCAGCGCTACAATTTAGAGATGCACTCCAGAACGCACACGGGCGAGAAGCCGCACGTGTGCGAGGAGTGCGGCAAGGGGTTTTCGCAGCGCTCCACCCTCGACAAGCACTCGATCACGCACACGGGCGAGAGGCCGTACATGTGCAAGGACTGCGGGAAGAGGTTCACAACGCGGACTTATTTAAACAAGCATTTTAGGACGCACTCCCACGAGAAGGTGCACATCTGAAAGGGGGTTCGTGTGGGTAGGGGGGGGGGAGCTTTCGACTTGAGTTCCAGAATTACGCACTGGTGAGAGGACGACACGCGTGCATGGATATTTTTTAGGAAAGATAGTCCTCCACGCTGGGAAGTTGAAAACCTCGAACTGAAAAAGGTGTTATTTCGGATTAAAATTGTGCTTTTTAATTAATTTATTCCCTGACTACAGACAGAGCAGAGGTGTGAATGTATATATTCCATAGGTAGTAACAATCTATTAACAGTAACAATCTATTAACAGCAATGACCAGTGATTTTCTTAAATGTGTGGGTTTTACGCATGTATCCGTAAGTGTTGAACTGATTTTTTTAATGTATCCGAATTTTCTGATTAATGTCCGCTGTTTACCGAGTCTCCCAGAGTCCGGCGATCTTGTTGGAGACTCCGGAAGCCAAGCAAAGCTCAGCCTGGATAGTACTCGGATTCCTCTGATTATGAACATTCGACTTATGAACTTTAGGAGATGTGAACAAACATGTCCGAATGTCCAGTTGCAGTTGTTAGGACTGAGATTCATAAGTTCAACTGCCGCGTAAAAAATGGTGGTGGTGGCACCTACGACTGCAGAATATGATGAACCAGTCGCATCTACATCTACAGGAGATTGTGCAACTTTTAAAGCCATTCCACGTGTTTAGTGTACACGCCATACGACATATTTGGAATCGACGGAAGTAAAGTTTGACTTTCGAACAAATCGACTTACGAACAGACCTCTGGAACCTAACTCGTTCGTAAGTAGAGAGGAGTCCCTGTACTTGGATGGGTAACCACCCTTCCCACAATGGGTTGCCATGCAACATAGTTGTCATTGGGCTGTAGCGGGCTATACCGTCACGTGAACAGTAGGGGCAGTGCAGAAAAAAATATATACATTGTTGTACTGCACTTCTATGTTCGCCCCTCCACATATATTCTCCCTGCTATTACCGACGCACAGCCGGACTGGCGTGGTTGAACCGTGGCAGAATGAATGCAATCGCAATCTGTCCAGGCGACATAGACTGGACTCGATTGGATTCAATCCCATGTAGAACGGACAGATAATAATCGTCCACGCTTGGCTGTATCTTCTTCTGCTGGCGAACCAGCTAAGGTTTATGGCACCTCCTTGATGATGCGCATGGGAAGGGAAAGTTTCGCAAAATACACGATCCTTATGGCGGTACCCTGGGGTACCAAATAATTCAAAATGGCCGAGGCAATTAAATATTTTATTTCTGGGACACTTTTTTTCAGGGGTGTACTTAACTCCGCGACTGGGGTACCAATCCGAAATCAGTGCTACTCCGCGATGTTGAAATGCCAAACATCATAAAAAATCCGTTATTGAAAATTTAAACTTTGATTAGTGCATCGTGTACAGCTCATCGAGATGAGTCGATTGCCGCATCGGCGACCATCAACAGACTAAAAATTACTGCATCATGGACATTATGCGAGAGCCGGGGTACTATGGTACCCCGAGATACCGCCATAAGGTTCACATGTTGCGTTTTCGCTGATCCACCAACCTACGCTGCCTCTACGGTGGTCACCGCCGCATGGTCCCGAGTCTCACTTCTGTTCCGTACTTTTGCTCGTTTTATCGACCCGTAAAAAAACGGGTTGCCGTAAAGAGCCGTCGTTCTTGCAGTCGTACCGCGTGGAACCACCGCGTCACTCCGTTATGTTTAGACGCGCGATTCAACATTTTTTCAGTAATTTTCTGTTTAAAAAAAAAAGATGGGACAACGTGCCTCCCCTTTTGCTTATGAAGTCTGGGCTTGATCTCCAAACGTTCTTGGCAATGTCCGTTTGCCCATCTCAAAAGCTGATGCTTTAAAACGTGAACGTCTTTATATTGTTATTGTTTATGATTGATATTCGTTCTGGGAAATCGCGGTCGCGAACGGTTTTTGAAGTTGGAAATCGAAATTTGCGGGCAGACCCCACTGAGCTGCGTCGTTGTTCCTGGTGAGGTGAGAGCAGCGTTCATGGGGATGCGTTCCCGACGGCGCTGTGACCAACCTCGAGCGCTTCGTTGGCGTGTTGGTAACATCATCAATAGTACAGACGGTCAAAGTTATTTCATACGTAAAATTATAAGTTTATTATATTGTCCTCATGTGTTCATTCTACTGTACTTTCTGCAAGCCTCCAAGGATGCCTGTGATCTTAGCTATGTCCTCAGTCTAAATCTCTGTGGGTCTGAGCCAGAGACTCCACCCTGGTTTCGTGAGTTCCTAAACAAATCGAATTGTAGGGGGGTTGTGGTCTGATCGGCTTAGGGCATGCTTTGCTCTCATTGGCTGAATGATAGGCGGCACGGGGGTTCATTAACCCCAGGCCAGCACTCCTGCTGCATGTTCTCACATTCTGAAGCGCTCTTTAGATTGCAGTACAGTAGACTCTTGAATTTCCGCGCTAATGACAGGGATGACGTTCCGCGGATAATTCAAAATCGTAGATAAAAAAAAAAAAAATTTCCGCAGACCTTTATGCCAAAAATCACAAATATAGGTGTGAATTACCGATTGATGATGCGCGTACTTGGTGATAACTTTCCTGCTCCCACCCAGCAGAAAAGTCTGCCCACGAAGTGGAGAGCAGAGCCACGCCAATCAACATCAATCTAACTCCGCGCCATTGTTGTAAAGATATGACAACTCCTGTACTGTAGAGCCAACAGCGTGGATTTCGGATTAACCGGAGCAACTTACAGTATTTGTTCGGTTTAAGCACGTGACTTGTAATAAACATTTCCAAGAATAACAATGTGGTAATGTTTTTTAGATTATTAATTTGGGCTATTGAATTTATGTCAAAATTCCAGGTGTGCAGTTAATCCGCAAATAGGATTAACCCGCGCATGCGGATAATCGAGAGTCCACTTTATTTTATTTCATTTTTTACTAAAGTGATAATCTCCAGGGCAAACATCGCTATCACTCATTGGCGTTCCCTGTGGGGTCGCGCTAAGAGAGGTCTGCTTGTATTCGATATGAAGAAATTACCCCAATTTTTATTTTGACTACTTTCCGGGTCGTTAAATCTAGTCCTGAGCATTTTTATTCGATGAGAACAATGGACGGGGGTGGGGTGGGTACTGAGGGGAGTGTTGTCAATGATCCTCAGAATTCCAATGTATTTAGTTACAACTCCTTGTTGCTTTAGAGCCGGTAGCAAGTGTAAAGTTATTTAGAATCGAATGACTTGTGGTTGTCTAGAAGAGGTATATACAGTTTATCGTTGTCATATGTTGTATTTATCTATTATTTGATTGTTGAAGGTGGTCCCCTTGAGTTAGTTGGTTATTTAGCGTATCACATACTTTTTGTTCGATTTTCATGCATATTTTGTCAGTGCGTAATGTGAGACCGAGGGGCTGATAAATATTATCATGATCTGAATTGTCAACCCTTTGTGTAATAAAATTTGGTTTGAGATCAGCGTTGTTTTAATATCATCTAATTTCCTTGATAACTCATTTCTTTATAACTGCTTGTTGGTGTTTGATTTGTTGTCCTTCCCCCACACATCCGATTAGCACACCTCCGCAAAAGAAGTTCAACATACACTACACTATACACTACATAGTCATTATAGGCCTGTCTCCAGAGACAATTCTTTTGCGCCTTACGAGGTCAGCTGTAAGTTTTGCAGCGCCTAAATGACTTAGTAGGCCAATCTGAGTGACAATCCTTGCCACAGCAATTGTAAGTGAATGCGGGTGGCAGCTCCAGAGGCGTTTGTTGCTTTTTAAATCCTTTATATTAAGTTCGCTTGCTTGCGTGCTTGCGTGCTTGCTTGCTTGCGACCGTGCAAATCTTTCGGTCGTTTTTTAACCCACTTCCCGTGATCCAATCGAGCTGACATTTTGCACACAGACTCGTTGTGCGAGACAATTAATGTTCGTGAAATTTTTTTCCCAAAATTTTACACTGTTTAGGGAAAACAAATGAAATATTTAATTACCAATTGTTTAATACTGGCAGACAATCATCTGACCCATAGGTGGCAGCCATCTCAAGCCAGAGGACGAGAGGACTCTAGCCGCCACGCATATAAAGGATTTATAGTGAAAAACTTTGTTTTTACGGGTTATACTTATTCTTTACGTCGCTCCCTCTTGGTCTGCCAAACGGTGTGTCTTTTCTCCTCGCCTCTCCTGAGGCCTGTTTTCACAGCCTGCTGCCAGCTGAGTCGGTCGCCAGCAGTTTTCTCTCAGTCATTTGGGTTGATGTCGCAGCAAGTTCTTAAATACACTTGATACAGCAAATCTGGCTGTGACGGTCCCACCTGATGACGGAGACTTGTGTTGCCTCCGAAACGTCGTGATTTTTATTGTTTTATTTTTATTAATTTCATTTTTTTACCTACGTGACTTTACCGAAAGAACTAAGAGTATGAATCCTTGCAGTCACGAAAGCTTCAAATCTAGAAAAAAAATTTGATGTTATATTTTATTCCGCTGCACCACGTCTCTAGACATTCGTCTTGTCCCGCATCTTGTCCCCCATCTCGTCGTCTTGTCCCGCATCTTGTCCCCCGTCTCGTCGTCTTGTCCCGCATCTTGTCGCCGTCTTGTCGTCTTGTCCCGCATCTTGTCCCCCATCTCGTCGTCTTGTCCTGCATCTTGTCCCCCATCTCGTCGTCTTGTCCCGCATCTTGTCCCCCATCTCGTCGTCTTGTCCCGCATCTTGTCGCCCGTCTCACCGTCTTGTCCTGCATCTTGTCGCCCGTCTCACCGTCTTGTCCCGCATCTTGTCCCCCATCTCGTCGTCTTGTCCCGCATCTTGTCGCCCGTCTCATCGTCTTGTCCCGCATCTTGTCCCCCGTCTCGTCATCTTGTCCCCCGTCTCACCGTCTTGTCCCGCATCTTGTCGCCGTCTTGCTGCGTGGTCGCTGCTGCTGCTGCTGCGTTGGAGAGACCCGCAGAGGTTTGGTGGTGAAATTCACTCAAGACGCGATGTGAATTCACACTCACATCGCCATTCACTCTCTCTGTGTCTCTTGAACCGCATCCACTGCTATCACGAGAGGTGAATTCACACTCACACCGCCACTCACTCTCTCTGTCTCTCTCACCCTGTTCACTGCTATCACGAGAGGTGAATTCACACTCACATCACCATTCACTCTCTCTGTCTCTCTCACCCTGTTCACTTCTGTTATGGGAGGTGAATTCACACTTACACCACCATTCACTCTCTCTGTCTCTCTCACCCTGTTCACTGTTGTCACGAGAGCTGAATTCACACTCACATCACCATTCACTCTCTCTGTCTCTCTCGCACCGTGTTCACTGCTGAATTCACCTCTCGTAACGTATTCAAGCAAAACTAAGTTTGACTTGACTGTAGGAGACTTAGCACGGGTTGGCTACGTACGGCGCAAAAGAAGTTCAGCACACGTCAATTATAAGCACGCACTAACAAATAGAAGTCTACGTCTAAATACAGGGCGTTTTAAAAAGATGGGCCAGAGCCAGCGTTCGGCAATCAAAGCTGTATCGGAGGCGGCAGAAGGCAGCAGTCAGTGGCTCTGGATGAAGAGGAAAGACCCCAGCTGGGCCCCAAAGTGAGAGGGCCAGGAGGTATGCGGTCAACAATGCTTGACTCAGGGAGGAGGACGCCCCTGCCATGCATAGTCCCATGGGATGTTGGCTACCAACAACAAGGCAACTCCTATGACTAATTGGGAATGGGACGCAAGCGTAGGATTGATCACCCTGTCGCTGGCCGCCTTTGGGGAGGGTGTATAGTGTGAAAGGCCGAAACACCCTAGGAATCAAAGGGTCACTACTGACGATGCGCTCCCCAAATTTCACCAGGCTCACTGTTCATGAACTCTTGGAAGTGCTTGCACAAAGGATAGTAACATCTCATCCTGTGTTCTTTGGAATCACGATGGCAACATGTTACAATTACACGAAAAGTTAGAAACGGTTTAATGAGTTATCAAGTTTTACTAAACATTTTATAAATGCCATATGTGCCCTCCACCTGCTGTACGGACAGCATCGAGACGATAATTGAATTCGTCCCAAACGCCTCTCAAAGTGTCTTCTCTTCCACTGAAGTCACCGCTGCCGTAATTCTGTTTGAGGTCATCCAGATTATTCGCTAATGGTGGCACAAAAACACGACGGTCTTTTGTGCCACAATGCTCTTTGACATTGGCGGATCAATGCCAAAACGCCGTTGAAACGCACGCTGCACCGCAATTACGGATTCAGTTTTGCTGAACTGCAGAACGCAAAACGCCCCTTGTGTTGCGGGGTCACCATCTTTGGAATGACTGAGGCTCGGGGCTATTTGTGCGCTGCGAGAGGCATCTAGTTGTAATCATTTGAAACTCTACGCCCCGCCCTTTCAAGTGGTAAGAGTTTCATTCATGGGCGGTTCGTGGTTGCAGAGATATAGCGATTTCAAATCGGGTCCATCCTTTTGAAACACCCTGTATACTGTGTGTGTGTGGTATTCTTAGGTTTTTTCGGTAAAGTCACGTAGGTAGAAAATCAAAATTAACAAAAATAAAATAAAATAAAGTGACGGTTCCACCTGAAGACGGAAGCTTGTGTTGCCTCCGAAACGTCGTGATTTTTATTTTATTTTTATTTTACTTTTATTAATTTAGATTTTTTACCTACGTGACTTTACCGAAACAACCTAAGAATATGAATACTTGCAGTCACGAAAGCTTCAAATCTAGAATATGTGTGTGGTGTTTGTTTCCCCCTCCTTCCAGATGACTTCTCAATTTAAATTGCCGCTCGTCAAACAAGAGCGCGACGACTCAAGCGCCGAGACGTGGCCGTGCGTGAAGGTGAAACGTGAAGAGGACGAAGCTGATGAAGCTGATGAAGCTCACGCCGGTGAGATTCTGTCCTCTGTGTCTCCCACTTTGCCCCCCGCCCACCCACCCAGGGCCGGATGAAGGCGTGGGGGGGCTTTTGGGGGTGCAGGCAGCTTAAGGGCCTCCAGAGATGAAGTGGTGAAAAGTTATTTCCGTTTGTGAACGCTGAATTTTATTTGTCGTTAGCCTTGTAAAAAATACTGTTTTCTTTAACTTTGTTTGACTTTTTAAAATATCACTGGGGGAGGGGGGGGGCTCACAGTACCTGGAGCCCAGGGGACTACAAAATCTTAATCCGGCCCTGCCCGACCCACCACCCATCGCTTCTTAATCCTCCACACTGCCACCGTTGTAAGTCCATTTCTGGCCGACACTTTGCCCTGCGACGCGCGCCACGGTGGGCCTGGAGATGTTGACGACCTCGCATGTTTTTTCCCTTCAAGCCCAAATTAATCATCTAAAAACAGCTGTACATTGTTTTTCTTGGAAATGTTTGTTACCAGTCGCGTGTTATCACTGAGTACGTGCGCCATCAATCGGTCGATCGTGACTTCATTCTCAATTTATATTCTTTGCGTTTCAATTTATACCGATATTATTGTTTTTTGGCATAGAGAGCCGTGGAAAATGGAGATTTTTTTGGATTATCTGCGATTTTCAACTATCCACGGCCACTCTCCCCGTCTTTAGCGCAAATAATCGAGAGTTATACTGCAATAGAAAGTCCCACTGTAATCGAGATTCCTATTGTAATCCCCACCCATCCCCTTTGCTTCTAATCAATCCCCTCTGCTGCTCCCCTTCTCACAGCCTTCAACGGACTAAGCCCCCCATCCCTCACCTCTTTCAAAATCTCCCCGCCTTCTATCCATTTTCAAACCTTCCAACCAATCGCCATCTGGCAAGCTGCATCATCATCATCATCACAGCTATCCTGGTGCACTTGCGCCCTCCCCCCCTGCCCAGGTCGTAGCGGTTATAGAGTTTTTACGCTATCCATCTCACCCCTCCCCCCCCCCAGTATGTCCTTCCAAAGACGCTATCCAAGAATGGTCTACCAACCTTGCATACACATACTCAGACCGTCCCATCCACCAAGAATGGTCTACCATCCTTGCATACACATACTCAGACCGTCCCATCCACCATTAACGCGGGTGCATTCTCTACCTTAACAGCTCGGGATCAGGGGCTTGTTAAGGCCGAGGGAGTGATTGAAAGGCCGGAGGAGAGACCACTGCGTATGGGCTCTCCAGGCTACAGCCTCACTGACACGGAACCACCAGAGGGGGACGTCGGTCGAGGTGAGATCCCTTTCCCCAACGGAGAAAATGAAATGCTCTGTCGCTCTTATTACCGGTTATATATACAGGGTGCTTCAAAAAAATGTAACAGTACCACAGTAAGTGTGCCTCCGGGCTCAGGAGACCACCTGGAGAAGATTCCAGGCACGTGTTGACAATGATGGCGAAAAAGTGGAGACTATTTGACTTTTTGAAGCTATTAACATTACATTTGTTGTCATGTTACAGTGTATTATCCGTTCATTTTCCATTAAAAACGATAGTCCCATGTAAGTGTTACATTTTTTTAAGCAGCCTGTATATCGCAGTCATGATCTAACCTTGAACAAAAACGGTGGTTACCGCATCGCTCGGCACTTTCATATGCGCTTGTGCGGCCGCCTGGAACACCTCTTCCCTTCTGATATTAAGAAGTCACTGTGAGATATGCACTTTTAAATAATAATCATTTAGATTGACAAACTAATTTCTTTAGCGCTGCTTGATCTGTCTAGTTTGTTGTCCTTCCCCCGCACCTCCGTTTGGCACGGTTGGCTACGTACGGTGCGAAAGAAGTTCAACGTACACACGTGGCGTGGTCAACGCCACCACACTCTCGGCCGACTTTATCTCCCCAGCGCAGATGCTTTAAACTCTGCACCGGACACTCGTGTTGAGGCCGAGTCTACTTGCAACAGGCGTGCGTGCGTACGTATAACACCTCGAGCCTACAAATCACCACCACCCCCCATTTTGCGTCATGTTTGAAAAATGTCGCTGCAGGCGAAGGAACGGGGGCAGACGAGGCCGAGCGGGCGGGGCGGCCCCTGCGAGGCTGCGTGCGGCACGGAAAGAAGTCGGGAGGCTCCGCGTCGCGCAGTCGCAGAAAGGTGCCCGCCGACAAGAAGCCGCGCTCGGCCGCATCGTATGGGGGGCAGAACGCCACCGCAGCCGTCGCCGCCGCCGCCGCCGCGACTCCCGCGGCGGGCAAGTCGGGAGGGCCGGCAGTGACGAGGCGAGCCGGCGAGAAGCCGCACGCGTGCGGGGAGTGCGGCAAGGGCTTCACACGGCGCTGCAATCTAGAGACGCACTCGAGGTCGCACACCGGCGAGAAGCTGCACCCGTGCGCGGAGTGCGGGAAGGGGTTCACGGCGCGCGCCGAACTGACGAAGCATTCGCGGACGCACACGGGCGAGAGGCCGCACGCGTGCGAGGAGTGCGGCAAGGGGTTTTCCAAGCGCTGCAATTTAGAGACTCACTCGAGGACGCACAGCGGGGAGAAGCCGCACGCGTGCGCCGAGTGCGGCAAGAGGTTCTCGAAGCGCTCCACCTTGGAGACCCACTTGAGGACGCACACGGGCGAGAGGCCGTACATGTGCGACGAGTGCGGGAGGAGGTTCACGCAGCGCTACAACTTGGAGATGCACTCGAGGACGCACACGGGAGAGAGGCCGCACGTGTGCAAGGAGTGCGGCAAGGGCTTCTCGCAGCAATCCACCCTGAATAAACATTGCGCGACGCACACGGGCGAAAGGCCGCACGCGTGCGCGGAGTGCGGGAAGAGATTCACGCAGCGCTACACTTTGGAGATGCACGCCAGGACGCACACGGGCGAGAAGCCGCACCTGTGCAACGAGTGCGGGAAGGGGTTTTCCCAGCGATCCACTCTGAATAAACATTCCATAACGCACACTGGGTAAATGCCACGCGCAGTTCTAGGGTTGTTGATTTTGAGTGAGCCGTTGTGTAAGTAAGACTTTTTTCAGAAGCGATCTGGCCATCACAAATGATAGCTCGGCGAAGTGGCTTAGCATCACGTGGAAATTTTATAGCAGCCAAATAATCTAAATGCGTGTATGTAAATGTGGGGTGGGAAAAATGCACACTATCACGGGGAGAGAGACACATGCAAATTCCAAATATAAAGCGGGCGTCGTCAGGGTTGGGGATCAAACCCGCGGCCTCCTGTACACCAGGCGAGGGAGATAAAATCTCCTAGCCACCGTGGCGTCCGATCAGATTTAGACGCATTCTCGAACACGCAACTGGTAACAAGCCAAGGGTATACAGAGTGCGGAGAACGGCTTGACGATGCGTGCGTAGTTAAATTATCATTCCAGAACACGCAACTCGTCAGACGCTACACATCTGATGAGAGCGTGTGGGATGGGAGTCCACAAAATATAAACTACTGCTTGAGACCCCACAGCAGGTGCACATATTGTGGGAAGGATGTTTTAACATGTCGGTTTTCTTGACCAATATCATCCATAATGCTAGTAACGAATTGGCACGTTCTGTTTACGTGACACTAAACCTTACTAATTGGCCGCGTCGGGTGGTGGCTGGTTTAACGACTCATTTATATATTGACAAGATCTAACCTGAAAAAAAACTTGTTAAAGAGGTTTTCCCGGATCGTTCCTATAAGTAGTGGGTTACAGAGCACACGCTCAATGGGACATTTGAATGTCGGCATTTCTCTTTCGATTCAAAGCAATGTTGACTGTAAGTTTATTTCTCGGTGGTATGAAACTGTAAAAAGTAATCAAAAAAAGATACGTGCATAAACATGATCTGAAAATAATGCCTATAAAACATGGAAGTGTGATTCATGTATTGTAAGCGTATGTGTGTATATGTGGGGAGCGGTAGTGTAGCGGTTAGCACTATGAACGCGGCGACCCGAGTTCGATTCCCGCTCACGGCCAACACCGGTGACGATTATCTGAACCGGTCCTGGGCTCTCCCCTAGATCGACTCAGCCTTAAATGAGTACCTGGTGCGGTGCATAGTAAATATCGTCACTGGAGATAATGGTGGCCGGGCGTGGTGGTGGCCACCCATGCCCTCGTGTGCCAAACCGGCCTTAATAGGTGCTCGCTAACAGCACTTGCCCCAACAGTCTGTTCAGGCTATACGGGGGATCCTAGTGGACATATTACACCAGCCCACAGGGGATTATTGTGTCCGTCCGTCGTGCATCCAAAAATGGGAGGGTTGGGGCTGGGTGGAGAGGGGAGGGGCTGGGTGGGGTGGGGTGGGGCTGGGTGGGGCTATGCTATGTAAATTAGAATAACAATTTGCTAAACCTTGGTCACAATATCTGGACTTGTCTTCATATAAAGCAATGCATAGATTTCTGTTCATATGATTATGGTTGTACTTTATTAATCCCTAATCTCAAACATGACATACAATGAAACAAAAAATGGTAAAAAAAAAGTAAAACAGAGCAATGTAATACAATACACTATTAGACATTGTAAAAAATAAAATAAAAAGTCCATCCCATGTGTTAGTGAATTTTTCAATATTTTTAGGCAGGAAATGGCAGGAAATTTGTTTTCAAATTTAGATTTTTTTTTCTGGGTTGGGACCCCCAGACCCCCTGGAAGATTTGGTCCCCCCCCCAATGTTGACTCCATGGCTACGGCCTTGATACCATGGCATTATAAGAATCATGGTATCATACTGCCAAAAATGTATCCCATGGCATTATAGGAATCATGGTATCATACTGCCAAAATGTATCCCATGGCATTATAGAAATCATGGTATTATACTGCCAAAAATGTATCCCATGGCATGATAGGAATCATGGTATCATACTGCCAAAAATGTATCCCATGGCATGATAGGAATCATGGTATCATACTGCCAAAAATGTATCCCATGGCATCATAGGAATCATGGTATTATACTGCCAAAAATGTATCCCATGGCATTATATGAATCATGGTATTATACTGCCAAAAATGTATCCCATGGCATTATAGGAATCATGGTATCATACTGCCAAAAATGTATCCCATGGCATCATAAGAATCATGGTATCATACTGCCAAAAATGTATTCCATGGCATTATAGGAATCATGGTATCATACTGCCAAAAATGTATCCCATGGCATCATAGGAATCATGGTATTATACTGCCAAAAATGTATCCCATGGCATTATATGAATCATGGTATTATACTGCCAAAAATGTATCCCATGGCATTATAGGAATCATGGTATCATACTGCCAAAAATGTATCCAATGGCATTATAGGTATCATGGTATCATACTGCCAAAAATGTATCCAATGGCATTATAGGAATCATGGTATCATACTGACAAAAATGTATCCCATGGCATTATAGGAATCATGGTATCATACTGCCAAAAATGTATCCCATGGCATTATAGAAATCATGGTATTATACTGCCAAAAATGTATCCCATGGCATGATAGGAATCATGGTATCATACTGCCAAAAATGTATCCCATGGCATGATAGGAATCATGGTATCATACTGCCAAAAATGTATCCCATGGCATGATAGGAATCATGGTATCATATTGCCAAAAATGTATCCCATGGCATGATAGAAATCATGGTATCATACTGCCAAAAATGTATCCCATGGCATTATAGAAATCATGGTATCATACTGCCAAAAATGTATCCAATGGCATTATAGGTATCATGGTATCATACTGACAAAAATGTATCCCATGGCATTATAGGAATCATGGTATCATACTGCCAAAATGTATCCCATGGCATTATAGGAATCATGGTATCATACTGCCAAAATGTATCCCATGGCATTATAGGAATCATGGTATTATACTGCCAAAAATGTATCCCATGGCATTATATGAATCATGGTATTATACTGCCAAAAATGTATCCCATGGCATTATAGGAATCATGGTATCATACTGCCAAAAATGTATCCCATGGCATCATAAGAATCATGGTATCATACTGCCAAAAATGTATTCCATGGCATTATAGGAATCATGGTATCATACTGCCAAAAATGTATCCCATGGCATCATAGGAATCATGGTATTATACTGCCAAAAATGTATCCCATGGCATTATATGAATCATGGTATTATACTGCCAAAAATGTATCCCATGGCATTATAGGAATCATGGTATCATACTGCCAAAAATGTATCCAATGGCATTATAGGTATCATGGTATCATACTGCCAAAAATGTATCCAATGGCATTATAGGAATCATGGTATCATACTGACAAAAATGTATCCCATGGCATTATAGGAATCATGGTATCATACTGCCAAAAATGTATCCCATGGCATTATAGAAATCATGGTATTATACTGCCAAAAATGTATCCCATGGCATGATAGGAATCATGGTATCATACTGCCAAAAATGTATCCCATGGCATGATAGGAATCATGGTATCATACTGCCAAAAATGTATCCCATGGCATGATAGGAATCATGGTATCATACTGCCAAAAATGTATCCCATGGCATGATAGAAATCATGGTATCATACTGCCAAAAATGTATCCCATGGCATTATAGAAATCATGGTATCATACTGCCAAAAATGTATCCAATGGCATTATAGGTATCATGGTATCATACTGACAAAAATGTATCCCATGGCATTATAGGAATCATGGTATCATACTGCCAAAATGTATCCCATGGCATTATAGGAATCATGGTATCATACTGCCAAAATGTATCGCATGGCATTATACTGGCAATGAGGTGCTCCGTGAAACAAGTAGTTTAGTTTAGAATACCGTGGAAATAAGTCTGCCTAGTTGCTGCCCTGTTCTGGCTTTTCTCTCTTTTTTTTCTATCAGAGGAAACAAGAAGATGCTCGGTGTAGTCGGCACTTTGCTTCGTTCATCATTTCGTTTTTTTAAAATCCTTTATATTAAGTTCGCTTGCTTGCTTGGGACCGTGCAAATCTTTCGGTCGTTTTTTAACCCACTTCCCGTGATCCAATCGAGCTGACATTTTCCACACAGACTCGTTGTGCGTGACAATTAATGTTCGTGAAAATGTTTTCCAAAATGTTACACTTTTTAGGACAAAATATATTTAATTACCAATTGCTTAATGGTGCAATGCAATCATCTGATCCATAGGTGGCAGCCATCTCAAGCCAGAGGACGATTGGACTCTAGCCGCCACGCATATAAAGGATTTATAGTGAAAAACTTTGTTTTTACGGGTTATACTTGTTCAATGCTTTACTTTATGTGCCCCCCCCCCCCTTTTCAAATGAAAGATTTCACGCTCTGCTCTCCTCCTTCTTACCCCTTCCCCCTCTCTCTACCCCCCCTCTCTCCCTACTCTATGTCTATGTTCTCCCTGTTTTCTATGTAATTGTAAAACATTTTTTTACTACAAGTGCTGCACCTGCACCCAGCCCTTCTCGCAGTCCTACGGCCTCCGACGGGAGCTCATATCTCCATGCAGAGCTCTCCGTTATCTGCCACCGAGCACACGGCCTCCTCCAGCGCCCACTGCTTCTTTCTCTCGTTGTCCCACCAACCTCCTCGTCCCCGTTCCTCCTCCTCCTTCCCCAAGCGTCTTGTCCGGCATCGCGTTCCTCTTCGCCGTGGCCATTCAATGTTTCCTCCCCATCTCCACTCCTCCCTCCCCATCTCCCTCCCTCTCCCTCCCTATCTCCCTCCCTCTCCCAATCTCCAATCCCTCCCCCTCCACTCCTCCCTCTCTTCTCGTCGAGCCGTTCCGGAGGAGAAAGGGGAGGGGGGTTGGTGGTTTTTTTTGTTTGGCGGCCGGCGGGAATTTCACCGAAGATTCGCCGAGGAAGGTGAATTCACACCCACGATTCACTCTCTCACTCACCTCTCTCTCTCACCTCTCTCTCTCACCTCTCACTGCAATGTCCATTTCGCTCACCCCACCCAGCCTTTATCATCAGCGGCAGCAGCGTCGTCGTCGTCGTCATCTTTAACCCGGGAGTCCATCCCCTTTGTTGTGACGAATCCTGCCGCTCGCTAACAGCACTTGCCCCTACAGCATGCCAGAGGCTACCTGGGGGTCATTTGTCTTTTTCTCCTTCATCGGGGCTGCTGCTGCTACTCGCTAACAGCACTTGCCCCAACAGCCTGCTAGAGGCTACACGGGGCACCTTTGTCTTTACAGGGGGATCTCCTTTGTATTTGTGTGTTGCGGGGAGCGGTGGTGCAGCGGTTAGCGCTACGTTGCACTCTTGCCCCTACAGCCCTGTTAGAGGCTACACGGGGGTCCTTTGTCTTTGTCTCCTTCAGAGGTGCTGCTGCTACTCGCTACTAACAGCACTTGCCCCTACAGTCTGCTAGAGGCTACACGGGGGATCTTTGTCTTTGTGTATTCATAGGTGCTGCTGCTACTCGCTACTAACAGCACTTTCCCCAACAGTTTGTTAGAGGCTACACGGGGGATCTTTGTCTTTGCCTCTTTTGTAGGCACTGCTGCTGTTTCTCGCAAACAGCACTTGCCCCTACATCCCGTTAGAGGCTACACGGGGGACTTTTGTCTTTGTCTCTTTCATATTCACTGCTCTTACTACTCGCTATCAGCACTCACCCCTGCAGCCTGTTAGAGGCTACACGGGGGATCTTTGTCTTTGTGTGTTCATAGGAGCTGCTGCTACTCGCTACTAACAGCACTTGCCCCAACAGTCTTTTAGAGGCTACACGGGGGACTTTTGTCTTTGTCTCCTTCATATTCACTGCTCCTACTACTCGCTATCAGCACTTGCCCCTACAGCCCTGTTAGAGGCTACACGGGGGACCTTTGTCTTCGTCTCCATATTCACTGCTCTTACTACTCGCTATCAGCACTTGCCCCTACAGCCCTGTTAGAGGCTACACGGGGGACCTTTGTCTTCGTCTCCTTCATAGTCGCTGCTGCTACTCGCTATCAGCACTTGCCCCTACAGCCCTGTTAGAGGCTACACGGGGGACCTTTGTCTTCGTCTCCTTCATAGTAGCTGCTGCTACTCGCTATCAGCACTTGCCCCTACAGCCCTGTTAGAGGCTACACGGGGGACCTTTGTCTGTGTCTCCTTCATAGGCATTGCTGCTGCTACTCGCTACTAACAGCACTCACCCCTGCAGCCTGTTAGAGGCTACACGGGGGACTTTTGTCTCTGCACCCTTCGTAGGCGCTGTGATGTGAAGTTCTTTGGAGGTACCGATGCATTTAAGCCCCACTTATAAATGCGAATGACCGTCATCACAAGTACACACACAGTAAACCCTCGTTAATTCGACACAAATGGGGCTCTGGCCTTGCCGACTTATGCAATATTCCGAATTATGTACAATCGTACTCCCCTCCCCAGTGCCTCCTGCTCCTAAAAAAATAAATACATCCAAATTTGTTTTCCAAAATAAATATTTTTTCTAAAACAGTACCACTTTTCCCCAAAAAAGTAAGCGGCACCGCAGGCGAAGATTTGGTAGGTTTCATGTGGTAGGTGACAGAGGTTGTTCACTTTATCACTAAATTATAACTTAAACACCAAATGACACCAACTTAAACCTCACATTTTCCACTTAACAATGAATGTTTACTTAAGATGACGTTATTCGGACACTTTTACGCCACATTACTCTCTGCCAGGACGACATCGGCTGATGTGGTACTTCACAGCCCACAGATGTGTCTGTGGGAGAATATCCAGAGACTGATGAAGGCACTGCAATGGAGTCTTCACTGCTGGTAGAATGTAGCCTACGCATGGGTGGCCGTGGCACGCAGCGTCGTTCCAATCGAACCACTCGGCACGGCAATTCGACTCGTGGCGAATTGCCCGATGATGCTGGTTGCAATTACCAGCGAAACGTCGTACTCAAATTGTAAATGTTGTGGCTTCAACACACCGGTGGGCTAAAGCAGTGAACTATTTGTCTTTGTCAACGTGACACATTTTTACTGATTGGCCGTGTCGGGTGGTGGAGGGTTACGACACATTTATAAATAAACGCGATCTAAACCCAAAAACGTTGATAATGAATAACATTGGTCGCGAAAGCCTACGTGTTAAACTGACATATTTTTGTGCTCCCCCAAGATGGACCCGCGGACGGCATTGCCATTCATCAAACAGGAGAACGAAGACAGCACGGGCGCCGGGACGTGGCCGGACACGGCGGTGAAGCACGAAGACGACGATGCCGGTGAGATGGGTGAAGCCGCTTGCCGTGTCACCGACACCACCCGAATGCATTTGGTGGCTGTTGTAGGCGCAGCTTTCTTGTACCAAACAAGTACTGTATAACCCGTAAAAACAAAGTTTTTCACTATAAATCCTTTATATGCGTGGCGGCTAGAGTCCTCTCGTCCTCTGGCTTGAGATGGCTGCCACCTATGGGTCAGATGATTGCATTGCACCATTAAGCAATTGGTAATTAAATATAATATTTTTGTCCTAAAAAGTGTAAAATTTAGGAATTTTTTACGAACATTAATTGTCACGCACAACGAGTCTGTGTGGAAAATGTCAGCTCGATTGGATCACGGGAAGTGGGTTATAAAACGACCAAAAGATTTGCACGGTCGTAAGCAAGCAAGCGAACTTAATATAAAGGATTTAAAAATAGGTTACGCCTTCACCTGGTGGAGCAATAAGTACTGACGTGTGTTTGACGTGTCTTAAATCAAAGACTGTTTCTTTATTTCTTAGTTGCACAAAACGAACGATTTCCAAAGTTGTATCTCGCCTTTTACTTTAAGACGTTATCACACGGTCAAAGACTGTGTCCACTCGATCCTGGCTGGTTCATCTCATGGCTTCCCTTTTTTTATTACACGCTTTTATTTAACTCACTCTGTCTGTTGTTGTTGTCGTATCCTCAAATCTTGTAAATACATTTTAACTCACTTCCCGAAGTGGTATCGACTGCAAACTTGGTATACTTATGTCATACTGATGACAATACTATATTCTATCAATTGTCCATGCTCAACTGACGTTGGCACGGCCCCTTACGTTATGGAAAGCTTTGTGGCCACTTCCTGGAGTCGTGGAGTTCTGCCATTACGAGTACGGTACATTTCATTAAAGCGTGTTTTTTTAAAAGTATTTTTTAAATATTACTTATATACCGCCAAACCGGAAGTGATGTCATGGGTTAAACCAACGGAGCGTCTAACCGTGGGGGATTCTAAACAGTTGGAATATTCCAAGTCAAGTTTGCCCCCCAAACTTCAACAAATGTATGACACGTACATGAAATGTATACACAGAAATAATACATTCACTTTCTGTCTTATGGCTCTTACAGCTTCACCGGGATAGTTGTTGGAGGGGCTACAGAAGGACTTGGCTGCCCACCGCCCCTTCCCCCCCAAATCGATTCGGTCTTTGAATTTGACACTCACCTATCTATGTGTAGAGAGTATCGCTACCGACGACGATACTCGACCCTGACCGTGGGTGTAGACACCACCGCGTGTAGACACGGATAGTCAGGAAGTAAAAAAAAACACAACAAGCCCCCACCCCTCCCCCTCTCTGATCGGTAACTTAACGGGGGCATGAAAGGGGGATGGGCTGTGTCGGGTGGTGGCAGGTTTAACGACACATTTATATTTCCGCGATCTAATCCCACGTAAAAAAACACCTTTATTACGAATTAATAACTGCAGGCCAGCACACGTTGACATTGCCACTTAGCTCCCGAACAACATCGCCATTGTACTCTCGAATGGCATAAAATCTTCGTCGCCTTTATCTGCGACGCATTTATATTTACGCGATCTAACTCCAAAAAAACATATGAGCTCTACTGACCCCATCTCAGAGGTCGCAACCGGGTACCCGATACCCGTACCCTACCCGATATCCGGCTACCCGTACCCGGCCGGGTACGGCTACCCGTACCCGGCCGGGTACGGGTAGCCGTTTGCGACCCTGGTGCGGCCGGGTACGGGTACGGGTAGGCCGTGAGTCACTGGTGAGTAGCCGTTTGTCACTCATTTCGGGTAGGGTACGGTTACGGGTAGGGAACGGCTACCCGTACCCGGCCGGGTACGGGTACCCATTTGCGACCCTGGTGCGGCCGGGTACGGGTAAGGAATCAAAACCCGTTTGCGACCTCTGCCCCATCTACCACTACTACCCTCTCCCCCCACCCGCTTCCACAACTCCCCCCACTACCAAAACCAGCCCCACCCCATGTGTTGGGGAAGGGGCAGGTCCTAGAGAGGAAAAGGGGGGGAGGGGCCTAAAAAGGAAAGGCGTGGAGCCCAAAGAGGAACAGACACGCGGCCTAATCGGAAAGGGCTGGTGCCCTAAGGGGTAAGGTATGCAGAGGAAGGAGGCGAGACCTAATCGGTGACTTTTGGCATCACTGACATTGTGCATCAGGTGACATCACCGCAGCGGTGTGATTTTAAAATACTGGAATCGTGCTTTTGCTTTGTACCTTGCGCCTAAGCTTGTTTTTGTGCATTTTGTTTTTTGGAAATGTGCTGCAGATGAAGGACGTGCAATGGGAGCGTTTTGCACGGACTGCAGGAAGGACTTTGGCGGACGATTAAGAATGAAGGCAGATAGAGTCAAACGACCCGGCCAGTCTCTGCGAGGCTGCCTGCAGTGCGGAAGGAAGCTCGTAGGCAGTGCGTTGCGCATTAACAAGAAGAAGGATAATCCCGCGGAAGATAATGTCTGCAAGGGTGCGCCACGAGCGAAGGATTCCGCAGCCGTGGATCTTTCGGGAGAGACGGGCACCACCGGCGAGAAGCCCCACGAATGCAAGGAGTGCGGCAAGGGGTTTTCGCAGCGTTTTCACTTGGAGAGGCACTCCAGAATGCACACAGGCGAGAAGCCGTACGTGTGCATGGAGTGTGGGAAAGGGTTCACGCAACGCTCCAACCTGGAGACGCACGCCCGAATGCACACGGGCGAGAAACCGCACGCGTGCGAGGAGTGCGGGAAGGGGTTTTCGAAGCGCTCCACGTTGGAGAAGCACTCGAAAACGCACACGGGCGAGAAGCCGCACGCGTGCAAGGAGTGTGGCAGGAGGTTCGCGCAGCGTTTCCACCTGGAGAGGCATTCCGTGAAACACACGGGCGAGAGGCCGCACGTGTGCGTCGAGTGCGGGAAGTCGTTCACGCAGCGCTCCAACCTGGAGACGCATTTCAGAACGCACACCGGTCAGAAGCCGCACGTGTGCGAGGAGTGTGGGAAGGGCTTTTCGCATTCTTCCACGCTGAAGAAGCACTCGAGGACGCACACCGGCGAGAAGCCGCACGTGTGCCTCGAGTGCGGCAAGGGCTTCTCGCAGCGCTCCGCTTTAAACACGCACTCGAGGACGCACACCGGCGAGAAGCCGTACATGTGCGTCGAGTGCGGCAAGAGGTTCACGCAGAGGTGCAATTTGGAGATGCACTGCAGGACGCACACGGGCGAGAGGCCGCACATGTGCACGGAGTGCGGCAAGAGGTTTACAGCGCGCACCGATTTAACCAAGCACTGTAGAACGCACACGGGTGAGAAGCCGCACATATGCAAAGAGTGTGGGAAGGGCTTTTTAAAGCGATCCACTTTGGAGACGCATTCGAGAACGCACACCGGCGAGAAGCCGTACATGTGCATGGAGTGCGGCAAGAGGTTCACGCAGCGCTACAACTTAGAGATGCACTCCAGGACGCACACGGGCGAGAAGCCATACCTGTGCAAAGAGTGCGGCAAGGGGTTTTCGCAGCGGTCCACTTTAGACACACATTCTAGGACGCACACCGGCGAGAAGCCGTACATGTGCGTGGAGTGCGGGAAGAGGTTCACGCAGCGCTACAATTTGGAGATGCACTCTCGGACGCACACGGGCGAGAAGCCGCACGTGTGCGAGGAGTGCGGCAAGGGCTTCTCGCAGCGCTCGACCTTAGAGACGCATTCGAGAACGCACACGGGCGAGAAGCCGTACATGTGCGTGGAGTGCGGGAAGAGGTTCACGCAGCGCTACAATTTGGAGATGCATTCCAGAACGCACACGGGCGAGAAGCCGCACGTGTGCAAGGAGTGCGGCAAGGGCTTCTCGCAGCGCTCCACTTTGGAGAAGCATTTTATAACGCACACCGGCGAGAGGCCGTACATGTGCGTGGACTGCGGGAAGAGGTTCACAACGCGTACTTATTTAAATAAACATTTGGTCATACACACCGGTGAAAATCCACCCATCTGAATGGTGGACTGTTTGGCAGCAGGCTCAACTGCTGAGTAGCAATTTTAGATTCACATAGTAGAACACACTGGAGATATGAAGCCACACACATGTTGGCAAAAGAGCGCTTGGGCAGAATTGTTCACGGTACCGTAGTGCGGAGACACTGTTGGATAGTCGCAGCTGCCCCTTGCCAAGGATTGTGGGAAGGGGTATTTATTCGTAACAATATTTATAAAGAACCAACCTTCGAGCTCGCACTGAGTGGAAACCTTCTATTGAAGTGTTTCGCTCTTGGGATGCTTTTAATCGTTTTTTTTCCCCCGTCAATATCACACATCAGTTGCTCGAAGATATAAAATTAACGGTCGCGGTGATCCTGTGTAACTAAAACCAAATTAACAATAGTAGTTGTAGAATATTAATGGCTTGCCCCTCCCTGTATAAAACCATACCGGCCTCCTAGATCTGCGATGAGGTGTTTGGAGTGGATAGTGCCACACGGATGTGGGGTTGCAAACTGGGGTTGCAAAAGAGATGAGCTAAAATGTTTGGACACACTGTTCTGGGAAAAGATGTCACACTCAATGCACAAGAGGGGGAATGTGACGCTCGTACTGACTGACTCCAACAGGCCTGCATCAATCACAATCGCCATGCTTATTGACGACGACTGAAAAGAGACCTAGCCCCCTCCTCCTTCCTATCGTGCATCAAATGTAAATTTCCAGGGAGACGCTTGTGCGATGAGAGCTGAGAGAATGGACACGGTTTGTAGAATCAGACCCTGCCCATCACAGAGGACGACCAACTGAACTGAACTTTTAATGCTTGGAGAGACACAGACGCGAAGACACACGGATGGCGGAGAGGAGGCTAGAGCGGTTTAAAACGTTTTTGTTTATTTTTTACCATGTAAAGCCTCGTTGAGCTATGCAGTTCTTTATTCAGAAGCGACATGGCCAAAAAATTATTGCTCAACGAAGCGGCTGATCACGTGGAAATTTGTAGGAGTAGCAGCCAAATAATCCAAACGCACGTTTCTAAACGTGGAGGGGAAAATCGGAAGACCTGGTGAAAAATCCACGCGACCACGGGGAGAGAGAGAGAGACATGCAAAATCAAAATATACAGCAGGTTGGGATCGAAGCAACGACCTCCTGCAAACCAGGAGTTGGCCTCATTGGAGATGCTGACGGGACACAGAAATAGGTTACAGAAATTGGATGCTCACTCTTGCCAGTAGGTGGCAGCAAAAAGCTAAGAGGGGCGCCACTGTGGCGACATGTTTGTTATCTCACCCGCCTGTTATGCAGGTTTAGTCCCAAAGCTGACCATATTTTGGGTTTGCGTGTCTCTCTCCCCGTGGTCGCGTAGATTTGTTTTTATCCGGGTCCTCCTGGTTTCCCCTCCACATTTAGAATCAACATCACACGTTTCGCTTGTTTTGGTTGCTATACATTTCTACATGATGACGATAAGCCACTTCGTTGAGCTATGATTTGTGATAACCAGGTCGCTCCTGAAAAATATCTACATAGCTCAGTGGGCTTTACTTGGAAAATGGAATAGTTTCGTTTGTGTTAGATCACATTTGAACTACTCCGTGTACTCGTGCGAGAGTAAAATGGTTGTAACTACAAGTTATGTATTTACTTGTGAGAGCAGCATGACTTGAGAGACTGTAAACCGCATGGAGGAAGAGGAGATGTGCGGTCACCGGGGCTTACCGACGGCCACCTATCGACGGCACTCATTCAACCTTGAGCAGTTGCTCTGGTCAACGACTTCCGGTGCTCATCGCTTGCTGTGTGTTCCTCCGCGAGTGCCGACTATTGCTTTAGTTGCCTGCCCTGTGACTGTAAAGCGTCGTGTTTGATAGTTGCGAGCGTTACGGAGAACGGCAATTTTGTTTAAGTGCCAAAATCGGCCTCCGGTCTTTTTGGGACAGGGTGGTGGTGGTGGTGGCGTGGCAGAATTTTGAGATTCTCCCCCCACGACCCTATCTTTAAAGATACACTGGAGCCAGTTATTTGCCCCTTGACAAAGCTCATTCACCCACAGCATCTGCTCGACCAACCACTGCCAGCGCGTATCACTTGCTACTTATTGATGCCGGTTACTTGCTGTACGTTCCTCCGCGTGTGCCGACCATGGCTCGCGCCGCCTCCATTAAGGCGCCGCTCCTTTACACCCCGTAGATGGTTTCTCGCAGCGCACTGGACGGACAATTGAAACGCAAGATAATGTTTGATGCTCGACAACGTTATTTGGAAGTGATATTGGAATGGAAAGTGATGATATTGGAATGGCACATCTTCAAATCGGCCACGCACCTATATGCCTGCCAAGACCACGTGTGGGCACTGGATCAACCAATATTAACTCAATCGCTTGTTGCGTCACAACTCAAGCGCTGTCCACTAGTACCGATAGCCCCCTTACGATTTAAACAATATTTGTATATATATACAGGATTGCTCCTATGGGTTAGTGGTATATAAAGGGAGAAAGGTACCACTCATGTAGATTCTTCGGATTTTTAGTTCTGCCAGCTCTCGGTGACTTATTTCTCTGCAAAGAGTTGGTGGTGGTGGTATCAAAAAAATATATCCGGCAACAATGCCGAAGATAGATCTGCTGCGAGTTGTTTTTTTTACTTAAGGCTATCTTGTTTGTGTGACTATAAAGAGTAGTTGTTTGATAGTTGTGCGCGTCACGGAGAACGCCAACTTTGTTTAAGTGCAAAAATTGGCCTCTAGTCTCTGGGACAGGGTGGTGGTGGCATAATTTTTAGACTCTACCCTTTCCTAAAGAGACACTGGAAGCCGTTATTTGCTCTTGACTAAAGATCAATTAGTTATTAGTCGTATACGATATTAGTCCTGTATATTTTCTGTTTAATATCTCTTTAGAAAGTGATTACTTCTTATAGTCGTTGCAGTATTTTTCATAGATAACATTAAAGTGCATTCCTAAGTTTCTGTAGTATTGCTAGTGATACTCTAACCTATGTGTTGTGTAATAAATGTCATTTTTATGAAAGTTAGTGCTACTGTGTAGTTTACACGATTGGTTATCACCCTTCCGTGATGCTTCTTCATTAAAATCTTAAAAGACATGGATTGTTGTAGCCACTTGTGACTCTGCTGAATCATCGGTGACACTGAATGCTGTGCGCCAAATGTAATTATTGTGACTATGAATTTAAGGTAATGCCGAGACACCCCTGTCCTCACCCTCTTGTTATGGTGGTGAGAAGTGTGTACTTCAAAGACCCTTAGAGCTATGCTGGAGGGGGGGAGGTGGGTTTCTTGCTCCTTGCAGCCTTACCAGACTGGTCTCAGGCGTGGGACCTGACAAACGACAGCATACCGGCCCTCCAGGTTGAGGGTTGGACGGAGTGCTAAAAACGCTACCCCGGAAAAAAAGGTTTGTTACGGAAGCCCCAATGAGAATGGGACAACACAACGGCCACGGTAGGCTCAGGCCTACCTACAGGCAGTATGACCACTCCTGATGAAAGCCTGTTGGAAGTCAAAAGAGTGAAGGAGATCCTACTGGGACCTCAAGCCAAGATAAGATGATGTACGAGAGATAGCAAAGATAGCCCAAGTTCTCCGTGAAATGAATATATTCAATCGAGACATTCTGAGGAAACAGCTGGATATTGCCAAACTAAAATGTCCAAAGAAAAACGGGGAGCTTTTTGTGGAGCTGAACAACTGCCTTAATGCATTGAGCGCTGCCTCTGAAAATGAAGAGGACATGGGACATAAACAACATGTGGGATACAATCAAAACCACGTACCTTGAAACAGCAGAACACCTCTGGTTTCAAACAGAAAGGGAACAAATGATGGACATCTGACACATGGCAAATAATAGAGGGAAGGAGACAATTAAAAGTTAAGCGACTGAACAGCAAGTCACAGAGGATCCAGAAATAGGTCCGGTTGGCCTACAAGAGTAAAATCAAGGAGGTAGAGAGGAGGGCCAGGAAAGACAAAAGGGCTTTTGTTTAGGATATGGTAAACAAAGCTGAGAGAGCCACAGCCATGGGTGATATGGGTTCAATGTACAATATAACTAAATGTCTGCAGCAAAAACACCAACCAATTAGCCCCTGTCAAGAACCAAAATGGGAATTCCCCAAGAAGAGCTAGAGTCTGTGCATAGTAGTGTATAGTGTATAGTAGTGTATAGTGTAGTATTGTGTAGTAGTGTAGTTTATAGTAGAGTATAGTAGTGTATAGTAGTATCGTGAATAGTGTAGTGTATAGTAGTATAGTATATAGTAGTATAGTATATAGTAGTATAGTGAAAAGTGTAGTGTATAGTAGTGTAGTGTATAGTAGTATAGTATATAGTCGTGTATAGTAGTGTATAGTGTAGAGTAGTGTATAGTAGTGTATAGTGTAGAGTAGTGTATAGTAGTGTATAGTGTAGAGTAGTGTATAGTAGTGTATAGTGTAGTAGTGTATAGTAGTGTAGTGTATAGTGTAGTGCATAGTAGTGTAGTATATAGCAGAGGTGTGGACTCGAGTCATGTGACTTGGACTCGAGTCAGACTCGAGTCATGAATTTGATGACTTCAGACTCGACTTGGACTTGCATAACAATGACTTTGTCCCACCTCTGAGGTGTGGACTCGAGTCATGTGACTTGGACTCGAGTCAGACTCGAGTCATGAATTTGATGACTTCAGACTCGACTTGGACTTGCATAACAATGACTTTGTCCCACCTCTGGTATATAGTGTAGTGTATAGTAGTGTAGTGTATAGTGTAGGGTATAGTGTAGTAGTGTAGTGTATAGTAGTGTACAGTGTAGTAGTGTATAGTAGTGTATACTGTATAGTAGTGTAGTAGTGTATAGTGTAGTATAGTGTATAGTAGTGTATAGTGTAGTAGTGTATCGTAGTGTAGTGTATAGTGTAGTATATAGTAGTGTAGTATATAGTAGTGTATAGTAGTGTATAGTGTAGTAGTGTATAGTAGTTTAGTCTATAGTAGTGTATAGCAATGGAGAGCTATAGAGTCTGTCGCCAGGGAAAGGGGTGTGGACCGCCATTGCTCAACGCGTTGCTGCCGTCGCGACCCTCTCCGGGACAAGCGGACGAAGCAACGAACGGACAAATCATGGGTGGGGGCGGTGCCTGATTGGCTCAGAGCATGCGTTGCTCTCATTGGCTGAGCGGATGAAGGGGGGGGGGGTTACCATTTCCTCGGCCGTCGCTGATGCTGCATGTTGTTCTCACCTGTAATAAATCACTTGCATAGCCGTCAAACCATGTCTATTAGTTTGTGTTTCTCCCATGTGATGGGACTTTGCAGGATGAACGTTGAGATTTGTAAGTGGCACGGGGTGACGAATAAGATCTGAATTGGTCTGTAATAAGGTAGGGCACTGATACGGGGTTGACAGGTATGTAGTGGTGAGTGTAGTGTTGAGTGTACTAGTGGTAATGGTCTATTAGTTTGTATTTCTCCCTTGTGATGGGACTTTGTAGGCTGACGGTTGTGACCAATAAGGTCGACTATACAATTTTTCCAATTTGGGGGCTGGCTCATCATTCTTCCAGTTGACCAACATTATCTTTCTGGCTATGATGTTAATGATGTTAAAGGTCCAGAGCTGAGAAATTCAACTTTTATATATTTTTTCGTAACGAATAAACTACCTTTATCTTTGCAGGTAAGGCCCACTGAGCTATGTAGCTTTTTTTCAGAAGCGACCTGGCGATCAACAAATAACAGCTCAACAAAGCGTGCTTGTCACGTGGAAATTTATAGCAGTCAAATACTCTTTAAACGCGTGACGTTGATTATAATTTGTGGAGGGGAAAACCGGGCGACCTGGGGACAAATCCACGGGACCACAAGGAGAGAGAACATGCACACTCCAAATATACAGCAGGCGGTAAGGGTCGGGATCGAACCCACGTTATCCTGTATACCAGGCGAGGTAGTCAACATCTCTGAGCCACCGCGAACACCCACTTAACCCCACCAATACCCCTCTCTGCCAAGTGCGATGCAAGGGATTCCCACTCCACTAAGCATACAAGCGCTCACAAATCCTCATCAGTATCATCATCATCCATGGTCTATCCACAGCAGTGGGTGAATATATTCCAAAACACGTCACCATCTCTGCACGGTACAGCGATGCAAAACTCCATCTCAATTTCTGCACGCAAGCTTTCATGTCAATGGTAAATCTCCAACCGACAATATCGCATCTGCCACTTTCACCGATTCAACGTCAGGTGAACACGGGTGTGGCAGGCTCACAAGTGACACACATCACTTTTTAACCATCCCACCCTCTATTTAAGACCCAAACAGGAGGAGGATTTCTCCACAACTCCGTGGCTGTTGCCTGATGATGCTGCTCGTCGTTGTTGTTGTAACCACGTTACCAGGTTACCAGAATTCTAAACGTGATAGTGGGTTTTACTACCCAACACACAACCGGTCAGTTCTGTACTCGTAACGAATTGGCCACGTTTTGTTTACGTGACAAATCCCATTACTGATTGGCTGTGGTGGCGGGTTTAACGGCAAATGTATATTTTCGCGATCTAACCCGACCAAAAAAAAAACCTTTTGCGCACGATCTCATCTTTTACACATCGACTCCTGGATTTGTCTTCTCCTTCGTCTCTCTGTCTACTACACAACTCTCCACTGTCCTCCGAAACAAATTAAAAACGCTTCTTGCGAGCGAGCGCACGTTATTTTTCTGATCTCCCACTTCGCCTCCCCTCCTCCGTCAACTGTCGCTGTCTTTTCAAACACCTTACACTCCTCTTTAAATCTCTCCATGGGCTTTCCCCCCACGTTATCTTGCCGCTCTCACCTCTCTGTGTGCCTCCTTATCCCTGTGCTCAATCTCGTCTTCGATCTTTCTCCCTCCTTGCACCCATCCATCGGAATAAACTTCCCGCTGTACATTGAGCAGCATTGCACCATAGACTCAACACTGCACCATAGACTCAACACTGCACCATAGACTCAACACTGCACCAAAGTCTCAACACTGCTCGTAGACTCAACACTGCCTATAGACTCAACACTGCCCCTTTATATGAAGTAGTCCCCCTCCTTTACCTCCTTCCATTCCTCTCTCAAAGCCTCACCACCTCTTCACCATCATCGCCCATTCCCTTCCTCTTCCATCACCTCCCCCGTAGCCCCTTTCATGACGTCCACGTGCCCTCTGTTACGGTCACTAATCCGAGGCCCTTGCACTGCCCCTGCCATCGAAATCACTCAATTTTTGTTACCACTTTTAAAACTATGTTATAGAGAGAAAGCGCCTTGAGTCAAGGCGCTCGATAAACATCAAATATGATGTCATCTCGGACGTGTTATCTCTTTGGTTACCACTCCATCCTTAGTTTTGACCGCTGGGCCCGTCACCCTCTCTCGCAACGCGTGTTCTGGCCCCAAGCCCACTTAAAAATATATATACTATTAAAAAAATTTGAGTCAATAAAATTCGATCGCCATTTTCGCCTCGATCCCAATTTGAGTCAATAAAATTCGATCGCCATTTTCTCCTCCGATCCCAATGTGTCACATTGGGATCGGAGAAGAAAATGGCGATCGAATTTTATTGACTCAAAATTGTTTTTCCTTTTAAAGAATATATATTTTTAAGTGGGCTTCGGGCCATAACACGCGTTGCGAGAGAGAATGATGAGCCCAGCGGTCAAAACTAAGGATGGAGTGGTAACCAAAGAGATAACACGTCCGAGATGGCACTTGGTGAAAAGAAAAAGGCCACAACACGCGTGTGCAAACCCCCCCCCCCCAAAAAAAACCCACTAGCACGTTACAAAAGAGCCTTCGCACACTCGTCAACATTAAAGCGTCATCAAATGTGTTCCGCTACTTGAAGTGGGATTTTTTGTTAGTCTAACAGGTTATATATAGATATGTTTAAACAAAACCACCCGGTGCTTTTTTGTCTCCTGCTCTGATGTGGAAGCGGTTGACGCTCTTGATTTTAATCGGGGAACAAAAGGAATCCCGTGAACGAGCTGTCGCGATAGCCAGGTTGAGCAAACATTCCATTGTAAGCATCGACCACCTGAAGCCAGACATGGTCACCCGCCTTAAGGCTGAGCACCGACCCCCCACTAATGGCATTGGCATATTTGTTCTCTATGTTGTTACTGCAAAAGGAAACGACTTTGTTGCCATCCTTGATGAGCGCCACGCACAGATCATGTTTATAGACGTGCGCGTGCATCACGAAGTAGTAGAGGCCCGGGTGAACGCAGGTGAACTTCCCGCTCAGGGGATCGTAGTGGCTCTGATCGTTGCTGATGACGACGTCGAACTTAATGGGCGAGCCCGCGGGGGGATTGGAGGAGGAGATCTTGGCAGTGAAGGCCGACTTGGGCACCGCGGGGCTCCCACCCTCGTCGCCCTTCGATCCGCGTGGACCCGGAGGGCCGATGGGGCCCGCTCCGCCGCTGGGACCGAATTTACCCGGGGCACCTGAAAACAAATGATAATTTACATTTATATGTAAGGCACCTTCCACTCATGTCTCAAAGCACAGGGAGACTCGTGTTCTGACGTGGAGAGGGAGAGGGTGGCAAGACCAGGGTGGAGAGAGAGAGAGGCAAGGCCAGGGTGGTGAGAGAGAGGCAAGGCCAGGGTCGAGAGAGAGTGGCAAGGCTAGGGTCGAGAGAGAGAGTGGCAAGGCCAGAGTGACCTCGGTGCGTCACATCGCTACACTTCAGAATCTACTTTAATCAGTGGATGCCAAGCAACTACAATTTCATGTTCAGGTGGTCAAGCTCAGACAACCGTGTCAGGTGTAGCGGAGTGTATCGCTGTGACGTCTCCATTAGTTTATGGGTCTATGCGCTTCTATGGGTCTCTATGAGTCTATGGATCTCTATGGGTCTATGTGAGTCTATGGATCTCTATGCGTCTCTATAAGCCTGGGTCTACAAAAGTATCTGGGTCCGAGTCTCCACGGATCTTTGTGAGTCTCTGTGGGTGCCTACGAGTCTCTGCGAGTCTCTATGGGTCTTTGAGTCTCTGTACGTCTCTATGAGTCTGGATCTCTATGGGTATCTATGAGTCAACAGCTGATGTAGACGCAGAGCAACGACTACAATTTCTCATTCAGGTGGTCAAGCCCAGTCGACCGCGTTAGCGGCAGCAGTAACGGAGAAGTGTATCATTATCATCATCGCTGTGATGATGTCTCCTTCGTATTTGTGGATCGGGGCATTGCGTGGTTACATGTTGTGTACGGTCTCTGTTCTGGATGACCACAGTCGCACACCACTACTACTGCAGAGGTTTACATTTTTCATTTGTGCATCAGGTAAGCGCACTTCACGTGGCCTTAACGTGCACATAGCCGGGCCCAAGCGCCGTGATGACGTCACCGCCACTCAGTGGCAAATGGCGGTTGTTGTTGTTGTTGCAGTGTCATACAGGTGGACCACGAGCTTCGTGGAAGATCAAACCCCAGGGATCTTCTGCGTTGGATTTGCATTGGATCAGTGACGGTCTGTGATCCACCCACCTCGTTCGCCAGCTTCTCCTTTGCTTCCATGAACTCCGGGCTCGCCTTTGGATCCAGTTACCCCTGAGACAACAGGGACGTGTTCAGATTATGCATCGTTAAGCGTTTTGCAAAGAAAACAATAGACGTATCCTATTAGCGCGGGTTTAAACGGACGTATTTTTGGGCAATCCTTAGATGACTTTCGTTGTTTTTTAAAATCTTATCTAGATTTACAGTATTCCCTCGTTATTCGCGATGGATACGTTCCAGACGGAGATACTCGTGCATAGCTAATTTCGTGAATAATGATGTTGGCCTATGAAAACTATCTTTTATCGTATCGCTTTATCTCTCATCACTTTCTCACATCACATTCTCTTTCATCACTTTACCTGTGATCACTTTATCTCTCATCGCTTTATCTCTCATCACTTTTTCTCATAAATTGTATCTCAACACTTTATCTCATCACTCTATCTCTCATCACTTTATCTCATTACTTTCTCACATCACATTCTCCCTCATTACTTTATCTCTCATCGTTGTATCTCTCATCACTTTATCTGTCATGACTTTATCTGTCATCACTTTATCTCTCATAGCTTTATCTTTCATCACTTTATCTCATCAATTTATCTCATCACTTTCTCTCATCACTTCACGTCATCACTTTCTGGCAACACATTCTTTCTCATCACTTTATCTGTCATCACGTTATTTCTCATCACTTTATTGCTCATCGCTTTATCTCTCATCGCTTTATCTAATCATCACTTTCTTTCTCTCTCTCGCTGTGGTAGTCGTGTAAAGTTCCAAATGCAATTAGCAAATAGCTAAAATCGCGGATAGCCAAGTTCGTGAATAACGAGGGAATGCTGTCTATAGAAGTGCATTATTCAAAGGCACTTTACAACAACGATTATACAAATAATATACTCGTACCCCCGGGTGAGAACCAATGCCCTAAAGGAGTGGCTCTGGGGTGTGGGGGGTTCTGGGTTGGGGGTTTTGGTGGGGAGGGCCGGAGAAGGGGGTCACCTTTCTCTCCGTCCCGGCCGTCCCTGCCGGGAGCCCCATGGTGCCCTGGGATCCCCGGCACCCCGGCGACGCACGACCCCGGCAGCTCCGGGGTGCGCGACCCGCCGGGTTCTGCCAGCGCGACGACAAGAAGCGACGCCAGCAGCGGGCACAGGCGGAGGAACATCGCCAACATCGCTCCTCCCACTCGATCTGAACCGACACGAACAGCGGACACAGGTGGAACAACATCGCCAACATCGCTCCTCCCACTCGATCTGAACCGACACGAACAGCGGGCACAGGTGGAACAACATCACCAACATCGCTCCTCCCACTCGTTCTGAACCGACACGAACAGCGGGCACAGGTGGAACAACATCACCAACATCGCTCCTCCCACTCGTTCTGAACCGACACGAACAGCGGGCACAGGTGGAACAACATCACCAACATAGCTCCTCCCACTCCTGCTGAACTGACACGAACAGTGGACACCGGCGGAGAAACATTTCCAACATCGCTTCTACGTCTGCTGAACCGACACGAACAGTGGGCACAGGTGGAACAACATCGCCAACATCGCCAACGTCACTTCTCTTCGTGCTCCTCCTTCAGCAGCGGCAATAACAAAAACTAATTTACTTATTTATCCAGGAGAGCCACGCCAAGTCGTAGGACTCATTTTCAGGAGGGTGCTGCTGCTACATTTTCTTAACCCTCTGCCCACCATATCTCGGAACGTGCGAGCGGTTCAGCGTTCATTTATGCAGAGAGAGGCGTGGTAGTAGCATCAGCAGCGCCGTTGTTTTCACAAAGACGTCGTTCCTCACCGCAGAGAACCGTAGTGACGCAACCGCCGCCAATCGACGATAGCCGGCGCCAAAACTGTGCCACACGCCCCTCCCCGCGTGGCCTCGAGGGGAGCTTCGGTTCGTCGTTAGGTCAGAAGACGTACCGATAAAGACATTTTTTGACGTACGTGCGCGTCTTCGGAACGGAATCAGAAGAACAACTGATGACGTACGTACGTGTACATCATCGGAATGCGGGATGGGCTCAGATGTTTGCAGCCCAATTGATGAGAGGTCGTTATGCACGAGGGAGGAGAAAACTGGAGCCGCCGGAGAAAACTCACGCGCGTGCAAGGGGGCAACACTACAACCCGCCGCCCAGATGGAATGAGATGGCGATCAGTTCACTTGCTGCACTGCCTTCCCCTGGCGAGCCAGGATATGCCACCTGCTCCCCGCCCCCGCGGTAGGGTTGTTTCACAGCCAGCCGCAAGCGGTCGCGCGGCGATCCGGCAACATTTGCTTGCCGCCGCAGTGATGGATCATGGGCGGCCTACCACCGCCCACTGGGTCATTCACGCACTTGCCATTGACACAGACAGAATCAGAGTCAGAATATGTATTCATAGCAGAGGGATCCGACACAGACATTCCAACAAGGCTCCCACGCTCCCCAAGAAATTGGGTGGGAACTTCGTTAATGTCCAAGTTCATGACATATAGTATATCATACCAGGTACACACAAAAATATGTTAAATAGTAAATACTCCCCAAAAATTCAGGTTGGAAAGCATTACATAATGCATGCATGCATACGTATAATTTTTTTGGTTTGTATGGTCATAGGTGACCAGGCTAACCTAATCTCAGTATATTTGTCAATCTTTTGACAAATGTAACAGAACTGTGGTCGATATGAAAATTCGGTTGACCAACAACCTCCATTCAGGTCGACATATAGTGTCCGATTTTAGCGAAAATCATAAAACTGTCCTAACATTTATGCTTTTATTTTCTGATACTTTTGCCATGAATGTAAAATCACTATTAGTAAAAAAAACAGATATATACACCGTTCACCTTTCAAGATGAAAATGTAGAGGTTGGACAAAATCTCTGGGGCCCGCCGAGGTCTTGGAAGTATATGCAGAACTGAAAATTTTTTTCTTGAGTGGTTCCCCTTTAAATTGTGATAGCTCTTATGAAGGACCTTTGGATTTATATACTCTCCCCAAAGCACCACATATCGTGTCGATGGAAACACAAATTGTGTTGGTAGCAACACGAATGTTTGGTGGTGTGCAGGTGCTAAGCAACGAACATATAAAAATCAAGGCCACACGCTCCAGTGATCCACCAGTGGTGGATAATTAAATGTGCTCGCTTGGTCAGTTTACGTTGGAGACGTCTGTGTCCGACTTAAAGTGCTCTTGTTGTAAACAACAACTCGGTTTGCTCGATGCATCCTAGACAGACGATAAACATTACATCATGAGTAAAACAAATACATCTACATCGGTATTATGTACTGGACCCGCGAGTGCATTATGCTGTAAGCAGTGTGAGCAGAGGTTGTACGGGCTATTCTGCTCCCAATCCGGGTCTTAAAAGCGATGCCCCCAGTCTTAAATTTCCGTGAGCGAGTTGTATTTTCGGTGAAGACTGAGAACCTCATCCTGGTTTCGTGTGTGTTCTTTTCTGGCTGAATTTTTAAAAAATATGTTTTATGCAATCGTCACTACAAATCGTCATAAGCACTGAGCGAAGACATCTCCGAGCCACCGCGAACACCCACTTAACCCCACCAATACCACTCTCTGCCAAGTGCGATGCAAGGGATTCCCACTCCACTAAGTATACAAGCTCTCACAAATCCTCATCAGCATCATCATCATCATCATCCATTGTCTATCCACAGCAGGGGGTGAATGTATTCCAAAGCACGTCACCATCTCTGCACGGTACAGCGATGCAAAACTCCATCTCAGTTTCTGCACGCAAAGCTTTCATGTCAATGGTAAATCTCCAACCGACATCACCGCATCTGCCACTTTCACCGATTCAACGTCAGGTGAACATGCTTTCTGCCGCCAAACTCCTGGTTCACGCTCCCGGGTGTGGCAGGCTCACAAGTGACAGACATCACTTATTAACCATCCCACCCTCTATTTAAGACCCAAACAGGAGGAGGATTTTTCCACAACTCCGTGGCTGTTGCCTGATGATGCTGCTCGTCGTTATTGTTGTAACCACGTCACTAGGTTACCAGAATTCTAAACGTGATAGTGGGTTTTACTACCCAACACACAACCGGTCAGTGCTGTACTCGTAACGCGCCTTGAGTCAAGGCGCTCGATAAACATCAAATATGATGTCATCTCGGACGTGTTATCTCTTTGGTTACCACTCCATCCTTAGTTTTGACCGCTGGGCCCGTCACCCTCTCTCGCAACGCGTGTTCTGGCCCCAAGCCCACTTAAAAATATATATACTATTAAAAAAATTTGAGTCAATAAAATTCGATCGAATTTTTAAGTATATAAAAAATATATTGGGATCGGAGGAGAAAATGGCGATCGAATTTTATTGACTCAAAATTGTTTTTCTTTTTAAAGTATATATATTTTTAAGTGGGCTTCGGGCCATAACACGTGTTGCGAGAGAGGGTGACGGGCCCAGCGGTCAAAACTAAGGATGGAGTGGTAACCAAAGAGATAACACGTCCGAGATGGCACTTGGTGAAAAGAAAAATGGCCACAACACGCGTGTGCAAACCCCCCCCCCCCCCCCCAAAAAAAAACCCGCTAGCACGTTACAAAAGAACCTTCGCACGCTCGTCAACATTAAAGCGTCATCAAATGTGTTCCTCTACATTAAGTGGGATTTTTTGTTAGTCGAACAGGTTATATATAGATATGTTTAAACAAAACCACCCGGTGCTTTTTTTATCTCCTGCTCTGATGTGGCAGCGGTTGACGCTCTTAATTTTAATCGGGGAACAAAAGGAATCCCGTGAACGAGTTGTCGCGATAGCCGGGTTGAGCAAACATTCCATTGTAAGCATCGACCACCTGAAGCCAGACATGGTCACCCGCCTTAAGGCTGAGCACCGACCCCCCACTAATGGCATTGGCATATTTGTTCTCTATGTTGTCACTGCAAAAGGAAACGACTCTGTTGCCATTCTTGATGAGCGCCACACACAGAACGTGTTTATAGACGTGCGCGTGCATCACGAAGTAGTAGAGGCCCGGGTGAACGCAGGTGAACTTCCCGCTCAGGGGATCGTAGTGGCTCTGGTCGTTGCTGATTACGACGTCGAACTTGATGGGCGAGCCCGCGGGGGGATTGGAGGAGGAGATTTTGGCCGTGAAGGCCGACTTGGGCACCGCGGGGCTCCCGCCCTCGTCGCCCTTCGATCCGCGTGGTCCCGGAGGGCCGATGGGGCCGGCTCCGCCGCTGGGACCGAATTTACCCGGGGCACCTGAAAACAAATGATAATTTACATTTATATGTAAGGCAGCTTCCACTCATGTCTGAAAGCACAGGGAAACTCGTGTTCTGACGTGGAGAGGGAGAGAGTGGCAAGACCAGGGTGGAGAGAGAGAGAGGCAAGGCCAGGGTGGTGAGAGAGAGGCAAGGCCAGGGTCGAGAGAGAGTGGCAAGGCTAGGGTCGAGAGAGAGAGTGGCAAGGCCAGAGTGACCTCGGTGCGTCACATCGCTACACTTCAGAATCTACTTTAATCAGAGCGGATGCCGAGCAACTACAATTTCACGTTCAGGTGGTCAAGCCCAGACAACCGTGTCAGGTGTAGCGGAGTGTATCGTTTTGATATCTCCATTAGTTTATGGGTCTATGCGCTTCTATGGGTCTCTATGAGTCTATGGATCTCTATGGGTCTCTGTGAGTCTATGGATCTCTATGCGTCTCTATAAGCCTGGGTCTACAAAAGTATGTGGGTCCGAGTCTCCACGGATCTCTGTGAGTCTCTGTGGGTGCCTACGAGTCTCTGCGAGTCTCTATGGGTCTTTGAGTCTCTGCGCGTTTCTATGAGTCTGGATCTCTATGGGTATCTATGAGTCAACAGCTGATGTAGACGCAGTGCAACGACTAGAATTTCACATTCAGGTGGTCAAGCCCAGTCGACTGCGTTAGCGGAGGAGTGTATCATCATTATCATCATCGCTGTGATGATGTCTCCTTCGTATTTGTGGATCGGAGCATTGCGTGGTTACATGTTGTGTACGGTCTCTGTTCTGGATGACCACAGTCGCACACCACTACTACTGCAGTGTTTTACATTGTTCATTTGTGCATCAGGTAAGCGCACTTCACGTGGCCTTAACGTGCACATAGCCGGGCCCAAGCGCCGTGATGACGTCACCGCCACTTAGTGGCGAATGGCAGTTGTTGCTGTTGTTGTTGCAGTGGATGTCATACGGGTGGACCACGAGCTTTGTGGAATATCAAACCCCAGAGATCTTTTGCGTTGGATTTGCATTGGATCAGTGACGGTCTGTGATCCACCCACCTCGTTCGCCAGCTTCTCCTTTGCTTCCATGAACTCCGGGCTCGCCTTTGGATCCAGTTACCCCTGAGACAACAGGGACGCGTTCAGATTATGCATCGTTAAGCGTTTTGCAAAGAAAACAATAGACGTATCATTTTAGCGCGGGTTTTAACGGACATATTTTTGGGCAATCCTTAGATGACTTTCGTTGTTTTTTAAAATCTTATCTAGATTTACAGTATTCCCTCGTTATTCGCGATGGATACGTTCCGGACGGAGATACTCGTGCATAGCAAAATTCGTGAATAATGATATTGGCCTATGAAAACTATCTTTTGACGTATCGCTTTATCTCTTATCACTTTCTCACATCACATTCTCTCTCATCACTTTACCTGTGATCACCTTATCTCTCATCACTTTATCTCTCATCACTTTATCTCATTACTTTCTCACATCACATTCTCCCTCATTACTTTATCTCTCATCGTTTTATCTCTCATCACTTTCTCTGTCATGACTTTATCTGTCATCGCTTTATCTCTCATCGCTTTATCTGTCATCACGTTATTTTTCATCACTTTATTGCTCATCGCTTTATCTCTCATCGCTTTATCTAATCGTCACTTTCTTTCTCTCTCTCGATGCGGTAGTCGTGTAAAGTTCCAAATGCAATTAGCAAATAGCTAAAATCGCGGATAGCCAAGTTCGTGAATAACGAGGGAATGCTGTCTGTAGAAGTGCATTATTCAAAGGCACTTTACAACAACGATTATACAAATAATATACTCGTACCTCCGGGTGAGAACCAATGCCCTAGAGGAGCGGCTCTGGGGTGTGAGGGGTTCTGGGTTGGGGGCTTTGGTGGGGAGGGCCGGAGAAGGGGGTCACCTTTCTCTCCATCCCGGCCGTCCCTTCCCGGAGCGCCGTGTTGCCCTGGGATCCCCGGCACCCCGGCGACGCACGACCCCGGCGACCCGCCGGGTTCTGCCAGCGCGACGACAAGAAGCAACGCCAGCAGCGGGCACAGGCGAAGGAACATCGCCAACATCGCTCCTCCCACTCGTTCTGAACCGACACGAACAGTGGGCACAGGTGGAATAACATCGCCAACATCGCTACTCTTACTCGTTCTGAACTGACACGAACAGTGGACACCAGCGGAGGAACATCGCCAACATCGCTTCTACTTCTGCTGAACCGACACTGTGCCACACGCCCCTCCCTGTGTGGCCTCGAGAGGAGCCTCGGTTCGTCGTTAGGTCAGAAGACGTACCGATAAAGACATTTTTTGACGTACTCCCCAAAAATACTCTCGATGATTCCAATTTTACATGCTTTCTTTTAACTCACTCTCTCGTTGTTGTCGTTATTGTTATATCCTCAAATTTTGAAACTAAATTTTTACCCACTTCCTAATGTGGTATCGACTGCAAACTTCGTATACTTAGGTCATACAGATGACAATACTATATTCTATCATAAAAAAATCTTTATTTTTAAACAATCTTTTTTATATGTTATGCTTCGGCTTGGGTCTAATTGTCCACGCTCAACTGACGTTGGCTGTAAATCACCACGGTCCCTTACGTTGTGGCAAGCTTCGGGGCCACTTCCTGGAGTCGTGGAGTTCTGTCATTACTCGTACATTTCATAAAAGCGTGTTTTTTAATCAAGTTTGTTTTAATATTACTTATTAAATGTAGGCCACGGACTGCGCCACGGAGCTTTTAGCGGTAAACAAGGCACCGTATTTACCGGGTAATACTTTGTGCTATCTTTACCCTACTGGGTAATTCTTCCGAGCTACCTTCACCCTACCCTTTACCTTACCCCTTGGCATGTCGACATCTTTACCTTTACCCTTTTACCCGGTAAAAAGGGTAAATTAACTTACCTTGCCGAGGCCTACTCACACGCTCCAGTAGATAATTAAATGTGCTCGCTTGGTCAGTTTACGTTGGAGACGTCTGTGTCCGACTTAAAGTGCTCTTGTTGTAAACAACAACTCGGTTTGCTCGATGCATCCTCTTTCTTTTGCAGTCCCTCGGGATATTCACCGATAGATTCTGCAATTCTCTTATTCAAATACCCTCGGAGATCATGGCCTGCCATTCCATTCAGCGTCCACGCCAGCGGTGGAGAAACACTCAGGAAGGGGCAAGGTCGAGCACGTGGTAACTAGGCATGAATTCACACTCGGCAGTCCCGTTATTCACCAAGCATCCTGCTCGCTGCGCCAAGATACACTCGCCAGGGCAACCACCGCCTACCAGACTTCACAGGGAAGAATATCCTGCATATTGGGAGCACTTGCTTAACTTTTGAAATGTCTTTGAACTTGAAAATAGCAGGGAGCACCCCACTCACTCGCCTCTTTCAGGCAAACGGTTTTTTCTTTTTCCGCTTTCGATTTGAACACGATGGGGAATCCCCCTTTTCGAGAAAACTGCGTTATAAATTTTAGTTCTGGGTTTCAAAGTCACTGTCTTCAAGAGCTGAACAAACGCACCGGCTAAATTTGAATAGCGCGGACATTCACCTCGGAACGAACGTCTATCGCATCAAATAAATGGATCGTAAGTACTTTGGGAGTAGTGTACGTTTGGCGTACATGTTTGATGTGCTAAATATGTGAACGGTTCCATTTCTGGGCTTGGCATAGAGCTATATTGTACTGTATCTGCTTGCCCATCGATGCAGTTATTTCATAACGATGAATACGCTCTGTATGTCGTGTTTAAAGAGTCTATATATACTTTTTGTAATCTACAACTGATTAAATGCGTACTGTTGTCTTGGCTATCGCATACCCGTCAACCCAGACGGTTTACCCCATATTTTTGTATAGGGAAATTGAGTTTTCAGGTCTATACGGCATACAGCCGTTTCAATATGGGCGACGATTTGTCTGTTTTTCCCTTGTTATTGGACTTTGTATGACGAACGTGGAGATTTCTAAGGGCACTGAGTGACCAATAAGCTCTGAATTGGTCTGCAATAAGCTAAGGGCATTGATCATAAGGGGTTGTTGACGGTGCCGGATGAAGCTACTGCGGGGCCTGTAGCATATGTTAAAAAGGGGCCCTAAATGATAAAAACACATACATATTCAAAAAATGTTTTACTTGCATAGTAAAGTAATTGTTTTTTTTTTCCATTTGCTGTATAGCCAGATAATACGACAAATCGCTAACCTTAAACACACAGTTGTTCATACAAGTTGAAGGCGGTATAGTACTATAGTAATAGAGCAAGTGCAGAGTCACTGAACCGGAATTGATAGCTTGAAAGCATTTAGCGCGGGGTCTTTGAAAGTGCGGGGCCCGTAGCATTTGCTACTTTTGCTAATAGGATAATCCGGCACTGGTTGTTGACAGGTATGCTCTTGGTAACGCTGGCCCAGGAATAACATCACTGTGTTTGCCCAGGTCTCGTTTAATTCCAGGCACAACGTACAGAACGACATCTGTGGAACATTGTGTCTTGTCATGGGGTCCCTTCTAGGTCGACCCAGAGTGTATCGTTCCGGCCTCTGTGTTTGTCAGTGTTACTTTGGGTGCTTGCGAACGGGACTTTCCTGTTTATGCAGTCAACGACTGGACGAAACGGGCGATACGAAAACAAGAACAGGTTTTATTACCCACTAGCGGTAAGTACCCGGCGTTGCTCGGGCGAAAAAGGCAGACACACACATGGACTTGCACACAGACATTGACCCACACACATATAAACACGTCGATTTAGACGCACACACATATATGGTTAAACCCAGGATGGATCGTAGGCAGACCATCCTAAATGTTTCTAACTGGCGAAGATGTTCCATTAGGGCAGGGGTCGGCAACCTACGGCTCCGGAGCCGCATGCGGCTCTTTACGGGCTGCTTCTTGACGATATGTACGTATGTACAGTATGTACTCAGATGCATTGCGGCTCTTGAAATACTGAATTTTGTACCGAATTGGAAAGAAATGGCTCTTCTTGTTATTTTGGTTGCCGACCCCTGCATTAGGGGGTCCAAGTTTCGCAAGCGTAGAGAAGGGAGGGAATGACCGTGGCCGAGAAGACCTGAAGCTTCGTATGGAGTGATAGACTAGGTAGCTTCCACACAGCGTTACGCAGCCGATGAAAAGATAATGCAGCTCGACTGATTCGGAGTGAGACCTTTGCTGTTAAACCGGAGCCGGTCATTAGCACACTGGCGAGGTATGGGAAACTCTCCACTGTCTCCACAACTGCCCCATCACCAATTGGGAGTTGTGGGGGTGGAGTGTCCGATGGTACAAAATAGCCAGGCAGGTGCTTAGTTTTGGTGGGGCTGATGGTAAGGCCCCCACCTCTTGGTGGCAAGCTCCAGGTTTAGCAGCAGCACCTCGAACTCTTCCTCCGAGTGAGTAGCAATTAGCAGATCATCGGCATACATAACGTGGTTGAGCAATAGGGTGCCATCCCTTGACCACACCCGGGCATCGATCAGCCTCCCATTGTATCTGTAGCAGATGGGAATTCTTCCGGTACAGGCATTGAAGGCTTGACAAACTACGTGGTCCAAATATATGTAAAATAATGTGGGAGCCAGAGGACATCCCTGTTGCACCCCAAGGTGTAAAGGAAATGGCTCTGACTCACGGCCACGTAGTTAGACGCGGGGCCGCTCACCATCATGAAGGTCCTTAAGGATGGTAATCAGTGGGTCAGGGACTCGGAAAGCACGAAGAGCAACCCAGAGGCCAGGCCTACCGATGGTATCATAGGCCTTGAGCAGGTCAATAAAGCACACGCATGGACTAAGATGCACACATGGACCTACAGACACGCAAAGAAATGGAGTTACACTGACTAACATGGAGGCATGCACACACAGCGACTAACACACACGCACATGGACTGAGACACACAACACATATCGACTCACACACAAACACATCGACTTACAGACACACACACACATGGACTCACACACACATAGACATGCACTTGAGATACACACACATGGAGTTACACACACATATATGGATGTACACACATACAGCGACTCACACACAGCAATACGTGGACTCGCACACACATTGACGTAAACACACATATGTACTTACACACACAGCATGGACTTACACGCACACAAATGGACTGACACGCACACTTGGACTGACACACACACATAAACACTTTGACATACACACACACATGGGGCGTTGTCCGTTAGAAAAGACAGACACACACATGGAGTTAAAGATACGCATGGCTCTACACGCACACACATATGGACTCAAAGACACACACATTGACGGGCACAGCAATCCCTGATGATGGCACAGCTATCAGTATGGCACTACTACGTATGAGGAAATAGCGTGACGTGAGCGATGGAAACAATAGAAATTTATTGAAGAAATAATCAGAAATCACAGACTGGCAGTAGACCGTGGCAGCGTCATAAAAGACAGCAAAAAAAGGGAAAAATGAGCAACCTAAAAATCCAAAAGGAGTTTTGTGCACTCAAACATAATTATTTTAACATGTCAACTTGTTTCATAATGGTAAACAATGAAACCTGAGTTGTTATCTGCACACAATATCTGGCAAGGGATTTGTTTAATGATAATAAGCAATGAACGTGATTAATGATCTGCACACAAACATTATTATTGTAATGTTTGTGAACTAATGTGTTTAACAATAGTAAACAATGGACTTGAGTTGTTAGCGTAAGAAGCAAGGAACTTTGTACTTACCATAGCCTTGTTGAGGCCTTGTGCCATGCGTAGCCCCTGTCCTGGCCTACATTGGCGAGGCGGCGGAGTTGGCACATTGGCAGGCTAGGGGCTGGGCCGCTACCCCCCCCCAGCATCCCCCGCGCGTGCAAGAATAATGCTATGTAAGCACTAAAATATTATTATCTACGGAGTCTGTACTATAAATTGGACGCATCGTGTTAGGGGGGGGCGAAGAGGACATGACACTGTGAAGGAATATCCGCAGCGTTATGTATCTATGTGTTGGCTGTAAAACGCGTAAAAGGAAATGTCCCCGTGAGCTCGAGCTAACGCGCATCACTTGGCAGGGTCTGTCCCCCCACGCAATTGGCGTCACTTGGTAGGGTCGATGGCGTGCAATAAGTAAATAATTAATAATAGAAACGGCACAAATATGTTAATTAAACTACTTTAAAGTTTACGGATGGGAAAACGGAATAGCCTATTCCCACCGCGGGGCTTGGGGTGTGCCGCCTGTAATTCTTTTTTTCTATGTGAAGCCCACCGTCCGAGAGCCAAATCCCCCGCAAGCGCGAGCGCGCGGAGACTTTTATATATAAGATTCACATAATATGCTGTATAACAATGACTAAAAACAGAATAGGCTTTTTTTTACCCATTCCCGTAATATGCTGTGTAATGATAACGAAAAAAAGAGAAAAGGCTTGATTACCCATTCACGTAATACGCTGTATAACGATGATGAAAAAAATACGCTTTATTACCCATTACAGCAATAACACAGTTGTGTTAAGATGTTCAAACACCAAATAGACACAGCAGCTATTGTAAGGCATCATAAAGTCTCTGTTAGTCACAACATCATGCTTGTGGTAGGACATGCAAAGACGTTCTTTGATAATAATGTATGCATTGTCTTTGACATTCATTGGTCTACACCAGAGGCAGCCTTCTTCATGGCCTTGTCTCTGTGTAGTGGGTTAAATTCAGGCGCACACTGGACTTATCTAAACACAATGGGTAACTCTTAACATTAACATGATAACGACATAGGGTGGTAACCACCGTTCCTAACTTAGCTAACACACGGCAAGGGTGGCACAGTCGGGTTTTTTATAATCGGGTTTAATTGTCTTTTTATATTAAACCCGATCATCTGAGATTGGGAGAAATCCGGTTTAACCGCACTTCGCCAACTTCTCAACGATGGGCTTCATCCATTCCAAGCTAAGGAACTCACTGGCGCCCACGATTGTGGAGAAGCTCGTGTTCATCAAGACCAACCTGCCCGCATTCTACGACTACCCCGTGCCCGATGGCCCCGAGTACGATAGCAGCACCGACGAGGAAGCAGTCTAAGCCTATCAGAGTTTCGTATTCATTAAACCAGGTTTTAATTCCCCGAAATCGGGTTTAATCGTATTTAAGTAAAAAACCCGATGCCTGCCACTGGAAAAATCGGGGTTTTTCCACCCATTACACACGGGGATACTACATTCCTGGACCGGAGACCGAGGTTCGTAGATGGTGGCTTCATCCCAGAGTTGACCCAGCAGAACAGCCCAGCGCTCCGTCCACACACCGCTTATAACCACTCCGACGTGGCCGGCTTCGCCCCAGGCCATGCCCCCTTTACCGATCCTTCGGGAAGGCCCGAGCCCCAAACCACGTGACCCCACTGGCCCCCCTTTATCCGGTCACGTGTCCTGTTGGGTTCACGCAGAGTGTCACGGCCTGACACGACCTCCGTGACACCCGCCTACAGCCCCCATACCGAGCCAACACAGTAGTAGTGTCGTTCTACTACACTACATCTGGACCGCCAGTGTTAGTAGACCAGAGAATAACGCCAAGAGGCGAACAGTACAAGGACAATGCAAACAAACATGCTTTGTGTAATAATGTAATGACAGTCGAGTCAACCTAGACTCCCTAGAGTGCGAGTGAACCAGTGGCCACGAGAATTTTCGAGAATAGGGGCGTGGCCAGGTGAAGTAATGGGACAGTGGAGGGTGGGGAGGGGCTGGGTGGGGAGGGTGGGGGGGAGGCTGGGTGGGGAGGGGCTGGTCACCCCGTGGTGCCCTTATACAATTCAATGTTTAACCTACTCACACCGGCTTGTGCCCGCCCTCACAGTCGGGAATATTTGCGGAATACACCACGCCGCCGTTGACCCTGGCCTTTGACCGAGCAACCCAACGTTACTACCAGCTCCCTCCGCAGGAATGTGTTAGTGTCTCATGTTGTTCGTATGGATTTGGGAATTAACCTGAAATAATACTTTGAAGGGTTTGGGTACGATGTCTCGGAGGTACGTGTTTTTATAGATGAAGGAGCATATTTGTAGTATATTAATGTAGATGGACATGATATTGATTTTATTAAACATAGGGGCAGATGCAGCCAAGTAGTTAGATGAGGTGGCCATTCTTTAAAATTTATTTTGGATGATGTGTAATTTATAGTTTGTTCCTTGCTGATTTCAGTATCGTATGGTAACACGTGTGTTTGAATACTTTGTGATTGATTCTCCACTTCCGTTGTGTAATTTAGAACAGCAAGAAGCCACAGTCGACAACCTTTTGCATGGAGTGTGCACTCGCGTTGCGGTGGCCATGGAGATATCTAACATCTCTCGTCAAGTTATCGAGGAGCCATGGTAAGCATATCAACTACCTCGCCTGGTATACAGGAGGTCGTGGGTTAGCATTAATAAAGGGAAGGAATGTTATTAATGCTAACCCTACTGCTAACCCTATTCCCTCCCTTTGATGCTGCTAATCCTGCATAATGCACGGGCATAATATGACTTTGAAACCCTCCGCCCACCTCCTATCCATCCCACAAGTAGTGACTAATCCCATATCTACATTTCCCATAAATATGCTAAATTACTCTTGATAGGCAAATTATTTTGTCAAGGCGCTCTTCCCCCTCCAACCCAGCTTAAATATACGCTCCAAGCCTGGTGGTGTTTCATTCAGACGCTGTCTTTCCGACAGACCTGTTCTTCACCTGAGGACGGCTGCTTGTGTTGTGGCCGAAACGTCGTGAGAATTATTTTATTATGTTTTAGTTTTATTATTTTATTATTTCCCTTCTACGTGACTTTACCGAAAGAACCAAGAAGATGAATCCCTGCAGTCACGAAAGCTTTAAATCGAAATTTATAACGCTGCAGATTTTGCAGACAACTCAGAGGCGCGGAGCCAAGCCCAGGGCTGCTCGAAAGCCTCGGCAAACAGATTAGAGGAAGCATTTATATGTTTATGAAAGTCCGAGTGCATTTGATGTTGCGGATGTGCAAAGGGATTGGAGAATTCCAAACCGAGGGGGCGACAGCACATAACCGATCTGAGGCTTTAACAGTATAGTGTAGTGTATAATGTAGTATAGAGTGTCGTGTACAGTAGTATAGTGTATACTAATGTAGTGTATAGTGTAGTGTACAGTAGTGTATTGTATAGTATAGTGCAGTGTATAGCAGTCATGTATAGTAGTTTTTAGTAGGCTGTAACAATTCGAGACCTTTGGTGTCCAAAGCAGATTTTGAGTGACGCTGCTGCGTAGGGTTCTACCATGAGCCTTCAGTGCAAGGCCAGAGTAGTGATGCAAAGTATGGTGGTGAAGGCGCGATGACAAAGACGTTATAGCTCTTCCATGACAAGGTCCACAGAGATCGTTGCGCCAAGCAGATGGAAGTAGAATTGCTATGACAACTCTATTATTGGAACGATTATTTATACCGCTGATGTTATTTATTGTTGGCGTTGTTGTCTCACGTTAGGACGTACATGGAATATGGTGCTGTTGAAGAGGCTTCAGCCCCATCCATCCCTATTGGCGGGAGGACGCTGTGCTGTTTCCGCAAGAGGTGCTACTCGTTTCATGGATGCTTCGGAATTCTGAGTTACCGCATTGCAGGCAGCAACAAGCGTCTTCATTTGGTGTTCAGCAACCCTTTCTTCTTTTACTCTATACAGCTCGCCATGAAGATAGAGGAATACGGTGTTCACCAAAAACGGCTAGCGGCTACTTTACACGACATGTACAAGTCGGCATCGGAAGGCAGAACGAGTAAATTTTGCAAGATCTTTGCTGGCTACAACGATGCAATCGTTGTCGACCATGACCTGAGATTACGGGTCACAGCAAGCATAGAAAACAAATACCGTTGCGTCGTTAAAGTCGCACTTTCTTCTCTAGAATAATGTTGGAAACGTGGATTTCAGTTTAAAATAATTGGCAGAAATGGCACTTTAAAATACCTCTCCCGGCCTGTAAAAATATATCTGTTCTTTGTTTTCCTTACTTTATTTGTCCCCTACGAATACTTTATGCGATACTTCAGCCTCAACCTCACGTATCGGCGCATCGGTTATATCCTGCCTATGCACACTGTACGTACACTCCATATATAGTGGTGGAAATGCACTTCAAAAAAAACTGTTGTATAAAGGTTTCCCTTGGTTTGTGCGGGTTCAGTTTGTGAGATTACGTGCAGAATATACGGTTAACCTATTTGTACACAAAAATGCAATTCTGATAAGGAGGCAACTGCCTGCCGATGAGTGACTTTGAGTGGAGTGCTAGATGAGGGCGCCTCGGTGGCAAGATGTTAACCTCGCCTGGTATACAGAAGGTTGTAAAGTTCGTTCCAGACCCTGACGCCTGTATATTTGGAGTTTGCGTGTTCTCCCCATGGTCTCGTGGATTTTTCTCCGAGTCATCCGGTTTTTCCTTCTTGTCTATGGGTTTTATGCTTTTAGTTTTTTTTATCAAGCACATCAATTATATATATACACACACACGTATATAAAGGCAACGAATGATGAGTCACAAAGACAAGAACACGAAGTTTGACACGCTGGTGTATACTGAATTTGGGGTTTATTTTAAAATTGGGAATTTTTGTTAACAGTTCATGCCTACAACAACAACAAAAAACACCCAGAATGCACCCGATCTCGGCAGATCTCGGAAGCTAAGTAGGGTCGACCCTGTAAAGTGCTCGGATGGGCGACCACCGCGCATAAAGGATGTTACAACAATAGGCAGGTTGTGGGCCTAACTTTGTGGGTATCAGAGGGCAACTGCAGCAAAATTGCTGTACCGTACCATGCTCATCTGTACGTTACCCAACGTGCGTTAACCGGTGTTAATTAACCACCCCCCTTCGCAACCCACACGGCTAGTAGAGGCCGTCATCCAGCAATGATTTGATAAAAGTGCTACAACGATGATAAAAAAGGATAGGATTTACCCTTTCTGGCAATAACACAAGAGGGTGTTGAGGTGTTCAAATGCCAAATAGACACCTACTATTGCAAGACATGAAGTCTGCATGAACCTCACATCATGCTTGTGGTAAAGCATGCAAAACAAACACGCTCTGCTGATAATGTATACATTGTCCTGGGAAATTATTGGCCTACACAAGAGACAGCCTCTTTATGGCCTTGCCTCTGCAACCGTGTTAGATCAGAGAACAACGCCGAAAATAGCAAAGCATTGATATCTCGGATCGAGTAGTGTTTGAATATCTTAACATCTGTATTATTTGCTGCAAAGGGTAAAGCCTATTATTTTTTCATAATCTGGATACCGGTAAAAAGGGGTCCCACAGATAAAAGTGCTACACATCTACACGTTACAACAGCTTCTAAGCGCAATATTGATACGTTCGTACGGACTACAGGAACACAATAACATTGCATGTTGGGGTAGAGAGCACCATTCACAAGAACGACACAGGAAAACTAGTAGGCCAGTAGCAGCATCTTCGGCATTGCATTCATGCTGCCCTGCTGCACTTATTTTTTCTACGTTTTATTTTCCTTAAATCAATACAGTTCACAGTTTGGAGATGGGGTCTTTTTTGTTCTCCTGCCTCCATCGTCTTTAGGCCCCAACCCCCTGCTTGAGACACGGTCCGAGATGTGACGATGTGTGATTGGCCGCTGGGAATGTGGCAACAGGGATGAGGGGAGATGGAGGAAGTGGGAGGGAACCGTGGGGACAAGAGGGCACGTCGGAGGGGTGGTCGAAAGGAGAGAGTTGTGGATGAAGGAGGGTGCTTATGTTATCTAAGATTTTATCTAGCGCTTGTCAACGCGCTTTACAATAATTATAAATGGTACCTTAGTAAAAGATAGGGTTTGAATGTTGTGTTGGGGATGGGAAGGAATGGCAAGGGAGGGTGATGATAGGGAAAGGGAGGGGCGAGGTTAGGAAGGGGAAGAGGGATATGCTATTGAAAAAAAGATTAGTCTTCAGGGAGGAACAAAAAATGGTTCGCGAAGTTGTCTGTTTGATGTGGAGTGGGAGTTTATTCCAGTGGAGGGCAGCCAGGAGGGAAAAGCAGCGGAGACGTGACTGAGCACAGGGGACCGTGGGGACAAGAGGGCACGTCCGAGGAGGGACGAGAGGAGAGGGCTGGGGTGAAGGAGGGAGCTGTGTGTGGAGAGAGTTATGGATGAAGGAGGGAGCTTATCTTATCTAGGATTTTATATAATGCTTTTAAAGCGATTCACAAGAATTATAAATGGTACATCAGTATTGGCTGATGGGTAAAAGTGATGCGGTTTGAGTATTGGGGAGGGGAATGGATGGCAGGGGAGGGTGATGATACGGAAAGGGAGGGGTGGCAAGGTTAGGAAGGGGAAAGATGGTTAAGAGGTTTTAAGGACGAGGAAAGGAAGTAGCAGAGGGATACGGTAGTGAAAAAAGATGAGTATTCAGGGAGGAACGAAAAATGTTTTCGTGAAATTAGCCCTGCTTGATGTGGAGTGGGAGTTTATTCCAATGGAATGGAGTCAGGAGGGAAAAGGAGCGGAGACGTGACTGGGCACAGGGAGGAGGCGTCGTGAGGGACAACAGAGATTGTGAACGCAGGGGCCCAGGTGGAACATAGTAAGAAATAAGAGAAGCGAGATAAGGTGGGGCAGAACCATGGAGCGATTTGTAAACAAGGGTGAAGAATTTGAATAAATAGCTGTAGTAGGCGGGAAGCCAATGGAGTTGGACAAGGAGAGCAGAGGAATGGGCGTGATGTGGGAGATTAAAAATAATCCAGGCCGAAATATTTTGAGTTTGCTGGAGGGGAGCAAAGGAGCTGTGTGAAAAGAGCTGTGGATGAAGGAGGCAGCTGTATGTGGAGAGAGCTGTGGATGAAGGAGGGAGCTCTGTGTGGAGAGAGCTGTGGATGAAATTGGAGCTCTGTGTGGAGAGAGCTGTGGATGGAGGGAGCTGTGTGTGACAGAGGTGGAATAAACAAACTGGAATCCTGACCTGTCTCCGCGTGTTGGTGAGGAGAGTGCTATACGTTTATGTGTTGCGTAACATAGTAGGCCTAAACGGCCAAAGTATTTAAACGTATTGTTTTGTTACTTTAAACTTGGTGCGAATGTAATGGGGAAGTTACATCAATAAAAATGTTTTGCTCAGCTTGACCTTCGAAAAGTCACCCAGAGCCTCAATGTCTCGGTTCCGGCTACATCTACTCATGGCGACGGCTTGACTGACCACCCAGACACACCCATGGGAACCCGACACTACGCACGCATGTTTGAAGAAACGGATGTCAAGCAAGAAGAAGAAAATTCAAGCTATGCCAGTAAGACTCTTGTCTTACATTTGCTACACTGTTTATACACGGCGATCCATTATCTATAAAGGCCCTCTTACTCTCTTCTCAAGAGGTGATTGAATCATGATATCGTGGCAAACCTTACCAGTGTGTTCTAGAGTGAGCCATTAAAGCAGAAGGGAACAAAAATCCTTTCCCACACTCCTTGCACACGTGCGGCCTCTCACCCGTGTGCGTCTTCGTGTGCGTCCTCAAACCGTAGACGTCCGCAAAGCCTTTGCCGCACTCCTTGCAAACGTGTGGCTTCTCGCCGGTGTGCGTTCTGGAGTGCGCCTTCAAAATAGAGCGATACAGAAAGCCCTTGCCGCACTCTGCGCAGATGTGCGGCCTGTCGCCCGTGTGCGTCTTCGAATGCTCCTTCAAGCCGGACGCGCGCGCGAAACGCTTCCCACACTGCTCGCATGCGTGCGGCCTCTCGGCGGCATGCGTCTTCGAGTGCTCCTTTAAGCCGGACGCGCGCGAAAACCCCTTGCCGCACTCCTTGCACGAGTGCGGCCGCTCGCCGCCGGCGTGCGTCCTCGAGTGCGCGACCAGGCCGACGGCGTGGGCGAACCCCCTGCCGCACTCCCCGCACGCATGCGGCTTCGCGGCGCTGTGCGTTTTCGAGTGCTCCCTCAAGCCAGAGGGGTACAGGAACCCCCTCCCGCACTCGCCGCACATGTGCGGCCACTCTTTGCCGTGCGCCACGGAGTGTTCCTTCAAGCCAGACAGATGCGTGAACGTCTTCCCGCATTCTTTGCACGCGTAGGGCTTTTCGCCGGTGTGCGTTCTGGAGTGTTCCTTCAAAGCGGAGGGGTACAGGAAGCCCTTCCCGCACTCCTTGCAGACGTACGGCCACTCGTTTTTGTGCGTTCTGGAGTGCGCCTCGAGGGCAGAGGGGTTCAAGAACCCCTTTCCACATTCCTTGCACGTGTGCGGCCTCTCGCCCGTGTGCGTCCTGATGTGCTCTTTCAAGCTGAATGGGCGCGTGAAGCCCTTGCCGCACTCCCCGCAGAGGTGTGGCCTCTCGCCGTTGTGCGTTCTCGAGTGCAGCTTCAAAGCGGACGGGTAGGAAAAGCCCTTGCCGCACTCCTTGCACACGTGTGGCCACTCGCCTGTGTGTGTTCGGAAGTGCTCCTTCAAACTGCACGGATACGCAAACCCCTTGCCGCACTCGTGGCAAACGTAGGGCTGTTCTTCAGGATGCACCGGCCGATCCACTTCCAAGCTATTGTCCTGCACGGAGCCATTCATAAACCCCTCGTACACGTACGACTCCTCTGCAGATTGCGTCTCAAACTGTTCCTTGTAGTGGGGATCGTCGTCGACGAGGCTCTTGCCACATTGCTTGCATGACTGCGGTCTCTCGTCGGTGTTTTCTATCAAAGGGAACTTCATGATGGAAAGTCTATCAAAGTCATTTCTGCACTCCTCACACAGGTGTCCTGGTCCAAGTTCATCATCTGCCACACACACACACAAAGTGCAAAGCAATTGCCTCTCTGGTTAAACGATCTAAGATGTTAAGCACTTCTTTAAAAACACTGGTCAACAAAAAAAACATGTTTTTCTGGCCTGGACTTTTGCAGCTGTTTTAGACTAATTTCAGGGTGCTGATTCCAAATCTGGTCTCAGATTTGCTCTATCACATCTCATGTTTATGCTATCGGCATACCCCATTTTCATTGATTTAACCCGAAATTAACTCTGTCACTTATGATTGCAAGTTGTTGCGAGTCAGTGACTTGCTTTAGTGTTAAAATATGGTGCTGTATTTTAGGATAGTGTGTTTATAATATAATTCTATGTAGATATCCACATTTATTTAATATTTTTCTTCTGCAGTTTTTTATTGAAAATGCAATATTTGATATCTCAAAAACCTGATATGATAGACAAAACTGATGCCAGATTTGCAATCATCACCCCAAAATTACCTTAAAACCGTTGGAATACCTTATGCCAGAAAAAGTGTGTTGACCAGTGTAATAATAGCTGTCAATGGAAGCACGCTATGTCTGGATATAAGTACAACAGTTAAAAATTGCAACATCAAGATTTATTTTGAATGTTGCTATGCATAACTGTGGCAAAAGCTTTCTACCTTTGAATATGTATTTTGCTAATTTCTTCATATAATCTTCGTGTGGCTGTTCCGCTTTTTGCAGGTACACATTATTTCTAAATGTTTCTTTAGTTAGGCCTTGATTTGCGAGGGCTTGTAATTGAAATCGATTTCATATTTTCCACAATCTGATTAATGGCGTGTGGTCGATGGCGGAGAAACCTTTCCTTAAACCCCTGCTCGCTCCTCCTGTGGATGGCTGGTCTCTATTCTGCTGACTATTCCGTTACCACGATCTACGTGAATAATGTATACACGTGCGACAAAAGACTAAACGGGTCTGTACTTGTTCAAGTCGGATCGTAATTGAACGCCAAAATCGCCAGGCAGGCAGGCAGGCAGGCGGACAGGTGGGTGACTCACCGAAGACGCTGTCTGCTTCCCACACCTCCATTTCGGTGAAGACCTGGGTCGGAGTGGCCTGGCTTTCACGGCAGTCCAACGTTTCTTCACCGTCGTCTCCATTAACATGAAAGTCGCTGACTCGAGCTGGAGTAAAACAAAACGCGAGCAGCCCGGACTTTTACCCGGACGAAAGATACACCATTTATCGACGACCGACGAGATCATTGCGAGTACACGGCCACGTGTACTAGCATCTTTATGGCTGTTATCGATCACAACTGTGGGCTTTGTGTGTACAAATAAAAATACGTAACAGGGCAAAGGCAATTGCCCATGCCTGCCACTGCTGATAGAAAAGGCCTCCACTAGGGGGAGCTCTAGGGAAGTGCTCAAGAGAGCAGTTGGGCCCAGTCCTTCCACGATGGCCGGATGCTTTGAAAGAGGTGGGAGTAACCCACACTTTACCCCACAGTGGAAGGATGTTAACTACCTCGCCTGGTATACAGGAGGTCGTGGGTTTGACTCCGACTATGACGCCTGCTTTATATTTGGAGATTGCATGTCTCTCTCCCCGTGGTTGCATGGACTTTTCTCCGGGTCCTCCAGTTTTTCCTTCCACATTTAGAATCAATATCAACGCATTTAAAGTATTCGGCTGCTGCTATACTTTTCCACAAGATAAGCTACTTCGTTGAGCTATCAGTTGTGGACAAGTCGCTTCTGAAAAAGAGCTATATATCAGTGGGCCTCATCCTGGTAAAATAAAAAAAACATTTAGTTTAGCTTAGAATAACTGGTGAACCAAATAATATTGCTGGGTGGACAGAAGCAGGGCCGATGTGATTTAAGAAACTTGCCCCATTTAAAACTGCCGAACTGGTGACTTCTGGATTTGCAAGTCCAGTGTATGAATCACTACACCGTGGCAGCATCCCTTCTACGTAAAAATAAATATCTAAATAATATTTCATATGCAGGTGGATCAACTTATTTACGCACCGCAAAAGTAACATTACGGAGAAATGAGAGACATTTTATTCAAAGCGTCTTACACGTCTCAATCTGCCAACCTCGATGTACGTAAATAACATCTGCAAGATATGAAGCCATAGACTGTCACTACATTTGATCACCTGTTGATAAAAAAAAGGAAAACATGCTACCCTACCTCTTTTCGAACCAGACGACCGAGCCGTGCCGAGTCAGGCCCCTGTGCAGCTCAGAAAGACGCCAGGTTTGAGTTATTTTCCCACTACAGAGCCGTGAGCCGTGCCACTCACATTACCCTCGCTTGTAGCCTGTGCCTGATTCAGATGTCTTTATGAGGGCCATCGTATATCACTTGTCTGGTTCTTGCACTGAGAATAGCCAGTGGGGAAAAAAAACCCCACCGTGACGTTTATCAGCTACGTACGGTGCGAAAGAAGTTCAAAGACTCCCAGTATAGCTTGCAACGGACTGTTGCGGCATGTGCTGCTAGCGATCAGCACCTACGAAGGCCAGTGTAGCACACAAGGGGGTGGGTGGCCAACACCACGCCTGGCCGCCATTGTCTCCCCAGTGGCGATATTTACTACACACCACACCAAGTACTCATTTTAGGCTGAGTCGACATAGGGGAGGCCCATGACCGGTTGAGATAATCGTCACCGGTGTTGGCCGAGAGCGGGAATCTAACTCAGGTCGTCGGGTTCGTAGCGCAGCGCGCTAACCGCTACGCTGCCGCTCCCCACTGCGTACTGTGCAAAAGAAGTTCAACGTACATACAGTATGTTAAGGCCCCCGTGCTGGCTCAGCTCAGATGTGCCGTTGGAAACAGGCTCTAAGATGATCGTTGGAGACCAGTGGGGTGTCTACAAATGGATCATCCCCGTAATAACGTCGAAAAAAACATAAGCGGAAATAGTCTTACTGGCATTTTCCACGTCGTCCTTCACGACTACTTTCAGCACCTCATAGCTCGGCTCTTGTTCCTCATCTTCCTGCTTCACGTCCATCTCTTCAGACATGCACGCACGCACAACGCGATCGTCAGAGAAACGCGACCGCAAATAATCGCCGCCGATGTTGGCCGTGAGCAGGAATCGAACTCCGGGTGCCGGGTTTCGTAGCGCGTTGCGCCGACCGCCACTCTACCCATCCCGCCACTACTGCGCCACACGGGTTAATGTCGTGGATCGGCGGCACAGTCGTCCTGCGAACACTCGGGAGACCTATGGGTTTTTATCGCCACCATCGCCAGTTGACATTTGCACCGCACCTCCCATATGGCGACGCCTCAAAGGACGCTGGGTGCAAGGGGAGGGGGGGACTCCCCCGTTGGCAGCTGTCCCTGCGTGGCATGGGAAGAGCGCAGGACCGGCCTAAATGTGGATGCGGAGTCTGCCGGTAGGTTTTTTCGACGTTGCCATTTGCCTTTTTGCCAAATTTGAGTCAAGTGCGTGCGGCGACTAATCAAATTTGTCAAATTTTGGACCATGACACCACCCCCCACACAGCCGACCATCGTTCGAATAAAATCAACAGGTCCTCAATGTCCGCTGCAGGGCGGAATGGTGCGTCATATTTTTAAGTGTTTTTTTTGGCTTCTGCTATAAATGTCCACGTTATGAGCCGCTTTGTTGAGCCATCATTTGTGACGGCCGTGCGTGTCGCTTTTGAGAAAGCGGTATATTCTAAAATAGGTTTTTATCCTTTTTTCTGGCAACAAAACTAAACCTTTTTTACAAAAACTGAAACCTTTTTACAAGGAATCATGTTTGCATTAACCACAAAACTTGTGGTCAGAATGCAAAAAAAACCATACTCTTATAATATATGCATTGTCCTTGAGACTGATTGGTCCACACCAGAGACAGCTTTCAGAAAGCTTGCATTCTGACCACAAGTATTGTGGTTAATGCAGACAATGATTCCTCGTAAAAAGGTTTCAGTTTTGTTTCCAGAAAAAAGGGGAAAAACCTCTTCTTGTATTATGGTACTGGCTAAGGAGGTCCCATGAGGTATATTATAGCTCAGTGGGGCCTTATCTGGTAAAATTAAAATAGCTTAGTTTAGATATTAACCCCTTTCCCATAATGATGATGTATACGTACGTCATCGTTTTTTCTTTAGATTCTGTTCCAATGATGTAAATAAAGTAACTTTATATCGGTACCTAGCCTCCCGCAGGCCATGCGGGAGGTTGCGTGGCACAGTTTTGGCACCAGCTATCATAGCGTGGGGGCGGTCGTAGTTGCTACAGTTCTCTGCAGTGAGCAACGACGTTTTTATAAAACCAATGGCGTTGCTGCTGCTGCTGCTACTACGCCTCTCTAAATAAAATTAACGCTGAGCCGCTAAACGCGTTCCGAAGTTTCGGGACACCACCCACACCCTGCAACTTGCAGACATCATGGAACGGGGAAAGTGTTCACTAGGCCAGCCCCTGGGTTAGAACTGCTAACCTCTACACAAGAGGCAAACGCCATGCTTGGCAGAGGAAAGCGGAGAAGATGTAAAGAGAGGGATCTCACCAGCATCAAACTCTTCGCTCTTCACCGCCCAGTCAAAGCACAGGCCAGGGCCCAGCATTTCCTCTTCCTCCCGCTTGATGCGAGGATGCGTGAAGTTGGACGACATCTGACGGAGATGTGGACATTTAAAAAAAATATTTATTAAAAAGTTATCCGGTCCAGAAAGTTTCCATGGTATTAGGCAACTTTGGTTCATGATCTAAAACTGTAGCGGACTCTCGATTATCCACGCGTGCGGTTTATCCCGATTTGCGGATGAACCGCGCACCTGAGATCTTGACACAAATTCATAAACTCGTGGATTTTCCCTTAAGCTGAAATTGATAATCTAAAAAACAGCTAAACATTGTTATCCTTGGAAATGTTTCTTTAAAGTCACACGGTGCTTAAACAGAACAAATGTCCCTCCGGTTAGTCCGAAATCCAAGTGATTTCCTTCTACAGTACAGTAGTTGCCATATCTTTACAACAGTGGGTGGAGTTTGATTGATGTTGATTGGCGTGACTCTGCTATCCACTTAGTGGGCCGAGTCTTCTGCTGGGCGGGAGCAGGAAAGTGTTATCACTAAGCACACACATCGATGGGTCGGTCGTATTTGTTCTTTATTTATACATATATTCCTGGTTATTGGCATAGAGATCTGCGGATTATCCACGATTTTGAATTATCCATGGCCGTCCTGCCCGTCATTAGCACGGATAATCGAGAGTCTACTGTAATCCGTTCGAGAGAAAATCAAATCACAGGAGCTCAAAGGTTCTGAACACCAAACATCCAGCAACAAGCAGTCCTCTTGAAGGTGTAACAGATCACCAGCCAGATAACTCAGCAGTAGAATTGACCAACCCATGTGGAATCATGCAGACCCATGCAGTCCCATAGGAACCAATGTTGACCTATGTGAACCCATGCGGCCCCAAGTCTCTATGCTTTCTGTGTTTAGTTTGTTGTCCTTTCCCCGGACCTCCGATCAGCACGGTTGGCTACTTACGGTGCGAAAGATGTTCAAGATACATACGTACATGTGGCCCGATGGCGACATATGAGGATCCATAGAGACCCATGGAAACCCATAGGAGACCCACGTGACCCATTGGGGACTCAAAAGTCCCATGTGGACTGGTGAGGACCCAGACCTGTAACCTACAGCCCCATCGAAACCAATGTGAAAACCGCGTGGACCCATAGAGCAGCATGTAGACCAATACAGATTCTACGTTGACCCAGAGACCAGTAAGCATTCAAACCGATTCAGAACAACGCAGATGCGTGTAGACCTATGGTGGCCCATGCAGACCCATGGAGTCCCACAGACCCATTACATACAAACCCATAACATGCAAACCCATCCAGACCAATGTAGAAGCATGAGGAACCGTGGGGAATCCATAGAGACTCATAGATGGGAACCTATGCAGGCCGGTGTGGACTCACAGACCCGTTGCATACAAACCCATCCAGACCGCTGCAGACGGGTGTAGACATATGGGATCCCCATGAAGACCCGTGGCGGACCTACAGAACCCAGTAACCTACAAACCCACCCAGAACAACGCATAACCACGGGGACTCGTAGAGACCCGTATGGACCCATTGAAGACCCATAGATACCCGTGTGGGACCCGTGGGGATCCTATGCGAACCCACTGAGAGACCCAACGTGGGCCAATGCAGATCGGGGGTGTGAGCCCACACTGACACCCGTAGCGTACAAACCCATCCAGAACAATGCGGACGCATGGGAGGTGGGGGGGGTCCCAATGTGGGGGAGGGTCCCAATGCAGGGGGGGGGGTCCAATGCAGGGGGGGGGGTCTCAATGGGGGGGGGGGGGTCCATTGCAGGGGGGGTCTCAATGGGGGGGGGGGGGTCCCAATGCAGGGGGGGGGGTCCAATGCAGGGGGGGGGGTCTCAATGGGGGGGGTCCAATGCAGGGGGGGGTCTCAATGGGGGGGGGGTTCCAATGTGGGGGGGGGGGGGGGTTCCAATGTGGGGGGGGGGGGGTCCATTGCAGGGGGGGGGTCTCAATGGGGGGGGGGGGGGGTTCCAATGTGGGGGGGGGGGGTTCCAATGTGGGGGGGGGGGTTCCAATGCAGGGGGGGTCCAAATATTGGGGGGGGGGTCCCAATGTGGGGGGAGAGCTCCGTTGGGGGTTCCAATAGGGGACCCCCCCATTTGGGTTCCCCAATGGGGACCCACGGGCATGGGAGGGGGGTACGCACCCCCCCTTACCCCATCTCCCACTTACAGCGCAGAGGGAAGACCCCCCCCCACCCCAACGCCGCCTTTGACTCCCCGCCGGCTGCAGGAGAAGCGGCTGGAGACGGAGGCGACGCGAGACGGGAGGCCCCGAAGATGAATCGAAGAGCGCGTAGCGGCGGATAGATGCAGCGCAAGGCAAGTCACGTCAACCACAAAGATAAAGACAAAGATCCCCCGTGTAGCCTCGACAGACTGTAGGGGCAAGTGCTGTTAGCGAGCAGCACCTATGAAAGGCCAGAACGGTACACGAGGGTGTGGGTGGCCAGCACCGCCTTTGTCTCCCCAGTGACGCTGTTTACTACACATCGCACCGGGTACTCATTTAAGGCTGAGTCGACCTAGGGGAGGCCCAGGACCGGTTCAAATAATCGTCACCGGCGGTGGCCGTGAGCGCAGCCCACTAACCGCTAAACTACCGCTCCCTTAGACTCACACAGAGATCCATAGACTCACACAGAGACCCATAGCCTCCCATAGACTCGCAGAGAGATCCATAGATTCCCATAGGCTCGCAGAGACCCATACACACACAACAACAACCGCCATTCGCCACTAAGTGGCGGTGACGTCACCACGGCGCTTGTGCCAGGCTGGCAGGAGGTCATAGGGCAGACCGAGCAGGTGCCACAGGTCAGAGGTCGTAAACGGGTTTTGATTCCTTACTCGTACCTGTACCCGGCCGCACCAGGGTCGCAAACGGGTACCCGTACCCGTACCCGGCCGTACCCTACCCGTACCCGGCCGGGTACGGGTAGGGTACGGGTATCAGGTACCTGATTGCGACCTCTGGGATGAAGCCATGTTGCAGGCGCGGGTGGGTTGATTCTAGGAACTTGAATTGTGAGAAGAGACAAGACGTTGGGAAATGAGTGACAAACGGTGACTCACCAGTGACTCACAGCCTACCCGTACCCGGCCGCACCAGGGTCACAAACGGCTACCCGTACCCGGCCGGGTACGGGTAGCCGGGTTTCGGGTAGGATACGGGTATCGGGTACCCGGTTGCGACCTCTGCCACAGGCCGACTGACTGAGATGACTGGCCGATGCACCACCCGTGCCCCCTACTTACAAACCCACCCAGAACAACGCAGAACCACGGGGACTAGTGTGGACCCACGAGGACCCATGTTGAAATGTGTTTCAACCGAGTAGCAGCCCACCCCCCCCCCTCCGGCCTGACCCAACATGGTTGAGAAATAAATGTATGAATAATGAATGTAAATATTTTCAGAAATAATGAACCCAATGGCGGGACCCCGGGGTCCCGTATGAACGGAAGTAAAAATCGTATTTTTTTTTTATTTTTGGCGACTCCATCTCACCACGGCGGACGAACGCCGCGACCCACCTGGCGCGGATCATTCACCAAGCACCCGTCGCTGCCAAAATTGCCGTAGTCATCAACAAAGCTTTGAAACTTTGATTAGCGAATCGTGTCGAGCTCGTCGAGAGGAATAGATTGTCGTGTATTTCGCCTTCAACAGACATAAAATGACGTCGCAATGCAGTTTATGCGAGAGCCGGGGGCTTATGGGAACCCGGGGTCCCGCCATGAGGTTACATTTTCCATTTTGTGAAGTATCCTAATTAGCTCGGAACTGCAAGCGATTAAAAATAATACAACATACGCTCTGCATGCATGACGTCATTTCTCCATGCTCGCTAATTATTCTTGGAAACGACATTATTTATGATCAATAGAAAGGTATTTTATATAGTTCTAGATTACCATATGGTTTTAAATATTACATCTTTTGCCAGATTAACTCCTGATTTATTCACCAATGATTCCCATGTATGATATAATTTCACACATTTGTAGAGGAGTAAAATGGGGAAGTGACGCCATGCGCGCTGGGCGGCTCGATGACGTCATGTCTCATAGAGTATTTAAGGGAGACCCCGTGACGAAAGCGGGGTCACTGTGGGAACGCGTAGAGTAAGAAGGTTGAAGAGGGAATCAGAGGTAGAGAGAGAGGGATCGAGTGGAGAGTCTGAGGATAAACCGGTGGTAGCCGATAGAGGTGCTCTCTCTCCGGTGGGTGGAGTTGGCAGAGTCTCCGATCCGACACGAGAGAGAGAGACCGGAGCTAGCCGGGCTGGGACCAGGACTCAGAGTAGGACCCCTAACCCCTGGGAGTTGTATACTCTTGTGTTATTGTACTATCTTCTTGGTTCTTTCGGTAAAGTCACGTAGAAGGGAAGTAATAAAATAATAAAAATAAAACATAATAAAACAATTCTCACTTCCCTTCTACGTGACTTTACCGAAAGAACCAAGAAGATGAATCCCTGCAGTCACGAAAGCTTTAAATCGAAATTGATTGTACTATCTTTAATAAACTTACGGCGAAAGCCCTTAACCTCCAAGCCGTCTCCGAGTCGTCGTCGACAAGTTCTCTACACATTTATAATTGACCTCACGTATCCCTCCTGGGATATTGTCACGTACCCACCTAGGTTGAGTTACCTGACCAGTGTGGAGTTAGAGACCAGAAAACCCTCACTTGAGTCTCGAGTCAGAGGTCGTCCATAAATGACGTCACGCGATTTTGTACGATTTTTGACTCCCCCCCCCCCCCTCGTCACACGGCGTCACAAAAAGTCAGACCCCCCTCAAATATGACGTCACAAAGCTCTGCCCCCCCCCCAAACCATATTTCCATTTTGAAAATAAAACATGCTTCAAATCGCTTTAAACTATTGTCATCGTAGTGCGTATTGAATGTGGCGGTGCACTCTGATGTTGTAGGAGTGTTGTTATAACAATTAGTGTTGTTACAACAATTCTATATTTATTTAAAGTTGCGCATTTTGATGTGACGTTGCATTTCTCAAACACCCCCCCCATGTCACACATCGTGAGAAATGTCTGACCCCCCCCCCCCCAGGTGCGTGATGTAATTTATGGACGGACCTTGACCCTTTGTAGGGGGCACCCTCTTCCTCCAATGAAGGGAATTCTTCCAGCAGTGACATCAGCCAAGGAATCACTGTGCTGCACCCTAACCACAATTGGCCAGCAACAACCTGCAAGGGTATTTATTGGAACCTGCGAAAAGAGACGATATACATTCCGAAGTCGAGCAGTGTGAGGAAAGAAAGTACTCTTAGGTTTTTTCGGTAATGTCACGTAGGTAAAAAATAAAACTAAATAATAAAATGATAGAAATAATGATAGAAATAAAATAATAAATCACGACGTTTCGGGCGCAACACAAGCGTCCGTCATCAGGTGGGACAACCACAGCAAGAAACAAATGCTGAAGTGGGCCCACTTCAGCTGAGTGGACTTGCCGAAGACCAGTCAGTACCAGCGGTGTCAAGATCAGCTTCTGTGGAACAGGAGTTTCGTGAAGGACGCTGCTGGGCAGTTGGAGGCAGTCGCCCTCCAACAAAATGTTCCACTCTTGAACAACTTTTGTAACACGAGTTATACAAATTACCGTATAATTTTGTAATAAAACATCAAATGTAACACATCAAATGTAAAAACAGCACCACATCTGTTGCATTAGACTCTCTGAATCACATTTACAGTAGCCTTGATAATAAGCAGTACTGTGCCAGTCTTTTTCTTGACTTGTCCAAAGCTTTTGATACAGGCGACCACAACACCCTGCTTAGTAAACTAAGTTGCCTCGGTTTTTCCGAAAACGCAGTAAAATGGTTAAATTTTTTCCTCTTTTCTCGCACCCAAAATGTATTCACAGATGGTTGGAGGCCAAGGAGTGTTAAGATAACAAAAGGGGTTCCACAGGGTTCCATCCTCGGCCCCCTCTTGTTCTCTCTTTATGTCAATGACTTGGGCACAGACCTGGATCATTCCAGGGTAAATCTTTTTGCAGATGACATGATACTGATTTCTGCTGGCCGCTCTCCGGATGACGTGATTTCTAAGCTCTAGGGTGATTTCAACAAACTACAACATCAGCTAGTTGCTCTTAAACTAGTCCTGAATACCTCCAAAACCAAGGTGCTATGCTTCTCAGAGGTGGGACAAAGTCATTGTTATGCAAGTCCAAGTCGAATCTGAAGTCATCAAATTCATGACTCGAGTCTGACTCGAGTCCAAGTCACATGACTCGAGTCCACACCTCAGAGGTGGGACAAAGTCATTGTTATGCAAGTCCAAGTCGAGTCTGAAGTCATCAAATTCATGACTCGAGTCTGACTCGAGTCCAAGTCACATGACTCGAGTCCACACCTCTGATGCTTCTCACCAGGACTACAGCAGGAAGTTATTTTTCTCCAATTACATTCCTTAAATAATTATCAAAGAGCAAGTCAAGATCTATAAGTATCTTGGGGTCATCCTGGATTCAAAACTGAATTTTGAAAATCACATTTATTATATTGGTAAAAAGACAAAAATAAATATTGGTTTCCTGTATCAACACAAGCACTGCTTCCCCCCTATGTTCCGT